GATGTAAATGCCCGCAGTTTTCCTCGCAACTCGGTAGAATTTTATTACACAGACGGGCTACCGCGCAAAATAAGCGCTCGTGTCTACGCTTTTTATTATAACCGTTATTTATATGCCTAACCTACAATATAGGCGCATGTATGCCTATCGCTACGGATATAATGCCATTACCATATTACATCCTACATTCTACACTCAGAAAACTAAGTCTACGCGTCATGTGACGAGCTAAAGCCGACCTTTCACGCGAAATATCCATCGTATTTCTCCGGACGTTTACGTGCATACAAATTTAATAATACTATACGGTATTATACGATATGAAACTCGCCTACGCGTTTTCCTTTCTATTATTTATTTACGACACCGTAATATATACACGATTAAGGTGCCGATTGTTTATTGACGATATTTCGGAACGAAACGGTTGGAAACAATCGTATATTGTGCACGGAGCCGTTTCTTATGGCAAATGTAATACTTGTTAAACGTCATAGATGTGAAACATATGGAAAGACTAATTTAGTATCGATACGAATTTAACTGCCAACGGATCAACGACTCTGGACCGTGATAAACCAGATTTATTATTGACTTTTTACTTTAAAATGTCATCTAACCAAAATTACGTTTGCTTTTTATCTTTATCTCTATTTACACCCGACGAGATTTTTCAATCCGTTGTTCCCTGATCTATACCTATATACAATTGGAATATAATAATATTGAATTAAAACAAGTAAATTTATTTATTTTGATGATAATAATAAATAAACACGTATTTTTTAATTCAAAGCGTAGTGATTGTATTTTTTTAATGATGTTTATTTTTTTTTTTTTTTTAGTTTTAGGACAAATTTTTCTGTTAGAAATAATTACTGAAATGTATCAATCCTTTTTCGATAAGAAATTTTCTCTACTTGATACTTTAAAGAGGTCATATTTTGATTTTCGAAACGGTGTTCGAGATAAAGAAAAAAAAGGGAAAAAACGTATAATTTCACAAATTTTTAGGATCGTTTCATTATTTTAAATATGTACGGACCAAATTTTATACCAGGAATATATCACTATTTGAAAAACAGTAAATTTTTTGTTTTTGTTTGGGTCTAGCTTTTCAAATAATGATTTTCAAACACTTAGACATTTCAATTTTATGAATTTAGGAATATTATTACCGAGCTCCGCTCCGAATCGTCACGAGTCATGAGTCGTTTATCACTTCTCAATATAGGTATATAATATATATATATACATACATTTGTTTATTAGTTATTTAGGTATATTTTATCGATCAATACAAACAAATAGCTTATATAAAAAATTTCACAAAAAATTGGCTACGGTGGGTACTTGCAGACACCTACTAACAATATGAAAATTCTGTGACCGTGAGTGTCTGAATGTCCATAAATATTTTATATTTATCCGTATTTCAATCAACAAGGGGGTAAGTATACAAGTATGGGAGGAGGGGTCTGAGGAGGGGTTGCTCATTTGAAAACAATTAAATTGGTACGTATTATATATATTGATGACACTTCGGAATCGTGGACTTATTTTTCAGGAGACCGGAACTTTAAACTCCAAACTGAACTTCCTCTGAAAATAGCGAATACTAGCGTTCGATAGTCAGGGGGAACTGGGTGCGCACGCGTGCTCCCCCTCCCTCCCTAAATATTATTGGTTTAATTAGTTATTTCCTTATTCACTTTATTCCCTTGAGGCTATTTTATGCAGCTCTGTTTTACAATAAACTCTTATGTTTGTATAAAACAAACAGTGTCGTTTCGCACGATGACAACGCATCACAACGATATCTATATTGTCTGCTCCGGGCGGTGAATTTATACACTTTGTAAGAGGAAAAAATAACTAGAGAGAAATACTACTCGAGTGTTGATATTGTTTTTTTCCTGTAAAATCCGTCTACGTTTTACGCTTCATGGTCGCACTCTCGCACACCGTAAAAAAATAATAATATGCGTCTTTATTTAACGACACTGTAGTCGTAGGAGGGATTTTATACTAGTATATTGATAATACTATAGCAAAAAGTATACTTAAAATATCTTTGGGCTATAGTATTTCTCATTGCCACCACGGCACACACCAATGGCTTATTATTAACAATAATAATTCTGGTTCTTCTACTGACTGCAGATTTCTTTTTTTTTTATCCGGAAATAAAGAAATGAAATCTACTTTATTTCAAGAGAATTTTTTTAATTTTTGTTTTGCTCTGTGTTTTAATGGATTGCCTTTCAAACGAGATATTATTCTTGAATTTCGAATCATGTATTTTGATAAAAATCAAAAATCCATACAAAATATACCCACCTAGAGAATAAACATAATTTTATGTTAGCAAATACGTATTACGTTCCTTCCGAAAAATACCAATTATATAATAGCAATAGTAACTGTGGACGTCAAGATTTGTGTATGTAAGTACAAAATATTAGTCGTAATGTGATTTTTTTGAAGAGAGCTTTCAAGAACTCTACTAGGGGCTAGGAATCAAAATTTTCTTGAACACACAGAAATTATGAAGAGGTTTCAATGCCTATTTTTTTTCTTTTAAGCACGTGTAAGGTCAGTGATTGTAAGTACACTATTTCCATAATAATTACTGAAGATTTACTTTCAGAAAATAAGGAGTGACTTTTCCAATAAAATCCAACAAGTTATCGACGAAGATTTTCTTTAAAATTGATTTTGGGTTTTTTAAATTATTATGTAGAATTGTTAAATGGTTTACCGAATTTTAAATATTCTACCCTTGTTTCGTACACGATAAAGACGAATCCAATAAAATAGTAAAGTAGCATGCAATTTTCATAGTGATAAAAACTAGGGTTGAATTTCAATATATTCGTAAATTTAGACATGTCATTGTGAGAGTGTGTGTTTTTTGGCATTGAACAACCCTACAGCTCTTCCAAATTGAGCCAAGGAGATGGGACTTTGTTTAGTACGTGTATAACATTTCAAGGATGTACCTTTGGATATTTCAACTTTTCCCCTCTGCCATACCGTTTTCATGCTCTAATTCGCAATTTGTTTTTTTTTTTAAAAAAGTAACATAATATAATTGTACTCATTTAGTAAATGATATTGTATGGGTAATGTATTCTTCATTTAATAATGTTTTCCAAAGTATATGTATATTTAAAATATAAACTAAATGGAGAAAAATTCGACTTTACTAACCGAGGTATACTGCTCACGAATGTTTTAGATTCCGAGCGTAGCGATGGAGCTATTGGTTTTACACCGCTGTTTATTTTTTCTTCTGTGTCCTAGACCGTGGACTTGTTTTTTCCTAGTAAACTTTCTCCGATATATAATGGTAAAACATTTTCTGAAATCTCAAATTTGCTATATTCTACTTTAAAAGTCTTTTTTTGATTTTCGCGTACATTTATTAAATAGAACCACTTAAGTGGGAAAAAAACGTAGGAAAACGTACAATTTCATGATTTCATTATTTTATAAAAACGCGGACGACGTTTTCTACCAGAAAAATGATTTAATCGAAAAATCACAAGATACCGTTTTTATTGACTTTTTAATTTACTTTCTTACAATATTGACGCTAAATGTTTTGAGCATCTTTTGAGCTTTTAAGTAATTTGAATTTTTGGGAGTTTTTTTGCTGTAATTCGGTTATAAATACACGTTAAAACTTGAAACTTGGTAATTCTACTTATATTGGACTTACTGAGCTTATCTGATGTTGTAATATTTCGAAATTCATCGGACGACTTTTTTTTTTTTTTTAAACAAGCGTTTTGAAATTAAATTTAAACGAAAATCGCAAAAAAAAAAAATACGGCACTTAAAATTACGTATTACCGAACTGCGCTCGGAATCGTCTTTCGTCAAGCAATGGTTTATCAATGGTTGCTTACAGATATAAGTAAAATACATTTATGTATCCAACCTTCCGAACTTCTCATCTACAACAGTGGCCATTCCCAGTATCAACCCTTTTTTTTTTTTTAGAAAATAATGTATCATTCAAAAACTAAAAGCTGTACGTATATTGAATGGAAATTGTCCACAAAATTTTTAAATCTCAAACCACCTAGTTTGAATTAATTGATTTCGTGTGTTGTATAAGCAAATATCGTGTTATATACCTAACGCAGACTTTAATTAAAATAATAAAAGGTTGTCGCCAATGTAAATATGTACAAGCATATGGCAGACTTTGAACGTTTGCTGTTTAATTTCTGCCTGACCGCATATTTAATCGTGTAATAATATGCGGTCAAAAGTGACATTGCGTAAATTATTTTCGAGGACCTCGATCGAAAAATGTACATATGTACAGGTGTGTGAGTATATTGATTCCCGGAGTGGTTTTTTTTTTTCGTTTTAAATGGAACACGGTCAATTATATGTAACGCGGCTTTTATACAGTCAAAGTATTATAATGTACGAGCGTAAATATGATTTGTTTTTCTTCGGAGACTCACGATTTTCGTCGTACGATACGAGGTACGTTCCGCCCTTCGTTTTCACTACAGTGTCCAATGATCGTTAAAAGTAAACGTCAAAACACACACTTTCACACGCAAACACGGATTTGCAAGCCGAAATTCCGGACATTAAAACACAAATCTAAGTAGAACCATTTTCGTATGGCCCAGAGTCATATATGAGCGGTCGGAAAAACTAAACGGACGCTAAAAATGCGTCATACATAAATAGGTTATTTTTCTTTTGTGTAGCACACTCTCGCAACACGAAGATTTACGTTGAACGCGCGTGAACGTGTGGGAATATCGTATTATTTTATACTGGTAAGGTCTTAATATATAAATGGGATATATATTTTGAACGGTTGACACACTGTTCGCCGCGTAGTTTTACTTCCGCATAATATTTTAAGTTATCCCGACGTGGTATTAAATTCCACGATTTTAATAGAAAAAAAAAAAAGGAGAAAAAAACCTATACTGTAATACAACGTGGGTTGGATGAATTTTGACGATGCATATTGCGACTAAAAGTTTCGCGTATAAGTGAGTGTCGGGGACAAGTATTTTACTTTTACAAAGAAAATCAGCAGATTCGAAAAACCGGGAAAGTTATATTGGTTTAGGGTTACGCCGTGGGATATTTGGAAAAGGAATGGGCGAGAGGGGTTATTGGAATTATTCGAAAACTCGACGAACTGACGAAATAAAACAAACTCTGTCAAAAAAAGATTTCGACATAAATAAAATACAATACGGATTAAAATCCGTCGATATTTCCCTCTCGCCCGCGCATTCGCCATTGTCAAAATTGATTAATGACGGCGTAAGTAAACGGTAGCGTACGGAATTCCGGCTGCGGGGATATTGCATTACCAATAAGATTAATATAATTTCGCATGTAGCGAGTTTGTCGTCGGAGTTGCGTTTTATAATAATCCGTTAGAAATCGTTTTGCTCTTGCACTACGGCGGTACAGCGAGATATTGTAATACGGGGAACCGTTTGTTATTTCCGAATTACCGCGCATTGCGTTTCGAACGGTGAATGGAAGTGTTGTTCCTTTTCCGGGGGATCGTATTTATATTAGATTGCAGTCGTGTAATACGCACGTAATGGATGGATTATAAACCGTTACGATAATGCGTCGGATTATATCGCCGAACGGCCGTTCGAATGCCGAGTGTGTTCAATAGGCAGGGACATTATGAAAGGCGAAAAAAATAAAAAGATAAAAAAAAAAAAAAAAACACCCAACAGTTTCGATTTATGTAAAATTAATAATATAACCTTCAGATCCGATATTGCTTGAGAACCGCACCGCTCTCCGTGTAGTTGCCGCGCGTCTAACCACACAATATCCCCGTCCCGGACGAAGCTCGTTATACAGTTACACGAAATATGATAATTTCGTAACAATTTGCATATTATTTGAGAATTTATTTATTTATTCGTATCACTGCAATACAATATTTCGTTTTTCTTTTGCTATCTGTAGTACACGCAGGTAACTACCATCCTAAAAGCCAATTAAACCTTTAGGTGTTGATGTTCGTACCCATACAATGTACACGCTATTACATTACATTATTTACACAGTAGTATATGTTTTTTTGTTCTTTGATACGTGTGCACGAGACGAATAAAATATTTCATTCATGGCTTGTTGACGGGACGTTTTTTTTTCTTCTTATGTACGTATGACGGTACATTTTAAAATACCTAACGCGTCTCTTCGGTGTTTTCGCGATAGCAGTTTCTTCTCGGTCATGTTACTAAACTAATAATTTTTTTTTTTATTTGAGTTCAGATAACGGCTATAAATCATAAACGCTATATCCGATAACATTATTTTTTTTTTTTTTATGCATATCAAATATTGTTCCTTGGAATCTGCGTTGGAAACATAGTGGTGCTCTCTGTAAATCAAAAGTCTCATTATTGAAGGTGTAAAATAGTAAGATTAAAAATCTGTCATACGATAATGGGGAAGGTTGCAGCAACTATTGTTGTGAGCGCCGTCATTTTTTTTAACCTAACCTTCCCAAGTATTTTACCGATTATTATGAAAAATAATTTGAAAATAATAATAAAAAAAAGAAGTGCATTATTAAAAACAAGATTAACAATTCAATAAACAAGGTATTTTTTTCATTTTTCAATTAGAGCTACATTTTTCCTAGAAAACTTGGTAGGTATTTATTTAAAATAACGAAACCATGAAAAAATCTTATTTTTTTTATTGATTAATAGTTTTTATTTTAAATACCGTTTCGAAAATTAAAAAACGATCTATATATTTACCAAGTAGACAAAATTGACTTTCAAAAAAAGTGCTACACCTATACATTGAAGCGACTTTTCTAGGATAAAACTGTTCTATAATATATAAAAAAAAAAAAAAAAATAAAGTACCATTATAAAAACAACTACAAAAAGAAACAAAAAATTGTCCGGCGATTTTGGAAATTTTACCACGTCTAGGTAGGTCTATTATTACCAAGTTTCAAGTCTGTATGTGTGATTATACCCAAATTACAGCAACAAATCTCCCAAAATCTAAAATTCCTTGAAAGCTGAAAATCGGCTTGAAAGTTTTAGCAATGGTACCGTGAAAAATTAAATAAAAAATTCAACAAAAATGTATCCTATGATTTTTGGTTTAAATTATTTTTTCCGGTAGAAATCGTCGTCCGTTTTTATAAAATAATGAAATCGTTAAATTGTAAGTTTTCCTACGTTTTTTCCCACTTAAGTGCTTTTACGTTGAAAAGTCCGTCAAAACTCAAAAAATTCACCGATTCAATGTATATTATAGACAACACGAACTTTAAAAAAATGTTGCTGCGCGTAAAAATCGAAGCAAGTTTACTAGGAGAAAAACGTGTCCACGTACCGGAACAAAGAAAAAGAAATAAACAGGCATTGTAAAACCATGGCGTTATTCACCTTACTTGGAATCGGTAGATTTAAAAGAGTAATTTTGAAAAAGGGTATATTTCTCCGCAGAGCTCACCTACGCAGGTACTTTGGTAAGTTTCTTCCGGAATAATCTGTTCACAACACGAAATTGATTTTTACGACACTTATTCTATTCAAAAAACGTGAATACGATCCGTATCCGTCAAAACCTATTTATATTAAATACGAAAAAAATTGTCCGTCGGTATATCATCGGCTGTACGCCATATTGATTAACAGTAAAAATAAACATATACTCGCATATATATATATATATTTTTTAAAACGCTTTTCGTAAATAATTTCAAAATAGCAACCGGAAACTTGTTCGTAACAAATCGAATTCGTTTACAACGTAAAATTTCAACGCGCTTATTACCGTAAATAATTATAACTCGGATAACCGTAGTTGAGTTAATAGTATTTAAGACTATAGCCGTACAGTTTAATCCCATTAGGCCACCGTAGATTAGACGCGAACTTTACGCAACAGAAGTTGTGTATGATTTTCACGTATTTGTTTTACCAGTTATATAATATATACACTATGTGTGTATACGAGTAGTATAATGCCGTACTGTATAATGGGCGACTAAAAGTCGAATCCCTAATTCAATTCAGTTTTACGCGCATTCAAAAATTATTAAAGAGACGAAAGAGCGGGACGGCCGTGGATTTTAACGATTCGGGTTGTGTACGCAAATTTGTATCGACTATGTTGACGTTGTAAAGATCGTGTTGTGAGAGCAGCGGAGCGGTAATAAAACGAAAATTTCGCCGGCGCGCGAAATACCGATACTCCACTACGGGGCGACCCCCTACCGGAATCTAAAAAAGTGAAATGTACCATTAACGGGTCGACGGAAATCAAAAACGTCAACACCAAAATGTGTTTAAAGTTATACTCCGTATGTTTACGAAATTTTTAATATACGTTCTCGTTTGACGAACCAAAAGTCGGTATCACCACAAGTATCACTCGTTGAATGTTGCGATAGATCTGAGTGATTATTCGAAAATATCGGCTTCGACTGTTTATAAAAATTCCGAAATCACAATTTTTATTTTCATCACTCAATCACTGAAAAAATAATATTGTTTTTCTTTTTAATTTTAACATTTTCAAAATATCCGTTTTGTAAAATCTATCGTTCTAAAAACTGTTCTGTAACTTACATTCGTATCCGATTAATAGTATTTTAGTTAGTTATAGTGGCTTGAATACATAAAAAATGGGCGTGAAAACAGTCAATATTCAATAGAAAATAAGGAGTTGCCGTGATGATTGTGATACCTTATCGCGTACTGCGTTACACTGTTGAAAATTAATTGTTTTCACGCCAATTTTTTAGTAATTAAAACGGTTATTACTAAAAAACCGTTAATCAGATATGAATGTATATTCCATCATAAAAAATTAATTTTTCTTTTCACATGTGTCTCGCACAAAATACTATTTAAAAAAAAAAAAAAAAATGAATACTAAAAGAATTATTAGCGTAAGGATAACACTGTAGAACATCCTGTATACTCGCGCATAATATGAAACGCGGAGTCACGTTGAAACAGTGAAGTTTTATAACATATTGCATCGAATATAACAACTAAAATATAGTATAGCGAAACACGAGAAATTATCAAAAATGCATGATACGAAAAAAACGGATGTCGCCGTACAACTTTATACCCCCGTATACATTTCTTATAGTATTAATATAATATCATGTTATTATTATGTTTATTCTACCGTTTTTTAAATATGCATTTTTGATCACTCTGTATATAGGTATATTCTACACATTATATTACTATAACACAAAGTATATAATAAACTATGTTTTTACATTTATTATGAACCGTATATAGTTGTATTTTTCAAACGAATGTTGTTTATACAGATTAATCGTTGTCAAAAAAAAAACGAAATGAATATTATAGAACATATTTGTTTATATTATGACTAGCGGGGGTCTATACCCCAGATCCCAGCACACCTCCATATAACTGCAGTTAACCAAAGCAAATCCAGACGTTTTAACACCAGGAGGCATGTCTTGAAGTCGAAAAGAAAACTGTGTTGGTTAATCAATTACAATTAATTACGTACGTTAATTTCAATTCAAAGTCGTGTAATGCGCCTACCTACTCAGGTGCGGTTGATAAAATGAGAGTATTTAAAAAAAAAACTATTCATATTTAGTAAAAAATCTAATAATAAAATAACGATCGATAGACGGTACGCCGTTTTTTTTTTATGTAACTGATGGGTGAATAAATGGAAAACAATTATAATAATTATGCAAATTATACAATACTGAGGAGGGTTTACAGAAGTTACGCTGTAAAAAAGGTTATTCGAATGTTGTAAACTCATAAATAACAATCTGCCCGGAACAAAAGTGAATTAAAAATCATAGTAAAAATATTCGTTACGGGTTTAAATTACGCGCGACGTGTTTAATAAAACCGATAAACGGCGAAATCGAGTGGGCGAAGTGAAATGTCGTAAAATACCGAAGTAAATGTTATTTTATTCTGCGCGCGTAAACATAACAAGCGTACTTACTGTGCGCGCGTTTTTAGGAACACGCGTACGAACGGCGCGACGGTTTCCGAAATCGCCGAACGTTTTTGCTCTCGCGTGAAATCCCGAAACCCGTTTGGATTGCGGTGCGAAACGATAGGAAAACGGAGAAATAGTCCGGCGTTCGGTAATTTTCCGTTTAACAACGCGACGCGCAACGTCTGACGGTGGCCGACGCGTCAACGACCGAATATCGCCGCGCGTTCGCCGGGCGGACCACCGTCGCCGCTACAACGTCTCGACGCGTCCGTACCGGACGAATCGGTTAGGCTCGCGCGGTCCGTTTGACGTGTCGGACGGTACGCGGTCCGCGGTGCGGCACGTCTCGCGAACGCACAAACGGGCCCGGCGCGGGCCGCGACGTCGCGCGCGCGGATATCGCGTCGAAAGACGTCTGCGCGGTTTTTTTTTTTTTTTTTTTTATCGTATTCGTAATCCGGAATACAGCGCGCTTTTGTTCGCGTTACCGCGCTCGGGCGCGCGTCACGCGACACGTGTTTTTCCGTATTTTACGATTTCAGTTCGCGTTATTTTTCCGTCGGATTCTATTCTAATCACTGTTTGGACGCCTTCAAAACGTACCGTTACGACGACCCAACGACTCTTAAAACAATGCGATTCGCCCGTCCGTATAGAGTTAACCCGACACGATTGTAAATGTACGCATTACGCGACATTCATCGAAATTCTCGAACGCGTTTAAATCAAATACCCATATACTTATAACGCACGGGTTACGTCGGAAATGAAGGTTAGGTCGGGTCGAGCCAAACGCTCAGGGAAATCGTTCACGTCGTGTACGGTGATAATTGTCCGGTTCGTGAATTTTGACGAAAATACATTACGCGTAATGGAATAATGCCCATGCTGTAAACTTCGTCCGATTAGCCTAAACAACAATTGTTTTCAATGTTTTTTGACGAACGGAAATAAATCGGTAATTTACGTTATATTTTTAATAAGCTAAATGCATTGTTTTGCGAATGGCGTTGATAATGTTAAATACGTTTCAATCAATTTTAAGTCGTGGACTATGAATTTATCCGTCGTATTATTTATTATTCATTGACGATTAATTATGACATCGATTATTAAAAAAGCATGCTATTTTCAAAACTACTTGATTAGCGGTAAGGAGTTTTCGCCCTATACGAATAAGATAAAACGCTTCGCCCTTCTGTATTTGTTTTAATCGTTTCACGCACCGAACACTCTACATTTTTATCAACTTGATCAGTAGTAACGGATTGAGGCGGAGATTCGTTCAAAAATTCTTTGCCAAACCATACTTTGTTCCAAGTTTATGTAATCCCTTTTGTTTTTTTACCGCGAACACACAATTAATGTCCGGTCCGGGTAATCTACAGGCCTCTTATCGACTTTAGTTTGGTTTGTAATAGATAGTAGAGTATAGTGTGTATCTCATTTGTAAATTCAATATAATATAATTTATCGTTATAATTTCGTTCACAAAACGACTTGTCCAAAAGTATAGTATTTAGACTAATTTATTACACATAGCGTATAGTGTAGTCCATAATAAACGGATGCCAATACAATATGGTTTCATCAAAATTCACAATCTGGATTGATTTCACTAAACGAAAATCGCTTTCATGAAATGAACAATTCAATTATGTAGACGCTTTACCGTATACAACACATTTTAAGTGTTTATTTGTAATTGTTTTTTTAAAAAAAAAAAAAAAAAAAACAACAATTTTAGAATATTTTTTTTTAAAAATTGTTTATATACTTACTCGTATTTTTAAATACTTAATTATCCTATACTTATTCCGATGTGTTTTTCCTCCGATTTTCAGAATGGAAACGTGATATATCGGGACAAAAAACGCACACAATGAGCTTCTTCACGTCACTTCATCAGATCGTCACTAGCAGTGTGGCGAACTTGAACTTAAGCCCGAAACGGTTTTCGTTGTCCAAGGAAGCGGGAGCCGACGGCGACGATCCGACGCCGGTCCCGGGCGTGGTCCCGGGCCCGTCCAGCCGTTCGGCCAGCACGGGCAGCGTTAGTGGCATACCCCGGATCGTGACGCCCCAGGGCAGTGGAGGCGGTCCCAGGTCTACCGGACCCAGACGAACGGGATCATTCAGACAGATCTCGCAGCCGAGAAACCCGATGGCATTCTGCAGGCGCAGACCTTCGTGGCCCGAAATTGACCAGACCGCATCGTCCGGGTAAGACGTCACCGTGTAAACGTAAAAACCGCACGTGTTCGATAGTATTGGGTTAGGTACTGTAAATATGAATTATACATTTTTTCGTACCCACACGCTCGGTTTGTTTACACGCCGAGTTTGTTTACCGAGTGTATAATTTACAAAAATTACTCACCGCGCTGATACAAAGTTAAAATAATTATTACTATTTGAATCGAGCATTATACAAAAAACTGAAAATTATAATTAAATATTTGAAAAAAAATAAATGTGATCTGTGTACTTTTATAAATAAATAAGCAATACGATTTTCTCCGCTTTGAAATCGTCGATTACAAAGTAATTGCAAGGCTGATTTTTTACAGTTTTTACATTAATATTAAAATATTAATTACCAATTAGATCCGGGTTATTCTATTTTGTATATAGAGTGATTCGTAATGCGTGCTCACTCAATTTGTATAGTTAAATTTTACTGTTATCTTAAAAGGACTGTTATCCTATATGTGACTTAAAGTAGAATAACTCAACACATTTTCGTTCAAATGTTGATTTTAATACATGACCTTTTTAAAGAAAATTGTCTGATTTACAATTTGTTTTACTACGCTTCAAAATTCTAAAAATCAGAATTTGAATTAACATAAAATTTCTCGAAACAAATAGGGTGAGCATGCTAAATGAATCACTCTGTATGTATATAAATGTATTATGTTGCGGTTAACGTTTGTAAAATCGGTTAATTTCGCCATGTCTTTTTACGAAACGTATATTGATAATACATCGATTATAAATAAAACAATTTCAAATAAATAACCCTCCCTGAAAGCTAATATTGTGATGTGAGAGTTAAGTTCATTATTTATTAATAATACAATTAGTTAAACAAATATGTTTTATGCTATTAAAATATATCAAAATTAATGAATAAAATAATGTAAATACATTTAAATATTTGAATCAAACATTGCCAAAATCTGTTTTATATAAAAACAAAATATTGAAAGTTTTTAATTTTTTTAAATTGTATTTAAATTAATGTAGAATCATTTGCATTTAAATTTATATATTGTCATTATAAATTAATGTCATTATTTAAACATTAACCGAATTTGCGCTGTTAGTTTTAATATAAGAGTATCTTAGTCTATTATAAAATTTAGAAATAAGATAAGATCGTTATCTGTTTTTTTACGGATTGTTTTTTGATATTTTCATTTTTAAGTCAGGTTTGATGATTTTATTTTAACTGTAATATTTTCCATATTCGTGATTCACTCGAAAATTAAATCATCGAAAAAAAAATACAAAAACAAGTAATGATCTTATTTTTAAGTTTTATAATAGATACACTCTTATATTGAACCTAAGAGCACAAATTCGGTTAATGTTTAAATATATGAACATTGACCAATTTTACAATATTATCCATAACACAAACCGTATGTCCCAGAAGTCCCGTGCCTTCATGATTATCTTCATTGAAAATCAGTTCATCTAAATGCGGATTTTTCAGCAGTAGTCTGTGAATAAATTTCAATTTAATGGCATTCATTCACTCAAAAAAAAAAAAAAATTCAAAAATAAATTTTGTATGCAATGCAATTTAATTTTGAAAGTTTTCAACTGATTATTATTATTATTATACGTAGATACACATAAAAAATAACTGCATAACAGTATTGTACAATTGAACAACTATGTTTGGTAGGAAAAGTGGTATTATAAAGTTAGTTAAATTTGTTTTAAGTTAATACATATTTTAAATAATGAAAATATATGGTTTCGAAAAATGTATTTATAAACATAAAAAAAGAAACCATCATCATAGTAAAACCTTTAGATTTCTCTCGCTACGCTCTAAACGGACATGCTTAGCACGATCGGGAAATCAGTGTTGTTGGTGAAAGTTTTGGGAAACCGAATGTATAACTTATATACATTATTTATTTAATACTTAATGATTAATCATTGCTAACGAAAAACAATTCTGAGCGGAGTTTGGTTGCACTTGTTTTGAAAGAACGTAATATTTACGATTTGAAAACAATACAGTTTTGTAAATGTTCATGTTTTTCCTATGTTTTTATCGATTTTTCCCATTTATTATAGAAAAAACCAAAAAAAAACCTTTTCAAAGCACTACCCCAGTAAAATTATCTTTCAGAAAAAGTTTTACACCCGAGGGTCAGGGCAAAATTTCTGGTGGAAAAATTGTTCAGAGAAAAAAAATAAACATCATTGTAAAACCAATACATTTTTTGCTCCGTGAGGAATCTAAAAGTTTACAGAGTTAAAAAATAAATTTTAGAGCAAAACTATGTTATATAGTCGGTTGTTGCATTTTAAGTTAAATATAATTATTATATCACGATGAGAGTCTAAAATTTCAATGATTATTATTATACGTAATATAAATTAATTTTTCTGCAAAATTTTGTTAATTATATTACGATATAATTATATTTTTAACGTTGATACATTATTAAAATTATTAAAAATATTATTATATTAAATAATTAAACTATTATATTACGAGTGTGAGTAATTTCTAATGATCTTAAATTTTCATGTAAGATTAATTTAAATGGGTTTTATGTAGTTTCTAAGTGGATCGAAGAAACTCGTGGTTTTACAGAGATGTTTATTTTTCTTGTCTGTGGACAACATTTCTGCCATAGATTTAGCTCCGATTTGTATGTGTAGCGCCATTTCCGAAGGGTTATTTTTCTAATTTGTCTAGAGTTGTCTCATCAAATGTGAAAAACCTATAAAAACAGAGGGAAAACAGGAAAATGTACAAAAAGCGGGAAAATTGGTAATTTAAACAAATATTAATCAAAGAAAATATATAACGCCTATACAATTATTTTACCATATGACATACATATTGTTGAATCGGAACCACTATCAACTGAACTCCGCTCTGAATCGTTTTTTTTTTTTTTTTAGCAATTTTCGTTAGCAATGGTTTATCGCTGCTTACTGGTGTACATTGAATTAACAGTGGCTGTACCTGTTTCCATTATCCTAGAACGTCCTTTTTAATCCCTGTATCGTTTTAAAATTATACAACTACACTGTTATAGACTGCAATATAATCCTGTCCAATTCGAAGTCGAACGCGTATTCTGTCATTTAAAATAAACACGCGATAAAATAATATTTTCATATAGGTACCCACACATATATGTATTTAAGTGCCCCACTAAAAACGAATAACAATATTCCAATTGTTTTTCCTATACTTTAAACAGATATTGTTTTTTGATGTTTATTTTCATTACCAATAAATTATTCCCCCGTGTATAATATACAATATGTGTTTTCAAAAAAAATAAAAAATAATAATAATAATAATAATATTAACATATTTATGTATGTGAAATATAAATCAAACGTCGGTTTGTTTTTTAATTTTATCATATCGATACATAAACTTATATTTTTTTTTTCCGTGGCAAATAATATGCCGTGACCGCAAAACTGTACGTGCCATCCACTTATCTAAAGCTGTCTTTTCTTTCGACTGAAAAATAAAAAGGCAAAAGTAAAAATGTCAAAACTGAACGGTTTCACAGTGTTACAATAAGAATGGGTACATCATATGTTATCGACATAATAGTATTTTATTCACAGCTGTAGGTTATAAATCCGAATATTCAAAAAGTCAGACGATCTTCGCACAATGGGTCAGTCATGGTCTTAAATGAAAGTCAAGAACTTAAGATACAGTAAATAACGATAATTTATTATATCTAAGCAAAAAAATAACAATAATATCTATTATAATAACTCAAATAATTCCATTGAGTTTTAAAAATATTGCGCAACGTCTATATAAGCGCTAATAATATATTACGTGTTGCACGAAAGTTTCAAGCCTTTGCGATTAGTTTTCACCGAGCTTAAAATGAGGTAGGTATCTAGAATCTCAAAAGTTAAATTATAACTTCTAGAAGACAAAAATATTATACATATTTAGATAAAACACTTCACGGTTCATTGAATGAATTCAGTAAGTCTTACAATACGCTATAACTTAAAAGTCAATCGGTATTATTTCAAAATGCATACACATCCGCGTAACTATGTAATAAGGTTCCAATGAAGTTTATCACAATAAACCTCTTCAAATGGGTATTGAATAGATCAAATTTCCAATAGAATATTTGGAAAGAATGGCACCTGATTCGAGTTGCTCGGGATTATATTTTCAATTGCGAGAGAGCGGCGGGTATACTGAAAACGAGTGGGTAGAACAATTGTATTTATTTATTTTGTTTAAAGTATTATTAAATAATAAATCATCTTGTCCTCGAATTCGTAAAGACATTTTGTACAATCATTGTTGCGCGGCCCTCTCATCCGTCTAAAAACTAGATTTATTAGCTTAGTCTACAATTCGTTATTATTAAAGAATTCCTCTTGGAGGTATAATGAAATAACAAACTTTTACCTAATTATACGGCATTTCTCTTTATATACGTACTTCACGTTCATAGTTTTTTTTTTTTTTCATTTTATAGCGTTTATAGTTTACCTACGCGAGTAATCGTGTTTTTTTTTTTCATTTACATATTTTAATATGAATATATTTCTACAGTTATCAAAATTATTATAGCCGACAGTATCTATATTCTAAAAATGTAGCCAGTTTTATTAATATTTTCCGGAATGTTTGATATAAATTTACTTGTTATAATCGATTTCGATGATTTGATTAGAATAGTTTTTGATTCTGAGTGGAGCGAAGAAGCTTATAGTTTTACAAAGATGTTTTTGAAGATTTTTGTTTCTTTAGACGAATTTTTTACTAAAGGACTTACACCGATTTTTACGCGTAGCAAACTTTCTGAAAGAAAATCGATGTGAAAAGGTACCTTAAAGAGGTCATTTTTTAATTATTCCAAGAATTTTCTCAGCAAATTTGAAGAATTAAGAAAACCGGGAAAATCGGTAAAACATTAAACTAATATTATTAAAGAAAATGTATGGGGCCCATTTAATTATTTCACTATAACGTGGCATATATATGGTTGACGAAGCATCGCTATCAACTGAACTCCGCTCAGAATCGTTTTTTCGAAAACAACGGTTTATATCGTTGCTTACAGGTATACATTTAATTACCTATTACAGTAGCTGCACACGTCCCCATGATCCCAGGACGTATTTTTTTTTTATTCCATTTACTATGATTTATCGGTGCATACAGTAAAATGTAAACAATAAATTATCCTATTAATTTCATACTCTGCCTTCCCGACTACCTATTAACAAAAATGGCTTATCCACGAATATATTAACTTTTTCCGAATAAAATTAATGTTCGACGATGAAAATGTTTTATTATAAAGTACTATACACAGTTTACGATATTAAAAAATTTGTAATACGTTAAAGTGAATTATTATTATCTATTTGGTTTCGTGCTGTACGCGTTTAATGCGTATAAACATAAAATTAAATTAAATTAAATTAAAAAAATGTTAAAGACACACGATATCGTTAAGATGAAAAATCGCAAACGGTCGAAAATCTCCATTGTATCGCATTATACCTGTGTACACATACGACCTGAGACTCCGGGGTAATCGTCGACATAACTCGGGTTTTCCGCGTTCCGGTTTACCGTTACTTAATCTTCATTATAACATTGTTGGACGTCTCTCGGACGGTTCCGGTCTTCTCCGGTGTAACTTTTGATAAATTTGTAACGCAAAAGATAAATATCCGTACACAGTATATATGTATATAAATGTATATGTATATATATATAAATGTATATATATATATATATAGGTGGGAACTAAACACCGAGTCGATTACGGGCCGGAATTGTTGGAAAACTTGTTAAAATACAAGGAGATTAATAATCGATCGCGGCGCCGGTTCAAATATCATTCTTCAGTATATCAGTTAATATTCGTATAGCTGATAATTTCGACGCGGATAAACTAATAACGATTCCTCCATACTATGTGTTTGGGCGCGTCGATTTCGCCGAGAGGTTGAACGTGGTTAAAAACACGAGATAGGCTCGTTGAAAACCGATGTGTCCCGAGATGATGTTTCGCGATTTCCAAACATGAACTAGTATGTAACGATTGAAAAAACGAAACACAATAACAGTGTTGTGTAAACGTAAATATACATTGCGAAACAGTTGAATGAAGATAAATAAATGAGAAATTTTACTTACCGTAAGAAAAAAAAAAAAAAAAGAAGTTTTTTTTCCGCAACAAAACGTAGTGTTGAAAGTGTTAAAAGCGTACCGGACGAGGTACAATTACACGTTAAGTGATTCGACTTAATAATGTATTTATTAAAGCATAATATTAAGTAATATAAATGAAATATTTTTACGAATTTTTTAAGATTCTGAGTGTAGCGAATGTTTTACAAAGATGTTTGTTTTCAATTAGTATTAATATTATTATTTTTTTTACACTTTCTATCTTAAAAGCTTACTTCGATTTTTATATATTTGATTTAGACAATTTTCCGAAAAAAAATGTTCTTTGAGTGGTATTTTAGGGAAGTGATTTTTTGGTTTTACCGGGGGTTTCTCAACAAATTGGGAAAAACCGATAAAAAATGGAGAAAGACCGGGAAATTGTACGAAATGTATATATTAGTTGAAAAATATTTAGGCTTTTTTTCTGTTTATAACTTTTCTACCAGCAATTTTATTCCAATTTACAATGATGATACATTTTCTGAAAAGAAATCTGATTGGGTAGTTACTTTAAATAAGTAATTTTTTGATTTTTCCGTGGACTCCAAAGGTTTATCGTTGCTTACAGATAATAAATTAATTCCCCTCTATATCGTAACTTTCCAACTTCTCATCAACATTGGCTGCACTCATCGTATAAAGTATATCCGTTTTTTTTTAGTAAAAATAAAAACATAAATTACGATTTAAAGTACCTTCCCGTCACACATCCTTTCAGAAAAGGTGCTATTTTATTTCATGCTATCATTGTAAATCGGAGCAAAACGACTGGAAAAAAAGTAAAGTCGTCCACAGAAGAAAATAATCGTAATATTTTACTAATACATCCAGATAAAACACAACCAAGGCCTCTTCAGGGTCAGCTTTGCTGGGCCCCTGGTGAACTAAATCTTCTGGGATCCTTTATTTTTTTAGGGTTAGGTGTAATTTCCAATGGACATTTTATTTATGTAGACCCAGTCCCTTAAAAATAGCCTTAGAGTCGGTCACCGGCCAAATTACCCGTGAAAACCGGCCTGTATACCGCCCTGAAAACAATTCTGTGTCTATTTAAAACAAAATCATCATTAATATTTCTTTCGATTTATCGTCGTCAAAAATGTTTTCAAAATAAATTTATGCCTATGATTGTTGTATAAAAAATTGTAATTTTTGTTTAAAAAATAAAATAGTACGCAATATCGTAGCTCAAGACTCAATAGTTATTATTAAAAAGAATGAAACCAAAAATATCGAACATAAGTTATTGCATTTGTTAGATCTCCATTGGAAATTATGAAATCCCGTAAAATATTTTCTCATTTTTAAAGAGGCATAAAACATTTTATGTTTGGTAACTTCAATGTAATGAAATTAATATAACATTGTATGTATTTGATTTGGGTTGAAAATTTCAAGATTAGTTGAATACCTATTATTTTTTACTATAATTGGACTTTTTTTTTTTTTGAGCTAGTCACCTACTTTATGAAATATAAAAAAATGTCAATATTTTCAGAGCGTTAAACCGGCTAAATGTTGTTAAAAAATAAAAAGCTCAAATATAGGTTAGTAGGTAGGTACTGACTGCTCGGTTAGTTGGATTTTATAAAAATGAAAAATACGTGAACTACCTAACTGATAATATTATATATTTTATTCATGACGATAACCCACTAGACATTTTTTTTTCCTGAGGATCCCCGAATTTAACGGTGGAAATCCCTAGGTTATGACTTGACGAACAAAAGGTCGAACGTCATGTCAATTTTCTTCCCTCTCTCTTCCTCCCATCAAATATTTTATTTCCGTCATCTATAACTCGGCGAACACCAACTACTATAACGGCTGCCGTCCGACCTTTTGCAATATTATAGGAGGCAATCAAAATACTAATAAAGACGTGCTTTGGATTTTTAATATAAAATTATAGAACGAGAAAGGTAACATTGGTAGGTATGTGAAAATAATAATACGGTCAAACAAAATAACATTCGACAACATATGAACATTATGTAAGTATGAGTTTAAAACCGTTTTAACTATTTCCTTTTGCTATTAAAGACAATTTTCTAGAACCCTAAATAATATGGAAATTAAAAAAAAAAAAAATTACAATCGTTCGTGACTTTTCGCTTCGAAGTAATGATCATTTTTATGGAACCAGAAAAATTATATCCCCGAAAATTAGTAAATAGTACGATAAAAAATACTATAATTTTTTGATTTCTGTCAAAATTGCAGGTTTCAAAGGAAAAAAAAATGTAACTTATACGGATTTTCGATATTTGTGTAATGTGAAAACAATTAAATAAACCTTTAGAAATTAAAACGGCCATAAATAGCTCGAAATCACCAAAATGTTTTTAAAATTGTACGACGTGTAGACCAGTCCATTATTTGATATTCTGTGACATTTTCAGATGTCTACGATTAGTTTTCAATGAGTAGCAACACAAACAACAAATAGAAAACAACAGAAGCTGTTAACGTGTAAATATTTACTATTTTTTGCGTTTTCTGTAATTGTAAAGAAAACTACAAGAAAAAAAAAAAATTTTAAAAGACACCCGAATTGTACTTTTCTAGGCTAAATGAGCGAACAAAATTTGCTACAACAAACAATTCTCAACGTTTATGATTTGAAATTCCCGGCTGGTAAAAAAGTGAAAACACATAATAGTTAAAACTGTAAAACCAAAACGCTAGGGGCTCACCCGAATAAAAAATTTGAAGAATATTTTACCACGTTTATAATAATTATTTTCGAGAAAAAAAAATAGATAAATTATTGACGAGAAAATGGGTTATGGTCAGGCTAATAATAATTTAATTACCTACCTTTTTTTTTTTTTTAATATTTTCATATTTTCTTACCGCGATTACATTTTGAATACAATTTTTTTTTTTAATATTCTATGAAATCCAACTAAAATATTATGTAAGTAATATTAGTATTACTTACGTATACTTAGATACATTATATATATATATATATACATTTTTTTACGATTATCTTGTAAAAACCGGTGGATACGGGAAAATTAATTTTGTGGATTTCAATAGGCAGATAAACTTTTTCAATAATATTCTTGTAGATGGTATTTTTTTTTTTTTTTTTTTTTTTTTTTTTTTTTTTTTTTGTTGCAATAGAAAATATCATATTATTCTGTATAGGTAGACAGGTCAATTTAGGTAATTATTTTCTACAAAAAAAAAAAAGAAAAAAAAATACATATTTTCGTACTTTCTTATCGGTCATAACATTATTTTCATAACAACCTATCTAACGTTCAAACATAATTTGACGTATTGAAACTACATTTAATATAATTATAATTCATAAAAAAAAAGTTCCCGGTTCAATGGACACGATTTTTTTTTCAAAGTCGAGTTCTTAGGAAATGGCGAATGTACATTTAAAAATAAGCGTATAAAATGTACATTTGTAAATAAGCGAGTTCTTTGGGCAATAACTGACTGATAACTTTACCGTTGATATTATAGGAATGACATTGTTTTTCAACAATTGCTATTTTATCGTAAATAATTTTAATACACGGGATTGTTGGTATTCCGTAGAAACATATATTTCCGAAAAAATTTCGCGAAAAAATTACGAAATTTACGAATTTGTTGGTCTGTTTTTATGAAGCAGTGATAACGCTTATTAGGTGGATTTTGAATTTGCTAAATATGTACTAAATTAGGTGTCACGTTTTGTATTCGAGAGCCGTATGAAATACATACAGTGGGGTTTGGAATTGTAGCTTAGTGAAATATTTAAAAAGCCACTTAGAGTAAAGCAATAAAACAGTAAAAATCCTAAAAAGCATCAAAATCCTAAAATCAAATAAAATAATTATAATTTACAACTCCGAAAAAGTAATTAAAAAGTAAATATAAGCCAACAAATTATTAAACAACCAAAATATAATTTATTTCGCATACTAATAATTATTTTTCTGTACGCGAAGACAAATGCAGTTTGAATTTACAGAATAGGTAGTTTTGTTGTAATAGAAGGTAGGTCGGATGGTCAGAATCGTTTATCAGTTATCTATAATTGTTATCCAGTTCGATCAAACGGACCGTAACATAATCACGGTACGTCCGAATAACGATTCGCACTTTGTTTTTTTAAGTGATTCTCGTAGTTTATACAACCTGTACTTAGCGTTCAGGCCTCATATTGGACAAATAGCAAAAAAAAAAAAAAAGAAAGAAATGCCCACAATTTCCGAGCTCTACATCATACTAATTAATAATATTAATCTGTTTGGGGTTATTGAACGTAAGGGTTTATCGCTGCTCACAGTAGATAAACTTAATTATGTTCTATCGCATTACTTCTAAACTTCCCACCGACAAAAATTTCCTACCACGACGCGCAGTGTGCCCATTTTTTTTTTTAGGACGCTCTTGCTCGTAAACATTAGTAAATTTCTCGGATATTTTCTCGGTAAATAATACTCGAGTGTTATTATACTCACTTCGAAATTTCCGCTCGGTTGACTAGGTAGAAAGTTTGCCTGCAGGAAAGAGTAACTGGTACAAATACCTACGTAATATACAATATGCCAGGCAGGAAGTTGTTCGTGAACCGTTAAAAAAAAAAAATGAATATTAAAAGTACATTTCCGGGTATCTACATACGAATAATGCGTATTGTTGAAAAAAACCGTTTTTTTTCCCCGTTGGTTCTGTTCATATTAAAAAATTAATTTACAAAATGCACGATAAAAAAATACTATATATATTTATACAGTTTGCATCTGAATTTTGCACACCCTGTGTACGCACATATATTATGACATGTACGACGAGCGAGTTAAATAAACAAAAACAAAATAAAAAAACTGACATTGCTGATAAATGTGCCAGTGTACAACTGTTGTAGGAAGGATATTGAGAATGTTTGACACTTATTGTCTTGGGAAATATTTGAACCTCATTAAATATCTCCAAATTAAAAACAAAATTGAAATTATAAATTATTGAATTTTTAATAATTTCATTTACACTAGCTCTACAATAGTGCATGATTTTTGTTTTTTTTTTTTATATTGTCCCTATAATAATTAAAGAAAAGTACTCAAAACTAAATTTTAAGATCTTTTTTTGTTTTTAGCGTTCTTTAACGTCCAAATGACTAATATAAAATGTTTAGTTGGTCCGACTTGATAAATGTAGTGGATAATAAATAAATAAAAACTCGTTTACTAATATAATTTTTTTTTATTTAAATAAATTTAGTATGCCAGATTGCTTTTTTTTTAAAAATACTAATTCAGGATAATGATGGAAGTTCTAAATCTGAGCTTACTTATCAGCATCCTATAAAATACGTTTTTTTCAATTAATATAAATTTGTGTATGTAAATGTGGAATTTACGTATAAATAGTTTATAATTCGTCAAATTATGTTTTAACACTCATAATAAAATCTACATAAAAAAAAAATGTGTAAACAATTTCCATAAAATAGTTAAATTATCTATATTTTAAAAAAAAATATTCTTTTTTATTCGAGAAAATCATTTTTTGAAACACTGTAAGACGCACGGAGTTTGTGAATTGCTTTCCAAAAGTGGATAATGGTTTTATTTCCAAAAATAAGGGAAGCAAAAAATAATGGTAATGCGTAACACTTTAGAGTTTCTGGTTTCTTAAATTTTATATAAAACAAATTTAGAAAAAAGCTAATACTTTTCTATGTATTGGTGTTTTAAGTTTTGTCGATCACTCTGTATAATTTTATTAAATTTATAATTGTACTAATTGTTAAATCAGTGATTTCAGAAAACGATTCTGAGAGACGTTATAAAGGTTTTAAAATACCGTGTGCTTTTCATAAACATTTTAAATTTAAAGGCTTTCTTAAAGAAAAAAATGAATATATATTATGACATTAGACTCTCTTTTTTTATTTTATTTTTTCAACACTAATAAAAATAATTAATCTTGCGTTCAATTTTTGAGAATTTCGGAAGGTCAAAACCTTTACCCGTAGAAAAATAAATAAAAACAATAAAACCTGGACAATTTCATTATTAAATGCTTTTTCAATTTGATCAGTTTTTATGATAATAATGTTATAACAACATGCTGATAGTACGAGTATTATTGTTCTTTTTGTTCATGAATTATTAATAACATTATTTCCTAAAACAAATATTGTTGTTAACATTCATCGGTTTATGGATTTAGTAAAGTTGCGTGTGTTTTATTGATTGGGTAACATTTATTATAATGGATATTATACATTATAAAAATTATCGTACTGCGATTTTCGTTTCACTAGAATAATATAGAGATCTCGCGTTTTTATGGTTTTAAGAAACATCATTAATCTTTATGCAATGTAAAAAAAAAAAAAAAAAACACTAAAAACAAATTAACACAAAAGTATAGACAATTTATAATTTTTGGAAACTTATAAAATTGTTGTAGTATATAATTACAATTTATCAGATTAATTAAATAAAGATTGTAATTTTTTTTTTTTTTATTTTTTTTTCGCGCTAAAAGAAAATGTTCGTTCGAAAAAGACGTTGGTATTATTAATAAGAATATTCAGAATACAATGTTGATTAAGTAGTTCTATAAATTTCGTTATGACGATTTAACAATTCAAAATCTTCTCGTAATTAAAATTTACCATACAAATTATAGTTTAAACATAATGAAACGATAATTTACCGGCATTTCGTCGGAATACTTTATGACTGTGGCGTGTAGTTCACGTGTGCGCAATTTATTTTTAGAACGCTTTCGAAAAAAAGACGGACATATTTTGTACGACGGGTGGGCCGCTGTGGCAGATGAGAAGTCGGGAAGGTAGAGGCGAAATTCAATCTATATCTGTACGCAACGATTAACCATTGCTATCGAAAAACGAATCTGCGCGGAGTTCGGCACACATGTTTTGAAAGGCATTAATATTTACGGTTTTAAAATGGTACATCGTTTTCCCGTTTTTCCGGTTACCGCCATTTATTTCGAAGACAGCCGGGGACATCCAGAAATGGCCTGCTCAAAGTACCACACCGGTCGGATTTCGTTTCAGAAGATGCGATACAATTGAAAATCGGAGCAAACTTGCCGGACGGCTTTTTAGCTGTTTCTACAAGAAATAATAAAAAAAAAAAACAAACGAATATCACCGTAAAACCAGTATACCCTTCGCTTCGCTCGAAATCTAAAAAAAAAACCGTATTGAAACGCGGAGGCACGTCACGGCCGTTCGAGTGCGAGTTGCGGGGATCGCGCGCCGAGGATTCCGCGTGTACCTATCGTGCGATACGCAATATCGAACGCGGGACATTTCAATCGGCTTAGTGTTGACGTTACGCGTACAATTATAGCGTTACGGCCAATCAATCGCCACGGCGTTACCGACCTCGCGAAACGCTCCGTCCCCGCGCATCCGTTCGTTTGCGCGTTCGCGAATGTATTTGGGAGGTGATTATTACGATTTTGTTCCCGTTACGCGCTAAACTGGCGTTGACGTTCCATGCCGGTCAACACGGACGGTACGAACGTACAGGAACTACAGCATTATGGCGTATCGTGTCTCTGACGGCCGGACGTTGTCGTCGCGGCGAGGGTTGCGACGCGGAATCCAAAAAGAAAAAAAACCGATACGACATTCCTTGCCGTTTCGGCCGGTGGGTTTACGCGGATCACGATGCCGTTCGATCGCGGTTTTCGCTTAATGTATTCCGGTTTCGGTGCTGACGATTCGGCCGTGTTCTAAGTCCGGCCCCTCGCGGTGTATAAATATTCAATCCGGATTCTCGTAAATTACTACAACAATATTGTTCGGCAATACCCATTCAACGGCGGCGTTTCGTCGCCATCCGTTTAATATTCTCGTGTTCGTAAGTGGGCACGACAACAGCGATAGTCGGATTCGTAATAAATATTACACGTTTTCGGTGTACAGAGCGTTTCGCGGCGTTGTCCGAACGTTAATAACGATGTTTATTGTTTAAATTTTTTTTTTTGTTTTTTTTTTTTTTTCAATCGGATTTACGTGCGACGGCCAAACGCGTGCAGAGAAAAATGTAATTTTTAGTTTCACCGGTTAATCGCCGGAAAAATTTCTCAATAATAGCCGTCATAATTTATAGACAATTGGCGTGAAAACAATCAATACTCAATGGGACAACACGTTACGCGATAAGGAATCACAATCAGCACGGTAACTCGTTATTTTACCATTGAATATTAATTTTTTTAGAAATTAAAACAGCTATTGTCAAGGAATTATCGATTGCATATATTATAAACATGGTATATTAAAATGTTTAAAACAATATGATTTACAAATCGATTATTTCAAAAATAATGCTATTTTCTTTCCGATGATTGAGGGGCGAAATTAAAAATTTAATTTTTCTCTACACATGTGTCCCCGCTCCCTTGCACGAATTTCGATTGAGAAATAAAAAAAAAATTATAAAATGAACATTGAAAGAGTTATTAGCATTCCGATAACTCTGTAGGACTCTTCATATAGTATACACGCATTATCATATGTCATGTATATATGTATATTGTATTAGGATACTTACCTGCCTCTCTAGATTGTATAGATGAGTCGAAACGGCATGACTACATAACCCAGCAATAATCTTCGGTTTTTTTTTTTTTTTTTTTTTTTTTATCACTTGAAAATTAGTATCTATTATTTTTCGAATCTCGTGGTTTGTTGTCTCGCATTAATATGCACGAGTATATTATTATTACAGTTGTTTTAAGAATAAGTTCAAGGTAACCGATGATTAAGGACAAACATTTCCTTAATTCGGTTTTTTTTTTTTTTTTATGCTATTATGATTTTTTAACGAGTACTGTGTGTTATTGATTATTTTATGTATTTATAATTATTTCCATTGCGGACTTTTAAACAGGCCGATTCTGAAAACCCAAAATATAACAAAGGTCTTTACAAAGTGATAATATAGTTACTGAACGTCTCGATTTATTGCGTGCGGACTTTTGTGAAAAAACTCTTTTGAACAATTTGTACAAATGACTTTAGAATAATTTTCGATTATATATATTATCAAATCCGGATTATTTGTACAATAATAATTGATTACAAAGGTAAAATTATGAGTTCGTTTAGCTTTCAAAATTACGAGAACAATACGCGTTTCAATTCAATATAAGGGCAAAAGTCATAAAAGTATTTAAAATAGGCGGAATATTCGATTTCAAATACAATGCAAAGTCATTTTCGTAAAATTATTCAAAATACGTATTCGAATGTTTACTGACCGATTATTTGGATATTAGTAATTAAACACCTTTGCGAAAATCATCTTACCAGACCGTTAACGGGCAGTTATTTTGTCTGTGTACCGCGTATTTTGACGATAGGCGTGTAGGGCTTTTTAGTGAACGGGAGCATTTTAAAATGCCGTTTTATGTTTGGTTTCGTAACCGAGCGAGTCCAAGGGGTTTTCTTTCCCAGATTTGTTTTGTCATAACCGCGCAAAACGCGTATGCGCTAAAACTAAGCGGGTACTTGAACACTCGCACGGGATTTTTATGTCCACGGTTTTATGGGAGTACCTAAACGTTAATTTTACACGAAAGCGTATTATATGCGAAATGGCCAGCTAGGGAACCGCTATAGAGAAACCCGATAAATATAATATTCATTTAGTTTCTCCGCAGGGGACGCGATACAGATTTCCCGCAGCGGTATTAACACCGTCGACACCGCGGCCATCACGACGAAACGGACAACTGTTACCGCAGCGTTACCCGTACGGCGATTCGGCTGGGTAATTAACGACAAAGTAGTATAAGTACACCGAACAATATAGGTGCGGCCGCAGCGGTCGCCGGTCGACATTGTCATTGCGTCACATTTATATTTCCGGCAAACGAAAAACCGTCGGTTTTCATTGAATAGCGACGAAACGGAAAGAAAAAAAAAATCCGACTACCCGACTTACGGAACTTACAAACTGTAAATAACCATCTAAAACACGCCCGCGAGCGATCCGTTCGCGGGCGAGTCGAATTTCCCGACATCTGGTATTTTCAATCGCGGACAATAACGTTCGCGGTTAACGAGACTATCGAATGACACGACCAACGTCCGGTATCGTTTTTGTTTTTTCCGATGAGCAAAATTAAAAACCGATTCGGAAAACTGTTCGGATCGCGGTAACCTTCGCGGTCGCGTCGGGTCGGTAATGAATTACCGCTCGCACGACGATACGACGCTCGACTGTTACCGCACCGGGTTCTCAAAACGAAAACCGCCGGCGGGTGGTGCGGTCCGAGAGCGCGAAATCGCCGAGTGGCAGTTTTCTCGGCGCGAGCGTAATCGACCGCCGGTTTCGGGAGACATTCGAGAAATAACGGCGGACGTAATCATTTTTTTCGGAGTTCGGGTTACGATCGGTCGGTTACGGTTTGACGCGCAACACGACGGTTTCGCGTCCGCGATAACCGAACGCGCGTCGATACACGTCGCGCAATCGATAAAACGGCGTTGTCACAAACAGCGGCTAATCGACGGGAGCCGTCCGTCCGCGTCGTTTTTCCTACAACCCGTGCGCGTCCCGACGTCCACGCGCGTATTGCGTTCGTTTTTCAGCCGGCCGCCGGCGAAACACGCGTGAAACGCCGTAAACCGTAACCGGTTTTCAGCGACCGCGGCCCGGCATTGGCATTTCGTTCGTTCGGACCGTCGCCGTCAACCTCGCGAGAACGCGCTCGGCGCTCGACGCTCGTCGACTCGTCGGCACCGCCGCGCGCTCCCCGGTCCCCGCGACGATCGCCGTCCACGGACCCGCGTCTCGAGCGTTTCTCACGCCACTACGTGTATTTGCACGTGAATGTCGTTGTGCGTCGTGAACCGTTCGCGTACGTCAACGAAACTCACGGAATTCCGGGTCTCCCCGACAAACAAACTAATAAACGAACAAACGTATTTCCCCCCCCCCCCCGTTAAAAACCGCGAGCTCCCTCGCACCGCCGGGAACCCGAAACTCGCGTTTTCGTTCGCGCGGCGGAACTCCCGCCGACCGGCCGCAATCCGGTTCCGGCGGAACCGAACGCGCCGGGCCGCGTTGTCCCGCGCGTAAATTCCGCGACACCGGACCAACGTTACCGCGTACTTACGTACGGCGCACAACGTACGACACGGGCGCCCGCCCGGCGTTCGGGCTTTACCGCGTTTTTCGGCGCCGCTCGACGTTGTCGTCCGCGGGCGCCGTCCGGGAGCGGATTGGACGCGAGCGGGAAAAACGATTGACAAAATAAAAAAACGACAAAAAAACGCTGCCGCGCATTTCGGATCTCGGGTGGCCCGGCGTCGCGGGCGATCGTCCGGCCGAACGTCGCACGTGCAGGCCGCCCGGAACCGCATTCGTCGCGAGCGGAAAACGATCCCGGGCGACGGCCACCGAACGGTCGAGAATTTCCGGATCGTACGCGCGGCGAACGTATTTTCTCGGGGATTTTCCGGAAGACCGGTTCGTCAAAACGTTCGCCGCGTCTTCGCATTACACCGCGCCGTCCGCGGGTCGTCGACGCGTCGGTCGGGCGGCCGTTACTCGCCCGCGGTTCGCCGCCGGACCTCGAATCGCCTCGGCTATTCGTTTGCGACTTTTCGTTTTGATATTTCAAAGTACTCGGACGTTGCTGACCGCGCGCTATTCGGTACGCGATCGAAAGTTCCGGCGGGTGCTGGGCGTAATTATTTCGAAACTATGCACGTAAAACAGACGGTAATCATATGACTGCGTGTTACGTAACAGAACGTTTGTTTTGTCGTTCGATTAATTTTTCTACGAAACAAATTACTCACGGTTTCGAGTTCTTTTCGCAGTGTGGCGATTAAAGTCGTTTTGGTCGAAATTGCGCGAACAGACTTGTTTATAAAAAAAAAATATGTACACATCATAATTCAATATCAATACGTGTCTCGTATTAATCGGAGTTTAAAAACTGTAACGAAAACGAACCAGAGTGAAAAGCGACTGTGTACCAGTGTCTTTTTATGCGGATTTTTTACAGAAATGTGTAAAACAATTATAAAAATGCGGAATTTCTATATTCTATGAAAAAGTATTTTTTTAAATCGGATAAAGCAATATAATGAAAAATTCAATTACATCCCAGATAAAAACCATATTTTAGTTTTTTTTTTTTTGTCCGCGGTTTTATCAAGTATACCTACTACTGTGACGGAATCTCTCGAAATATCAAGTGTCGCATACAACCGTAGCATGACCTGTCGCCCCGAGAGTTTTTAAGAAAATATACAACAGTTGTATTATCATGTTTACCTTGTTATATAATATACCTACGGAGCAAACCGAGGGCATAATTGTATTTCACATTTTTTCCCCGGGACGGTAAATCATATAAATTACTGCCGACAACGAGCATGCCTGTATAATCGTTATGTAATATTTGTGTACAAGTTTTAAAAAAAAAAAAAAAAAAAAAAACGTGACCGAAAACCCAAAAGGAAAACCGTATCAAGGTCTTTATCGCAGCGTTATTATCGATTTCAAAAGGATTTTTCGATGATACATCTTGAGAGGCTAACGAAGGAACGATAAATTGTATCGAATAACCCGACTATCAGATTATGTTTGTTAGACCATTTGTTATTTTTATTAGACAGTTTATCTGTTTTCTTTTGCTTATTGAGATTAACGGCCACTAGGACCGTCCCATCATACATCCAATCTTTCATTTCCTTTTGTTAGTCACCCTTAATTTCCAGTCTAACCTTTCATTTGGAAAATTCTGCGTCTCGCCGTATCCTCCCGTCTTAAACTGGATCGTTCATGAGGTGTCTTACTTTTTGGATTACTTTCCGGTTTTATTTTTTATACCACGCATAAAAGTGGATTTTGAATTTCACCAACCGAATCCAGCCCACGGCAATCGTCTATTGTCGATTGTATCTAATTTTATGGCGTTCCGTTTCTGGAAGATTATATCGAGCTCGTTGATTCGTATTATTATTGTTCGTCCACTGGTCTATTTCTCTTTCACGATTTCAATTTTTTTCCAATGGCGTTTTCCTTTCCGAAACAGTTATGAAAATTCGAATGAATGATAGCTCATTAACGCCGATTCGGAAAATCGATTCAAACGCAAGATTCTATAAAACGTCTACTTCTACAAGTCTACAAGTATTTGATATCGAGTCCGATAGTGCGATAGCCAATACAATCGATATGATTTTTTTTTTTATTGCTCGCTCAATTGACCTGTCGCGGTATCGACGTGGAAACGGCCTTACTAAATCAGTTTGAGAGCAAAAGCGTAACAAAAAAAAAAAAAAATTACTTCCCGAATTCCTTCGAAGAGTTTGTATAATATTATATTATATTCACGGTACGTACATTTGTATACGATCGATGACGATAATAATAATAATAATAATAATACGGGAGCGTACGGATGAACGTTATCGTTTTAAGTACCTGTTGCGGTCGCAGCCCCTACCGCCGTAGGTAGTGCCGCACAGATTTCAATAATGTGAAACTATTCCCGTAATCGACCTGTTCACCGGATGATGCGTATCGCCGATCAAGATCTCTTATATATATATATATTTCCACTAATCGTAATGTACGGTTCGTTACTGAATAATAGACATTAAGTATTTCCCCTCGTCCTCCACGTTCGAAAATCTCATTCGCCGCAACCGCCCTCTTATCCTTAAAATCGAGTATTTCCATAATAACAGTTCGGGGATGAGAGCGGCGGAATTTTCTTGAGAAATCTTGATAATATTTTATCGCGTGTTATTAAAAAATAATTTCACAGGTGTATTTCGTATGACGATACATTTAAAAAAAAAAACCAATACACGACTAACTTTTAGGTCCGAAACTCAACGAAAGAGTTTGTGGGCGTTTTTAAATTAAAACAATATTTCTATTATAAATTTTAGTTTGCAAAAGTTTAAAACAATGAAATCGGTAACGCCGCGGCGCGCCACGTAAATATTTTCCGTTTTACCTATTATAATATTGTTTTGGGTTTTTCTCAATTACTTTTAAACCTCCTTGTAAAATAAAAAAATATTACCTATTCAATGCACCGAATAGATAAGTTTTCTTTCGGAAAAGGTGCTACACTTGGTACACCGAGACAAGTTTTCTTTTCGTAAAGTTGTTTACTGACTGAAAAGAATACACAGATCATAGGAAAACCAATGATCCTTCGCTCCGATCCGAAATTTAAAAAAAAAAAAAAAAAAGCCTCAATACACTCTTACTTTGGTAGTTTGGTGTACACAATACAGATAAATCTACGGTGTCTTGTTAAACGGGCGCGCAGGACTTTTTTCTGGAATCGAAAAAAACCGTTTTGCAAAGAACAGCAAAAAAGTTTTTAATGATATTTTTCGTTGGAAACGATAAAATTACTCGCACACATAAGAGTAAATTGTACACGAAGTAAAAAACCTAACCTAAATGCGATATGAATGTGGTATACGCCCTTTTAACAAATGAGTATTGATATGATTAGATTTTAAAAGAGTGCTTGGATATCCTTTTACAACATTACCAACTTAATTTTCTGCGTTTAAATACGCCCTTTTAGCAGTTTAGGGTTATAATTTTTCCAATTATGTTGACACCAAAAACGAATTTTTCTATGTTCAGTGGTTTACGCCCTTTAAACAAAACACTATCGACGTAATATACTATATAGATCAAATTTGACGAAAATTAAAACAAATTCTTTGGCTTGGTGCAAGAAAAGCCAATATCAAAAAAAAAAATAATAACAATAATAACAATAAACATTGAAAATCGGAAGTCGAAAAAAAATTGTTTATGCCGTCCGAGAATTTGCCGTAAACTCCGTAGTTCGTGCAACGGGTACATTTTATTTTTTTGGGTTTTATTTTTTTTTTGGACATTGGTCCTTCCTGCACCGATCCGTAAATGTCCGATAAAGTATAATAATATCCTCTCTACGAACAAAAATAACGTGAAACCATAGTAATAGTAACATAACTGAATGTTTCACGTTGCACAATAACGTTATAGTTTGCACGCGTAAAAAACATTTTGAAATGTGCGCTCGTGGCGTATAATTACGCGTAATTCTCATCCGCGCAGTAATCTGCTTATTGTCAGTCTGTGAACAGTTATTTCGGAACGCACGGGACGGCGAAAATTCTGTTATTATTGTAACGTAGGGGCGGTTGACCGTTTCGGGAAATTATCGCGAAACAAGCATTCACTTGTTGTTGTTTCAGATTCTTTATGTATTTGCGCTTTACCCGCTCGTGTTGTTTTGCGAAACGCGAAATGCGAAAAAAAAAAATGCGAATTATTACGACGTACGGCTTTTGCGAGTGACGGAACGCGCGCGGGGATAAATTTATTCGCAGTATTATAATTATATTGCAATAGCGCGCTGTTAATCGGCTTGACGGCGACGGGGTGTCCGGTTTAATCGCGAACAACCGAACAGCTTCCACCGCTCTTAGGTCTTCAACGTGGACCCGGGGTTTTCAGACATTCGCGTTTCGTATGACACGATATGATATTCGTGTCTTCTAAACTCTACGGCGAATAAAATAATCGCACATTGTCGATAATAAGCCGGACGATAGACAAAATGTATACTATTACAAAGTCTACGCCGTGAGCACCGCGCGTTGTAATTGCCGGTGGGGGGGGGTGGGGGTGGGAGGGAAATCTCGACAGTTCAAACAATTGGTTGAAATATACGTGAAGCCTGTTGGACTCCATTGCCTAATCAACGTCCCCTTTCCCCCGCGGTATAATTGAAAAATAAAACGGAAAACCCTCGTACGGAAATTTCAATTTGAAAATCCGGCGTCGAAATTCGTTTTAAGCCTTATGTTATTTTATCTGTCGGCATTTCAAATTTTCGTGTACCGTAATGATTCGGTCCAATGCCCGCGTTCAAAAGCTTCGCGTACCGTCGTTGTTTTTTGTTTTGTATTCAGAACGCAGCGATCGATTGATTTTACTATGATGCGTGTTTTAGAATATGTTTTTCTTTTTTGTGTTTGCGAGCAACTTTTCTATCAGAAATCTTAATCCAATTTTTTCGGAAACATAGTTTTATCTAGTCAGCGCACTGAGCATGTTGTTGTTTAATTTTTTAAGGAGTCTACGTGATAATTGAGAAAAACCGGAAAATGACGTAAAATACTAAGATTTCAATATTTTAAACATTCATGCTTTATTTTTCCTACCAGAAATAAATAGAAAAACAACAATATACCTTTATTGTTGCGTTTTTAATCTATTTGAGGAAAAAGTCGATGTTGATTTTCTCTGTAGTTTTTTTTTTTTTTTGATAATTGAACAAAACTGAAAAATAAAACGCAAAGTTTACGGTCAAATTAAAATTTCACGATAATAAAGCTTTTATTATTTTCAATTTGACTTATATTTGTTTTTTCTAGATGTAACCAAATTTCAAAAAAATTTAAGCCATTTTCGAGCTATTTATAGCCATTTTAATTTTGCTAGTTTTTTTTATTTAGTTTTTATTTGGTAGATATAATTGTTAGACTAAATAGGAATGCTTAAAAATTTGACAAGGGGTTCACAATAAGCCGTACTCAGAGGTCGAAAAAAGAATTGAGTGCAATGTAGTATTTTTTTATTATACGTAGGTATTTTAAAATCAAATTTTGACGAAAATCGTAAATATTACGACTTTTCAAAATATGTACGTATAATCAAACTTCACTTCGAATGGAATTTTCGTCGACAATGGTTTATCGTTACTTATAGGTATGCGTTAAATAACTTTATACATCCTATCTTCCCACTTTCAACGGTGACGTACTCGTACTTTCTTTTGAATTCGGGGTTCTAGAAAATCGGTTCGTATGTTATAGTACCTCCGCGCTATACGGAAATCGTGAAATACGCATTATTTGAACCGGTAAATGTTTCGGTGTGTCTGCACCAACAGAAAAAAAGCGTTCTAAGAAAGACTTTTTGTCTTTCTAAGAATGCTTTTTAACACGATAAACACAATTGTAAAACCGAAAGTAAGTGATATTTGAATAGCACACGGCGCAGGTAAAAAAAATGACCGTTTTTCTCGAAAGAGAATCCAATTCGATGTTCTGCAATAATATGTTTACGGGCCTCGAAACGACGCGTTATTTCTCTCGCCCCGAAATACGTATTATGCATTGTAAAAAAAATAAAAAAAAATCACACGACTTTCCCGTCCATTGGCGTATTATAACATTCATGTACATTATCATAATACAAGGAGTTCATATGAAATATGTGTACGGATATTATTATTCATCATAACGCGCAATATTGTTTGCGACATACCTGTATAATAGACGTTAACGCTAGCGCCAAACTATCGCCATAACGTCGCGCGTTTTTACCTATTACGAATTCAGTTTGTGTAAACCGTCTGGGTTTATCGCTTCTTTTTCGTCTCGGATACACGCACACCGGTATTGCTATTATTAGCCAAACCGAATAATATTTTGTGAAAAACACGGTTTGCCCACGTGCGCGTTCGTGCGCACGCATTCCCTGCAAACGGCGACGAGCCGTGTGTTTTCTTCCACGGCGGTGTTGTACTCTACATACCGCAGCGGTTCCCAAACTGCGGCCACCGTGGTTTCATTCGGTATTATCTATAGACGTGTGTATGGAAACTATAACAGTGTACGAAACTCGAGCGAAATTCATCTAGACGACATTTTACATGCGAAATGGTCACACCCGGGAGGAAAAAAAATGAATATTTCTTGTTAAACTAGTAAAAAACTATGTAAAACAAATAAACGTTTCTCCTATCTGAACATTTTTTCTGGCTTCGGTACGGTCTCGTTATAATTTTACCTATACCTAGACATCCAGTTATGTTCTCAAAACCTATATATTTTTATTTACAATCCGACGGTTTCCCTGTAACCTATGATTCTTTTTAGTTCACTGTACGTTACTATACCGGGATCATTCATCACTTGCTTCTTGAAAGGTGTTCTGGGCCTTTTTTCCCTGGTTTTCATTTAATTTTTCCCTTTATAATTGTAGTCAACCGAAAAACTATTTCTTATTAAGTATCCGATCCATGATTTTCTCCTCAATCGCAATGTATTCCATATTTATTTTCGAGTATTAGTTCTTCTAAAAAACCTCGATATTTCACACTTTTTCTGCCCATGCAATTTTCAACATTATTTTATCATATCATACTTCAAAAGTCTCTATTTTCGCTTTCTCGCCTTTGAATATAGTCAAAGTCTCTGTTCCATACAGGACTACGCTCTACACGCAATTTTTATTGGCGATTTCCTGGTGTTCATACTTATTGTGTTTGAAGTAAAAATATTTTTCTTTCTATAGAACCTACTATAGTATACTTGTTTGGCCAGCGCTATCTAACATGCTGTGTTTGTGTGGTTTTTTACTTCGCTTGTAATTTTACTACCATTTGTGTTCCAGTCACTCACAACTATCAAATTATCATTATCCTTAAATAAATTTATAACTTTGTCGATTTATCCATACATTTTCTCAATGTCCCTAACAATAAATAATGAAATGCATATAATAAATCGTTAATGTTATGTATTTTAATTTAGTATTCGTTACGTGTATTATTTTCCCTTGGTTTCAAAACACGATACTAATTGACCAAATGCTATCATGATAGTTTCTATGCCCCATCCGTTGAATAAGTCCTTATCAATGTACTAATCTTTGAAAGAACACCACAACATGGTATTTACATAATCCATTGCCTTTACAAGGCCCATCACCTGCGTCACCCTATAGAATTATTACATTTAAAATGCTAAAACTTCTTAAACATCGAACCTTTATATTATCTTGCAAGTATCAAATGAATGGCATACATTTGAAGAACATTTACATGGTAGATAAACAACTAGGTCCATAATGATTTGGTGAACAACATACATTCAATTTGTCAAGGCCTTGAAACGTTCAAAACTATCTAATGTGTTATATATATATATAAATATACATACAGTTAATACATAAAACAATTATTTTAATTTGTTTCACCTTTTTAAACAAAGAAAATAATAGTTTAAAACTTTTGCATGAAACTTTCTTGTAATTATTAAATATCTTTTGAACAAAAGTAGAGTCATTGAACGGACTATTCGAAATACCTGCCGACTTCGTCCGACAACTCGAGTGCAACGGCGATAGCGTGGCCCTCTTCGCCCTCTTCCACAATAGATTATTTTTTAATCTCTTTTCTGAACTGAACTGAACTGACTGTACTTATTGGCTATTGTATGCAATTATTTAAATGTTGATCACCAATTATTTTACCTTAAATTTCCTTTTAGGAAATCATCAACGGACGACGTGAGCAAAAGATTTTTTTTTTTTTTTTAGGCGGGTTCTAATAAAATAAAAGTATACATCTAATTTATTCGGAACGTGTATGTACTCACATACACTTTGTTCACTTTCTATCTTTCCCTCTCTCTGGCCTCTTTCTATAACTTCGTTCGACGTAGACCCCAAATACGACATGTCAATGGACGACGGAGGTTACAATAGTTGCTGCACAACGTATAGTATACATACATACGAGTATACGAGTTATATACTCACAATCCTTACATTTATATTCACATGCGTATAATACATAATATATTATCGTATAATATTTTACCTGTTCGACATACCTATGTTACATTTCTTCCGGATCGTTCGTATTCAGTGTAGGAGGTTGGGTCGACACTTTTTCGAACATACCTATTTATTGTAATAGTATAATGTTGGAACTCTGAAATATTGCATCATGTGTACATAGAGTTGGGCATTTATTTGGTTAAACAGGTCATTGGTTTTTTTTTTTTTTTTTTTCAAAACGTATATTATGTTTGCGTATAGCGACAGAAGCATATATTCTGATCCGTAAAAAAAAAAAATATTGTGACCTTTTTCTACCCGTTCCCTTGTAGTCTCGTATCCTGTCATCCAAATGTTAAACGTATATTTATATCAATCGATACGGCATCGTAATGTTATAATACGGAGGGTCTGATATTGGAACGGTTCTCAGTGGTAGTCAAATGATTTTGAGATAGAGTGGAGGAGGGGATAAAGATAATTTGTAGGATCTTTTATTATTTACATAATATTTAATACGTAGTATTATAAATATTTAAGAAAAAAGAGATTACAATGGGATAATGTACTCCATCGTCCTTCTGTCTGACCACCGTTGCTTGTGCTCATAATATAATAACACAGTGCGTGTTGTTAAAATTAGAATATTTTATTTTCAAAATGTATCTGAAAATTTACGAAATTCAAAAATTATTGTCATCTTGATATAAATAAACATCGAAATGGATTCGTACGTTTCACAATAGTTCGGGGAGAAAACTTGGTGCGAAACAGAAATTCAAACATGATTATTGTAGGCAGGTACAAAATATATTTGTACATATAAGCTATTAGTAAACAGATTAAATCGGGCCCAAAGTACAACAAATAATAAACGGTATGTAGCGCCGTAATAAAGAGTTTAATTTATGGCACACATATAAATATCACGAGAAATGAATGTGCCTCAAATGAAAAAAAACCTGCGAATATTAATAATAATGACAAAAAAAAAAAAATGCATTTATTAACACTGGCTTATCCCAAATAGTTGAGATGATGAAGGTGAAGAAGAAGTAGAATAATTATAGAAATACGATTTATTTTAACATTAATATTGTTCTGTTATTATAGATTACTAGTATTGTTTTTATTTGTTATCCGTATTGAAAAATCGTCTCGAGCGATGTAATTTAATCGGAATAAATTATTAAATTAATATTGTCAAATAATTGGATGATAGTTTTATTTTACGTTAAATACATAAGACAAAAAAAAACGTTTATAATATTAAATACTTTTTTAATTTTTCGACAGTGTACACGAAACGGATGGTTCGTTTTTCGAAAAATACAGTGGACTACAGTGGAAACTGGATCAAAGGCGATTGCAAATGATCAAAGACAGTCGGCAAGAGGAGAGTCCTCCGCCCGAAATAAGCGTCGGAGTGAAACCGCCACACGTGTCCAGCATACAACCCAAAGAGGTAGGTGTTTTGAATTACTCCGCGTTATGGACAGATACCACCCAAACTACCCGTTATATTTATGACTGCGAATAAAAATATTTAAAAAGAGTTCACTGGATAAACTAAACGAAAAATAACATGCTTAGAGGGATGTAGCAGTTGTGTTTTAGTAATAACGAAGCAGAAATCAGATACGTCAACGCGTATTCTAAAAGTGTTACGATTACGGTAAATAGGCGATGGCAGTCAATATTTATACGAATACACACGAAGACGTGTTTGAGGAAGAGTAATGAAATTGATTTCGGTCGGGTCGACATTTTCATTAATTTCCCCTAAACGGTGTTGTGTTTCCTCTAAAATGTATAATTTTTTGATTACATATCATATATTTTACCCAAATGAAAAAAAATATAGCATATATAGATAAATGTTATTTATATTATTCATGGTCGTAGCGAGGAGTGTAATGGTTTCACTATGAAGTGTACTTTTTTCATTTGTGTGTATGTATAACTTGTTTTTACCAGAAACATTACTCTAGTTAAAACTCGACTAGAGGACTTTTTTTTATATAATATTTACAATTCGTGTTCTGAGAAGGTAATTTTTTTGATTTTCGGAGTAGTTTTAAAACCTATTTGATAAAACTTGAAATAATGTGTAAGATAAACGGATAAATTTAGGGTTAATACGAGTTCTAAAGGCGATACTAATAACATATCCATTTTATGATTTTAAATTCGTAACTTAATTATTTATAAGGTATTATTTTGTAATTTATCGTTTTCTATAACCTACGGATCAATAATGCTTCTTTTAACTACGGAAAAATCGTTTTCGACTCAAATGCTTTTAAACTTTTAGGCTTAACAATAATTAACTATATTTGTTAATTTGCATAAAAAAAAAAAAAGAGAATAAATTAAAGTATCGTAAATTAATGTGTTTAAAGAAAAATAGCTATTCAACACGCTCTCGATTTTTCAATCCCGAGTAAAAATGTTTGTTTCTTAACCGATTCACCTGTTTAGTTTTAACAAGAAAAAGCACTTTGGTGGGCTCATATTTGACATGCGCGGAAACGTATTTGACAAGCATAAATGAATTAAAACATCAATATAGTTCGGTGTCGGAAGAACATGGAATTTCACAAAATCAAGACTATTGTACCCAAGTCTCATTCTGTCTAATATAAGAGAGTTTCTCATTTAGGAGGGAAGTGTACGGCCGTATTTTATGGAAGAATATGCATTCCCGGAAAAAGGAACAACTATATAATATTGTCAAAATAACATTAGTGTATAGTTTATTTTTTTAACTGGTAAACAACATTGCTCTGCAGTCCACAATGATATTCGATTTTTAATTGGATTTCAAATAATATGAACAAGTCGAAAAAAAAAGTGCTTAAAATCGATTTTTTTTTATTTTGGAAGACATATAATTTAAAAGTTTAAGATTAAAAAGTTAAAAGCTGAGTTAAGTTTTAGCTGCCATTAGCTTTTGAACAATAAAATAATCGTCAAAATGGTATCGTTCTGCGAGAAGGGGGTTTTCAAGTCAACAAAATAATATAATATTGATTACTATGGGCGTGATATTCTCGTATAAAATAAGTAAATTTGTAATATTATCGTGATTTTTTGTTTGTTAATTATTTTTTAGATGGAACATTTGTACATGGACGTTTTGTACACGATAAAACACAAAGTGGGAAACGATACAGAACTGAGCGCACATCGAGATCAACTGTACATATACGCGCAAAAAGCGTTCGACATTACGCCAGAACAACACAGACGTTTCATGGCCATTGTACACGAGGAAAAAGTAAGTTTTGATTTTCGGGCGATGTTTGATCGTATTATGTAACGTACGGCGATAATTTTCCGAGCGATCGGAAGAAATGCCGTCTTAACTGGACCACGTTTTATGATTTCGCAATCGGGGTGCAAACGGGCGCACGAAAAACGCATAGCTTAAAAACGGGTTTTCAGGCTTACTTATTGTGCGTTTTGATTATATGACAAACGTACACGGGCGGGGCGGCCGGCGAGAAATAAACGCGTTTTACTTTACTATACTCGCGCGTAAAAATATATAAAATGTTATGACGGGTAGAGTTAAAATAATTTCGGATTCTGAAAACGTAGCAAGGAGCGTAGCATCACTTGACCGTGATGCGTTCTTTTACTCTTTCGCCGGGCATCTCGCATCGGCCTTGGAATGTGGCTGTATTTTCCTAAAGCAGTTTTTGTCTACGCTATGGGTCGAGGAGTTATGACTCTGTCCATACAGTTTGTTTAATAACTGGGAAACAACAACGGCCAGCCGGGAAGATGTACGAAACATAGAGTATTGATTTTAGTCCTGTCCACGCACAGTAAAATGTTCAAAACATTCCGACGATTTTCGAACTATTTACAGCTAGTAATATTTTATTTTTTACGGGTTTTTTTGGTTTTGTGCGGATCAAATTAATTTTGGACCAGCAAAAAAATGCTCGCATGTTTAAGCCAATTACTATTCTAATAATTTAAAAACAGGTGCTGTATATTTTTATTAAATTTGCATAGCAAAAATTGAAATATAATATTGTATAAACTTTTCTCGTTGGCGGGAACGTGTAATTGAAAACGTTGTGTTCACTCTGCCTCACGGGTATTCTACTATTTCGCCGCACGTTCCATATTATTATTATTATTTCATATGTGTGAATTTAACGAGACAACGTCAATAATTTACCGAGATCCGGAGATGCCGCTGCAGGATACATACGTAAAATTATATATTTTCTTGGGTATTCTTCGGGAGACATCCCACACACACACATATATCTATCTCATTATCGACTTTCTAGAACTTTAAGACCTATCTATATCACCCTACTTGACTAACCATATAGTTACCGCCCGGAGAAATCCTTTTTCTCCGTTACCGTCATTATCACACACGTATATGTGCGTTAGACATACAATTATAATACAAGTGTTGTATACAGTTTACCGCAGTGACGCCCCGCCATTATTATTATTAATTTTGTTTTTTAACGCTATTTTTTTTTTTTTTTTACCCGTGATTTTCAGCCTCCAATCGTGGTACTTCACGTGACGGTAGTCGAAGCGGAGGGTTTGGAAGCCAAAGACGCGAACGGTAAGTGAGGAAATATAAAAACTCGTATTGTTGTCTATTCTATAGGTAAAAAACGGTTGTCTCGTTTCGCACCGATCGAATTCCGGAAGTGTATTGTTGATGGAACACGAATAAAATATAACACCTACCTGTGACGTGACGTTTAAAATGTGCACTTGATGAGTTTGACGTCATCACTGTGCGTTGTTATTACGCGTGAAACGAGATTAAAAAAAAAAAAAAAAAATTCAGTCGTAAAAGAAAAGAAATTAAATATGTTATCAAGCTTTTTAAAATAATTATAAAATGTTAATTTACAATGTTCATTTTTTTTTTTTTTTTTTTTTTCCATCCATTATTTTAGATTTACATAGATAGTTGTTTTTTACACCCCACCCACCATCAAGTAATACATCGTTATCGGGTTTATGACACGGCGTACAGGATAGGCAATATCGCTACAGTCATGCATTTTCGTCCGAAAACTACTCAACGGAAACATTAACACTATCATATATTCAATCTAAGCGAGAATAATATTATTTTAATAAAAAAAATTATTTAATAAAATATAAATTTTATAATATAATGATGTACCGGTATATAATATTCGAATAAGGGCGATGTACACAAATAAAATAATAAAACAGTCACAAACATACTACGTGCACTCCTATGCCTACTGAAATGTTATCACATTCAATATGGTTAAACGAATACAATTTGATATGTTTCAATATTTTTTTTTTTTTTTTCGAAGTGGGTCTTACGTTTTCGACACTGAAGTTTTGACTTAGGATTTATCAAACTTTTCGATTAACGGACGTGTTCGCCGGAAAACTCAATTTACAATCTAATGTAAATTATGTATAAAGACATGTTTAAAGTTAAAAACTTCGAATATACAATAAAACATGTATTTCCTATCGAAATTCAACACTGCATAGGTATTCACTACGATTCTGTCAAAAATATTTATATTTTAATTACATCTGATGTTTAAATTATTTTCAAACAACGTTTACTTTTAATGATTTTTTAAATATAATTTAATTTATGCATAGAAAAAGAAAACATTTATGAAATTTATAGGTAAGGTGGTTAGGTGTGCCCTTTTCATTGTTCGTCGTGAACTAAAATGCACCATTATTGTAATTTTTTTTAAATATTTATTTAGAAAATCTAGCCAAGTGTCCCCGACTTATATATCCGGGCGTTTTATAACTGTATAAAGCTGAAAATACTCCCGAAAAAAAAACTGTGACATTCATATTGTTATGAAAACCACTTCTTATCACTTCAAACTGCCCATAAACAAACTCTTATTCCAACGTTCCAGCCCGTTTGGTCCAGAAGTGTTTAAACGTATCGGTAAAATGGGCATTGGTGTGTTTTCGGTTGATTTTAGTTTCTCACGACACACACTGCCGTGGTAATGATATGCGACTACTATACATTTTTCACTTTATACAGAATAATAATGTGAAACTGCGCCATTAATCGCGGGAAATTTAACGTAACGAAAACGATGCTATAGTAAACGCGATAATTGGAATGATAACGAACCGCAGGGTACACCCACAATTTTCAAGGTTCTTCGAATCAAATGTCAATGTAGTATATTTTTTATCATATCCGGAATAACGAGTACAAGTTTCTTTTACGTTATTTTATCGAAAATAGGAAACATTTTGATTTCCTTTGCGTTCCCGCGGAACATTAACGGACACTATGGGTAATCTACGTTTCCGGTGTAAACCGGATGGTTCTAATATTATTACGGACGACTCCGGAAACCGGGCTCTTACCTGATTAAATTCTCCCAATTACAACAAACAACGGTTTGCCTCCGCGACCGACTCTTTATTTATACATAAACATGTATAATATAATATACGTTCCTTTTGTACAGCTCGGTACATATATTGTTATAATATTATGCTAGAGAGGCATTTGTTATACAGGGCGTCGCACGAATACATACACACTGTAATATATCTCCGGAGATAGTAAAAATAATCAAATTATTTTTTTAATTTTTTTTTTTTTTTACATATATATTACCCACGGGGATAAGGACTATAAATACTTTTATATTTCAATTAATTTTTTTATGTTTTCTTTAAAAATTTCAAAAATAGGTTCATTTTGTTACGTTTTGAAAAATGTAAAGACGGTCATCTTATAGAGTTACTTCTTCTAAACATATTTACGTTTCAACATTTATTTTCATAAATTTCGAGATTAGATATAACATTTTAATGTTCATAGAAAGTATCTATTGTATAAAGCTTGCTATGATCGCATTCATTATTTGATTATTATTATTATTGCTAATTAGCACTACAATTTTGTTCTCATAACTTTAAAAAATATTAAAAATTTGAAATTAAATGGAAACGTACGAACGTCAAAATTGTCAAAAGAAAAACTTTATTAAATTGCTTGGTATTATAGATTTTTATGAAAATAACAAAATAAAGCCTTTTTTGTAGTATTTCTACAAAACTATAACAATTTAATTTAAAAATGAATATTTTGAATCCTTATAACTGCGAATAATGTATAAAACAAAAACAGAATTTGATTATTTTTACTATCTCAGGAGAAATTGCGATGGGTATACCTTCGTGGGACATTCATGTATACTCGAAACAAAATCGTGTCCTGATAAATTATTTTGTCATTAAAATTTCGGAAAAAAAAAAAAAAAGGTTTACTAAATTTTAGATTTCAAATGAACCGTCGACGATTTGTTAAATGTTTTTTCAAGGCGTAATGACTGTAGGAAAAAATAAAACAGACAATAACCCTTTTTTTGATGACACTGATACCTGTATATGTTATTTTTCTGTTTCAAATTAGAACTGGATAGTGATCAACTTCTTATTATCAAAATCGAAAAACGGTTTTTCGGCCCGGTCCGTTGAATTTGGCATATTCTTTACGATTTTTTCCATTAACGTTATTGGCACAATTACTTTCGGACGATGCAATTTTCGGAAAACCCCGAGACCGTTTCCATTTTAAACGTTTATAATAAAATTTAACCCTTCTATAACACTTGCTTTAATGTTTAACAGACGAAAAAGTAATTGTCCGCGTTTATCGTCTCGAAATTTCGTTTAAATTTTAACCGGCTAATAACACGGACATAATTTTTAAACCGATTGCTCCCCGCGGATTCCGGTCGGTCTTGTTCGGCAATTTATTTCTCATATAGTTTATTTTTGTGTCAGAAAAGATGACAGAGTACATATAAATATATATTATGTAAAAAAAAGGAAACATTTAATAATAGTATAAAATATAAAAAAATAGGCGTTACGTAAAATGTCGCTTTATAGTTTACGTCATAATATTATCGTAGGTAAAGTGGTAAAGTGCGCGCACGTATGCCATACCGTTTGTTCTTAGGTAGATACCCATATACCCGGCAGTGTACCCACATTGCATAAATGAATAATTTATAATATTGCACAAAGTGTAACATCGATGTACCGTTTCAGTACCGTTACGCACACAGGCAACTGAGAAATACTATTTTTTTGTTACATTTTTGTTCTGTTTAATATTTTAATACAATACACTTGGATAATTATGTTTCGTTTGGGAATCGTTAGCTACACGGGACCTCGGGGTGTTTGTTTAGGATCGTTTTTGTACTATAATAATGCACAGATATTAAAAATCATAAACATTGTACGCTTAAAATACGATTAGACAAACTTATCCGTAGATTTCACCCACCTGATAATTTGTATTTTACTAAATCGATATTATAACAATACAATTTGTTTTATTTCCAAAAGACGATGATTCAATGCATTTATACTCAAAAAAAAAAAAAGCGCTTTAAACGAAAAAAAATATCCTAAAAGTTATTTAAAAAGACTAAAATGGTAAATGGGTTAAAACGTCTCCATTTAATGAATCTACCTTTTATTTATTACAATTTGTTAACGCTGAAAAATTGATGAACACGAAATAATTTTTTTACAATGCGTATAATTTCATTTTTCAATAATTTCTTTGTATTAGAAAATTGTAATAAAACATTTAGGGGAGGGATTTATAAATACATCTTTCATTTTTGTTTTTTAAATACATTTTTTAGAACATTTTGTGATTTTACGTGCAATTGTAAGTCCCGAGGCGTACTTATGGCAAGTGCATTATATATCAAACCAATTTCGACTACCGTAACCCAAACATTTTTCCAAGACATCTCTTAGAGGTCGTTGTTCAAGACCCATAGACTTTATAATAATCAATAACGTAACGAAATAAAATAAAAATAAAACTGTCTGAAACGTTTAATGAAATATTTATAGACGTATATAGTTATCAATTTTTGAAGCTTTTCAACTTTACATTTTGACATGTCTATCCGTTTAATAAACATGTATTTCTCTTTCGAAAAGGTTGTGATGCGATGCGAGTTTAAAGCCTCGTTCACACGATGATATAGTTGATAACGTGATACCATTATAAACCGATTTTCGGTCGGAGCTTATCCCCGTATCATTTCCTCCAAATTACAGTTTTAGGAATTATCAGTGTCGTATTTACTTGGGGTTTCTAACGTTTTCACTTTCTCCAGAGACTCCTTCTTTTAGACCTGTATGATAACTAAACCTGAATACATCCCCATCGCATACCTGTAGGTACAACCAAATCCATAGCTATAATAACAATCACAGAGTATATTCAGTAAAATAACCGTGGCTTTTTTTAACAGCGTTTTATTTGTACACGCAATATGGACAGTCGCTCTTTCGCTATACCGTCTATAGCTTCATACTACACAAACTCTGAACTTGCTGATAAGCTTGGTGTGATATAAGTCAAGTTAATCAAAAATGGTGTTATCGTCCACGTCATTAAAGATGTTACTCAAATTTTCTATGATTTGTATGTTCTACAACACATTTGTGTTTGCAAGGTTTATCGAGTCAACCCATTACATATTTCGCACGTGGGTGCAGCCACTGTTGTAAGTAGGAATTTGGAAAGGTAGGACACAGACGGGAATTAAATGTATATTTGTAAGCAACAATAAACTATTGCTAACGAAAAAACGATTCTGAGCAGAGTTCAATTGATAGTGTTTCTTTGTCAACAATATATATATATATGTTATTTTATAGGAAAATAATTTAATAGGATTTATATATTTTCTTTAATAATATTTGGGTAATTCTATACGATTATTCTCAGTTTTCATACATTTTTTTTCCGATTTTCCCACGTTTTCCCCGGGTTTTTCACATTTGCTGGGAAAAATCTTGGGAAAATCGAAAAATGACCTCCTTACTGTACCTCCTCGCACCGATTTCCTTTCAGAAAACGTGCTGTACTTAGAAATCCGAGCGAGTTTTGTGGTAGAAAAGTTGAAAAAAAAAGTAAACGCCTTTGTAAAACCATAAGCTTTTTCAATCCACTCAGAAACTAAAACAGCTCCTTTAAATCTCAAGGTGAGCTGTTCAAAGTGAATTATATCGAAATAAACTCGAATAGTAATATGTACCTTAACTGTCAAAAGACCGAGCTATTAAGGATTAAGGTGTACTTGGCGTTCAAAAAATGTGTTAATGCACCGTTGCACCACCCAAATCCTTTCCACCGAAAAAACTGTATCGTAAGTATGTAACTGGGAATAATGAATAATATTTCCTGTTCGGTCGCCGGAAGCAAAATTCCTGAAAATCGGTCAGTCCGGTTATTTTGGCCCCGTGATGCGTATACGATAGTTTACGATGTACTTAACCGTTCCGGTCGAAGGCGTGATTGATTGACCCCAATGTCACACGGCATTGGTGCGGAAAGTCACTTTGGCATGATGTTTACGTATAAATAAAGAACACGGTAAATGCGTTTCGCTGTCAAATTTTATTTGTTCACGATCACAAGGTTTCCGCGAAAATTCTATAAAACGTGCCGGCCGACGACCGCGATTGGCTTTGTATTCCGAACATATTCCGTTAAGGTCAACGTGCGAAGGGTTGTTTTTTCTGGACATTTTATAAACAATAATAATCTAACCGCACGCCCTTTGATAATAATTTCTCTCTGGGGCTATTAAAACGCGGTTTCTACGGACTACAACATCATTATTATTGCGTTCAGTAGCGTGATTATAGAATTTAGTCACAGAAGGAGAAATCGAATTTTTCATAATTTAAAATATGTAGGTAAAAAATACTAAAACCAAAAAAATGAAAATAATGCCTTAATATTTGTTTACTAATACCTACACTCCGTACATTTTTCCGTTATTCCTCAGTTTCTTCCTGGTTTTTGACATTGTCGGGGAAAACTCTTTAGAAAATCGAATAATGGCCTATTAAAAATACCTACCCAGTCCGATTTCCTTTTAGAAAAAGTGCGCTCATTGAAAATCCCGGCAAATTTACCTATTGGAAATACCCAAATGAATCCAAAAGTTATCCACAGAAAAAAAAAAATAATAAAAATAATCATTATAAAAACAAAAGGTTTAATTTTTTTTATATTCGTTTAATTTTTTATTTCATTTGTCCTGAAACTAACATTGAAATAGAATAACTAAGTACGAGAGTAATTATTATTATTACTTTATTTACTGTTTAGATACTAATATTACTTCCATCATATATAGGTGAGAAAATATATAAGTTTCGGTTTAGATTCGGAGCGTAGTGGATAACTTTCTTACCATGAAACTGTTTAGCACTTTTTCCGAGATGAGAATTTATCTGCTTTGTAATTTAAGAAAGTATTTTTTAATTTCCTAAGCAATAGTTGGGATAAATCAGGAAAAAAATAGTGAAAACGAAAAATTTACAAAATACAAATATTTTGTAAATTTTTATTTACCCGTTATTATATTTATTTAGTCATTATTAAACATTTATAGGCATTTTATATTTTGGGAGTTTTGTACGTAATTTATATTCTCAAGGTACTCTATGGATAAAATTGTTAGACTAAACAGAAATTCTTGAAAATTTATAAAAAAGTGATAAAAAGGAAATTTGTTTTAATGTAGTAATTTTTATTTATACGAAGTTGAATATAAAATTTTTACGAAAATCGTAAATATAACGGCCTTTTAAAACATGTACAACCGAACTTTTTCCGAATCATTTTGCGTTGACAATGAATTATTTTTACGTACAAGTATAAACTGAACTCCCTTCATCGTGTGAAGTACGCCTGTCTTTTTTAATAATATACTTTATTAACTAGGTTTAAATTTAAATAAAATGGTTGCTATATAAATGAAAGATAATTAAAAAGTTCAAGGGGGAATTTATTCTAATTTATATATGCCACTGATCACCATAATCCTATCGATAATTCTAACAATAATCTTCTAAACGAATTATCAAATTTATTTCTCTGTATAAACCCATTACGATTGCTGTTTATAAAACCACCCAAGTTTCGAATGTTTATTAATGTATACGTGCTTTTTATCCTTATTATTTGTATTGATTTTTATTTTTTTACTTATATTTGAGCGGTAGATTCGGAGAGAAAAAAAATATGTTGACTTTATTTTTCAATTCACTTAATCCACACAAATGTCCATAAAATAATAATTTTTTTTTTCAACTTTTATCCTCAAGGGGAATTGTTTGAATAAAAAAAAACTCCATGAATGGTAGAGCCCGACTGGTCGAATTTCTCCCTTCCCCAGCCGTCTCGTTGAATAACTGGAATATTCTGTAAATCTGTTTGATACCCGTTATTTAATTAAACGTGCGATTCCGGCATAAAAATGGTGACGGGGAATTAGGGGTCGGAGGTCATTACTGAGAGTCATAACTGCTTCGTTGAAACTCAACCCAGTTTTAGATCCTGGACAAAGCGATGAATTTATTGGTTTTACAATGGTATTTATTTTGTTATATTTTTTCTACGTGAGGTGGTGACCTTTTAGAAAAATTATTTTTTCGATTTTCCCGGCTGTTTTCGTTATAAATGTGAAAAACTGTGAAAAAACGGAAGAAAGACTGGAAAATGTACTAATTGTATTATTTTCAAATCATAAATATTTTCGCATACTTTCAAAATATGTGTAACTGAACTCCGTTCAGAATCGTTTTCGTCGGCGATGATTAATCTTTTCATACAGATATTCATAAAATTTCCTCTCTACCATCACAACTTTTCACCTATAATAGTGGCCTGCCCATCGTGCGAAATATGACCGTTTATTTATTTTTTTTTTTACCACTCCCATTCGCCATGTAAAACAACTCTAAATTCCGGGTTTGTGGTCGTTTGGTCCTGAGAGTGCCAATGTGCTCTTCCTGGCGGACACAGTGCGGTTCAATAGTCTCTATTTTCACGGGAAATTCGCCAAAAAAAAAAAAAAAACATAATTTTGTAAATATAGGCGTTTAGATACGAAACGAGACAACATTTACTTAGTACTCGAAAATAAAATTTGAATAACGGCAGGCAGGTAGGTCGCGCCGTTGCCGGTACGGCGGAAACGTCGAGCATTTCTGTGCACTGATTTTTTACCCGTGTATAATATTAGGTACGCGGGACATTATTGTTCCGCGAAATATTGTTATCAGTCGATGTTATTTTCGTAAACCCTCCGAAACATTATTACGTTAATCGCCCGGGGAAATGCTCGGCGCACCAATTTTTTTCGCGTGCCCCATAACGTTGCGTTCGTCGGCATCTGAACAAATCGGACGGGACGTTTTCCCGAACCCGAAATATCCGGCTACCTACGGCCGGTCGATATTTCGCATACGTGTTGTATACATATTTTAAAATGTAGAATATTTTTGTTTTCACGTTTACCTTTTCAGAGCGTATTGCGCTATAATAATAATGTATGTTTTAAACATGCCGCGTGACTGTGTTCCATTACGGTCCGGTGGAAAAGACGATTCGGTTTTCCACCGTATACGGACAATGCATTAAAAAAAAAAAACGAACCGCGGAGAAAACATCATTCATTTTGTTATCCGTGCGTTCGACCGCACACGCTGCACACAACGCGGAGCTCGCCTACGCGTTTTCGGCAACGCGCCCGTGTCGGTTATAAAAAACGAACCGGTGTATTATTTTTTTTTCGCTACGGAAAGACGACGTTTTTCAAATTGTTTCACATACACAAATTATAGATATTATACCGCCGGTTGACGATAGTTTTACAAATACGGCGGCTCTTTGTAAAAAAAACAAATTATCTATATATATATAGTGTATTTAATACGTAATATATATTTTCATGCGATGTCGTCACAATGCTGTAAGCCCGTACCCATGACTCATCGTCGAATCGGTTTCCCGTGACACGGGCCGGCCCAAACGCGTCCAAAAACTGGCCCAGAACGTTCATTAGGCTGTTACGGCGAATTGAACCTAACCTAGGGCCGCGCTCCCGGTGACACTGTACGATATCCGTTTTCGCCATGGATAACACCCGCCCCTTCCTTCCCGTACGAATGCGTTTTAACGAATTATCCAATAAAACCTCACATTGTATGACCGTTGACTATAAATAAATAATTATTAACTTAAAAAAACCGTGTAAACACGATGTCGTCAGCGTGATAAATACACACCCTGGGATGTTTTTACCTTCTTATGCGGTACTCCCGTTTTGATATTATACAACATCGTCCGATAAAAGTACACTAGGATATTCTTACCGGGGGTTGTAAAATACACTGTCCGCGTTTAATTATAAAGAGGTGTGAAAATATCGCCGGCGATCGTTACCAAGAGTATATTCTAGTGCGCATCCGAAGTGTATTTACGACTTCCTACACGCCTAGCCTATAGTAAAAGCACATCCGGTGTAACTGAACCGTAGAGTTGGAAATTCCGTATTTTTTTTTTTTGACAAATACGTGTAACCTGTTTATTAACAAACGCGATGCGCATTAATAATATTTGTAATTTTAATAATAATTTCGTTATTCCGGTGATCATGTTGATAACGATGATGATGAACGTTGACCCGTGTTGGTTGTTGTCGTCAGGTTATAGCGATCCGTATTGCCAACTGGGAGTGATCCGGAAGACCGACGAGACCGCCGCCCGGTTGGCCGAGGGGTCGGCTGAAGACTGTTCCACCGTACTGTCGCCGGTCGCTCTCATGGCTGGCATTATCGGTGACGTACGATTTTTCTACGCGTCGAGCGCCGCCGTCCGCCGCCGCTCTTCGACGCCCCTCTCCGCCCCTCCCCCTCCCCCCACCCGTGCGTTTTCCGTCCAACGGTCCGTTTTTCGAGTCCCGCGGCTTAGCCATTTACAGCCCCGGTTCACGCGCCCCTCGCCCCACATCCGCCCCCCCGCCCGTACTGCCGTCACCGCCGGCCGCCGGGTCTCATCCCCCGTGGAAGACAACGCGACCCGACGTGACTTGCCGACACGACGACACAACATAAAACGTACTTGGCGTCGTGGCGTTGCGCTTGATTTTACCGTCAGACGTTATTTCCGTTCGCAGATTTCACTTTTGCTTTTTATTCTGTTTCGCGTTACGCGCGCGCGCTGCGAGAACGACGTTGCGTTTTTCCTGTCGGTCCGGGTCGATTCCGGAAAGTTTACAAAAGGTCGAGGAACCAACGCGCTGCGTTCAGCTTCACTGCAGACGTGCAGAAACGTTCGCACTCGAGGGTTTCCGCGAATCCACGTCGTCATCGCCGCGGCAGTTTTTTTTTTTTTTTTTTATGCGGGACACGAAAATGATTTTAACGAGCTCTGCAACGAGTGTAACTCAAATCCGAAATATCAATTATGCGCGAAACTCGTTCCCGTGCATTATGCATAGGTACGCGGTCAATTAAAAAAAAAAGGCGAGGTTATAAAACGTCGAACCGGCGCGCGTACTGTTCCGAGGGTCGCTTTTCGGAGTTCGGTTTACTGTTCGTTTCGACACGCGGCGAACTCGGACCGATAAATTTGAATGGTTTCCACTGGCGGTTTAAAAACCGCGTTTCATAAGTTCTGTATCGAATAATACACATTTCGGCAAACAAATAAAACACGCACACACACACACCCACAAAAAAAAAAAAAAAAATTACTAATTAACGGTTTGGTTAGGTATAGTATTATTTTAACATTAGACGTTCACATTATACTTAATAAAAATATCTTAAAAGAAAAAAAAAAGTTTTAAGATAAAAATTCACTTAAAATCCGCTCGTTATATAAATAATGCATAAATCTCTGTTTTTTTTTTTTTTTTATTCTTACGATAAATTACATTATTAATTATTTTTCTTACTTTGAAAAATATAATTTTAGTTTATATAGCTGTTTGGATGTTTTTATTTTATTCTCGGGGGTTTTAAATTTTTAATTAATTTTTAAAGTTATTGCAGTAATCGAAATGCGCTATTCGTTTTGCCAATGTTACCTCATCGGTCGGTCAAAGATTAAATTCGTGTAAATTATAAAACTTAAAAAAATATCTCTATCCGCTGAACGCACGTAATAAAATGTTTACTAAGACTGTTGGAACGGTAATAACTATATTATCGAAACGAATATCCAATTGAACAATGCGTTGTCAGTAATTTTGTTTTTTACAATGTACGTAAAAATAAATCGAAACTGGATTATTTGGATTATTAAAACGTTTTTTTTTTCCATTATACACAAATGAAAAGTTAATTTATTAGATTCTGCGAAGTCGGCCGGATCTGCTCTAGGATAATTTTGACAATAGAACTCCGACAATTCCAACTTTGGTGATTCGAAAAACTTTATAAATCAGACTGAATCCCCTGAGGAAATCTCTATTATTCGAAAGAAAATACAGTAAAACATGTCTTTAACAGACACTTACGGAATCATAAAAAAATCTGTTTCGTACTGCACGTGTCCGTTAAATTAGGTTCAGGTTGCATTGTAATATGCATTTTTGTCCGCTCCGCAAATCGAAATGAGAGATTTTATAGATTAGCAGAATATAATAAAACGACCGGTATGGTTTTCAACTATAACAGATGAGTCTTCAGCATTTTGGACATGACTTTCGATCGGATGGTATCCATGACTGTGATTATCCTAAGAGTGGAATTTAATAATTTTTTATTTTAAAAAAATCTTAACTTTTTAAACAATAAAATCATTATTTCGAATTTATTTTGTTTGCTTTTTTGATAATTCAAATTTCTTGGTCATCGTATAGATAAAATTGTTGAGAGTCACCGAACACATCGAAATAATTAACATTAATTGTTGTGTGTTACGAAAATGTAATATTTATCTATTGAAAAATGTCTCATTTTCTAACGATAACAATATAATTATCAATTACGTATGCACGTATTCTTGTCAGGACGAGTATAACAATACTATACAGGGTGTACCATTGTTATCTTCAGATAATGGAGATTGCCAAATTGTGTTTTTTATATTACTCTCAGGGGTAAGAACTACATATATGCATACTTTAATTACATTTTTTGGTGAAAAACTAACTTTTAATTTTATTATTTTTGAGAAGTTTCAAGATATCCATCTTATAGCATTTATTCTTCTTAAAATGTTTACATTTAAATTCTTTATTTTCATTAAATTTGTGATTTTTTAACAATTTTACAAAGTCACGAGAAAAAAATATTCGGACATATAGTTTTGATAGTACTAATACTCTATTAGCGAATGCGATTACAACCAATTATGCAATTCGTTTTCTCTCTACTTTAAAAATTACGAATTTATTGAAAATGAAAAGTCGATACGTCAAAATGTTCAAAAGAATAAATTCTACAAAACGTCTATCATCAAATTTCGCAAAAACAACAAAATGAAAAGTTTTTTCTAAAAAATTAATTTAAATATAAATATGCGCAGTTCTCATCCGTGCGAGTAATATAAAAATACAGGATTTGATTATCTTTATTATCCCCGGAGATATTACGATGCGTGACCAACTCTATACGTGTACCTTACAAATTATCTTGCATTAGGTCGCACGCGTACATATTTTCCTGTTTTTTTATTTTTTTTTTTTTTCTAGTAAATACGTCAACGATTGTTATTATTGTTATTGATAGTTGCGTAATGTCGCTTCAGGTATCGTTCATCAATCATCCGTCGAAGACTAGGAGTGCATCATTATCATCATCGATACAGAGATTATTTTAAATTCATTTGTATGCCACGACGAACGTGCACAGTGGTGATGGTGATTTATCGAAATTATCTGTTGAAAAGTATATATATTTTCGAGATCGGAATGTCATGGATGTTAACGGTCGGTCGCGTTCGCGGGTAAAAAAAACCTGACGTAACATCCTATACGGGGTGGACGTCTACAGTAACCCTTAGAGGAATCCTCGCAAAACGGCCGGCTATTAAGTATCGTTTCAAGATAATCTCACGGGATAACATCGCGGACCGACATTTGTTGTTCGGCCCATCAGTGGGCACGGTTAGAAACGCTGGAGTGGACTGAACGGCCGGACGAGAAACACAATCTTCTTCATCTTCATACTCTCGCCTCTCCGAACATTTATTTTACGTCGGCCACCTTGGTCCTAAATCTCCCCTTGACTTTGTCACTCGCGCCGTCAACACACATTCAAGCAGTCTTCATATCGCCCATAATCGCGATTCACCGTCTCCCATTCGGCCATCACCCTCCCTTTCTTCCGTCGACAATCGCTCGTCAAATTACATTTTTACAACCCCGTCTCTTTTCTACGCATAAAGACCCATCCAACTAAGCGTTTTCATCGTAATTGAATGTTGTTCTGCTAACCGTTTCTACAGACCGGTCAATATTCTGTACCATGCGCCGTCTCCGCCGGTCTCACCAGAATATTTCCAAATTTACTTTTTGACCTGAACAACAGAACGTGCACAATTTTTAACGCACCGTTTATCGTCGACGGGACCGCGGAGGTGCCGGCTTAGCGCACGATTTCACTTGACCGCGGGTCGTGACAATACTAATTTATATTGTTGACGCGTTAACGGTGGGATCTCAATAAACGCTCGTGTATTATTGTCTGACATCTTTCCAACGTCATCCAAAGTGATTTCGATCTACGAAATCGTCCGCATGCCGCGTAAAACGTTAGCAAGGGGATTGGCTAAAAACGAAAATCGTATTTCGGTACGTATTCGTTTCGCCGCTGTTGCAGTGGCCGACCACCAAAAAAAAAATCCTACTCGTATCGCCCGTAGTATTTTTCTACTACTGCGGCTTTATTAGCCGTCCGGCCGTCTATCGCGACATAACGTAAATGCAGGTGCTCGAAAACGCGCGCGCCGTTCGCGCAACACGGGAATCCGCGCGGCTCGGAAAACTTTCGGTCGTAACGCGGGGACTGTTGTGTTGTAACGCGGACGACGGCGTTCCGCAGCGCCGAACTACGGGCGCGCGCGACCGCTACTCCGCCGCAAGACTACGATTGTTGCGGATCGAATTCCACGCGACGTAAACTTTCCGGAACGTCCGACTGTCGACGGACCGTGACGCGTAACGTGACAGCGTTCGACGAACGTCCCCCCCCCGCCCGTATTTCGAGCGCTCGTCGCGTGCTGGCCGCCGCCGCGGCAGCCGTCGCCCTCGGACGGTAATTTACCGCCGTTATTACTCTGCGTTCGCGGCGGACGCGTCGGGCGTCTCCCATCACACCCCCGAAAACCCCCCCGCCGGTTTTCGCCCTGCCGAACGAAAATTATCGATTCCGGTACGGGGGGGGGGGGGGGGAGAGATTGACCGCTCTCCCCGTGATTGTAGTGTAATGTATGCGCACACACGCCGTATCCGGTACTGATGCGCCGCGTCGTCGGTGTACGGAAAATATCGTCGAAATACCGCGGAAAACGATATCACTCCCCCCCCCCACTCATCCCCCACCCGCCGTGCCGCCGGTCAACGCTTTTCCGATTTAACACGCGTGGGAAAAAAAAAAAAATTATACTATATTTGTCTTATAAAAAAAAAAAAAAAATGTAATCAATTAAATTGTGTATATTGAAATAACGGAAGAAGAGCGGTTTTGGACGGAGGTAAGCAAAACAAAAATAATAAAAATTGCATCCCGTGGTTGTAATTTTGTGGACTGTTGCAACTTCTCTACCGTTTTTTTTTTTTTTTTTTTTTTTTTTTATATATAATATTTTCTATCTCTTTCTCTACTTTTAAAAAAAAAAATATATATATATATACATACATTTTGTTATTTGGCGTTGTATACCTGCAGCTATCATATTATTATAATATTTTCTTCTTAATCGTCATTGTTGCTGTTGTTGTTGTTTTTTTTTTTTTTTTTTTTTAATTCCTTCTCTTTTTTCTCTTACTACTTTTATATTTAGAGCACTTTCAACCATACTATTATACGTATTGTACCTACCTTTTCAATGATTGAAAAAAAAAAAAAAAACATTTCTTCAGATTTACTTCTTATTTACTATGTTTACTATATACACACGTCTTGTTTTTGTGGTTTTTCTCTTCTTTTTGTTTACATTATTTTATTAATATATTTGTTTATTTATTAATTATTATTGTTATCATTTTTTATTTTTTTTTTTTTTTTTATTCTAGATAAACATTTGTTTGTACATACTAATAATGTTCTTCGTTATGTTTTTATCATATTATTATCATTATACGTAGGTACCTAAAAGGTTTTATTATATTAATAAATTGTAATACTGTGCGCGTGTGCGTCTCTTTCCGTATTCCTAAATCATATACGTACACGCACTGATTACTAACACAATATTTTAAAACCTCGCTTTGTAGCACGGCTCATAAAAAAAAAAATTATATACGAGTAAATATATATTATGTATCCAAAACACATATACGCGACTGACACGAGTTAAATACTTTGTTTTAACGTGCTTACGGACGTTAAAGCTTTTACTCGTGATTTTTTTTTTTCGTATGGATACTCCCCGCCGACATCAATTTAAACGTCAGGTGCTCGAAAACCCGACTAGTTATTAACTTTGGTTTTTTTTTGTTGCTTGTTTTTTTTTTTTTTTTTTTTTTTTTTTATGATAAATGAGTTTTTTCTCAAATTTGCTTTTCATTTTTTTCTTTATTATCGTTATTTATTTATACTGTCGAGATGATTAATTTATGTATACATAAAAAAAAAAAAAAAAACCTGAGTCTTTTGATATCAAAGTTAGTACATGGCAAATAAAGTGATTCTGCGGTTAATTATTATGTAGGTATTATGTACTAAAAATTCACCGTAACCGCGATTGCGTTTTATTTAATATCATAGAAAGTTCAAACGTTGAAAGTGGTGGGTAGGGTTGCGAAATATGATTATAATTCAACGGGTGTATTTAGAAAAATGAAATAAGATTCTATTTTTTCGACGCATTTCTTCGAGTCCCCAAAAACAAAATAAATATATATTAAAAGACAAATATCGGAAACGGGTATTAAATCAAACACAATATGGATGCGGCGGTATTGAACAGAAATTTGTATGGAAGCACGGCCGATAGTATTTTGTTCGCTAACGCCGCCGTTGCGTGTGACTTGCACACTATCACGCCCAATCATCGCTTTTTCGTCAAACCGAATGCTCGTTCAAGAGCGAAACGTCGTTTCTCCCTCCGCCATCAAAATATACGTATGTGCACTATTGGGATCGTAGTGATAACGTGATCCGGTCGTAAGGTCAAAACCGCGCACTGTTTGTTTGCAACGGGTGTTCCGCAATTAAGAATGATAGCTGGTGCGTCGTTCTCGGGAAGATTACACTGTCGCGCGCAACACTGTAATTATATACGGCCCGGAAATCACAGCACGAGTCCTCTCATTTCGATACGGTGAAACGCCACCGGAATTCGGCACCTTCGGAACATTCAGATCTCGACAGAAAAACCGAATCCGTGTGTGTGATATCTACGACGAAAATGCAAAATTATCAATTGGATCCGATCGGTTGTGAACGACTTGATACGCGTGTCAAACAACTTGAAATACCTAATGTGTTGCCGTAAACTATGGGTTCTATTCTGGTCGGTGAAAAACAATCGAACAGATTTCTATTTTTCGTCACACGCCCTCGTCTTCGGTGTACCCGCTGAAAAACCGTTAAACCCATCGCGTAGCGTTATTACTATGTTTGTTTAATTTTATTATTGTTTGTTTTTTTTACTAATCATGTTTCTCTGCTGCGGTAACTATCATAATAGCACCATATGCAAATGCTTTCACCGTATACTTTTTATCATTACTAGATGCCTCGCTTCGCACGACATCTAGCTGGATTACAATAATAATATCATAGTATATTATTGCGATAGGTATCACACGCGTGTGACATAGAATATATATATTTTACCGTTATTACTATTATTATTAGCATTTTTTTTTTTTTTTTTTTTTTTTTTTCACAAAGAGGTTGCAATCGTTGATGACAAAATGTCCACATTTCGATAAGCGGCCGCCGACGGTCGGGGTGAAAGAACTCAACGGTTCTATGGGGGTGATTTTACAGTGAGCCTCCAGGCCGTAACCATAATAGTTTTCAAATAGACTCAAAAACACACGGTCAATAAAAAAAAAATGGTTGATGTCGATAAATTGAATTTCGGCCCTCAAAATTATTCAGAAACAATAATACTTCCCCGTTTAACTTGTTTACCCGACCCCGTTATATTATGCTGTACACCTACTTACGTAATGCATTTTTCAGCGTATATTTTATATTTACGTTTTCATTTCCGTGTCCTACAGATATTTTTTTTTATAATATTTGTTTTTTTATTTATCTATTATACAAAGTGTATCTCAAGGATTTGCCAATTTCCCATATGCAAGGTCGTAGTAAAATATTTTTTTTTAGACAGAGAATTCAATTTAATCGTTCGTTATTATTGTTATTATTATTATTATTATTTTTTTTTTTACAAACAGAATTAGCATTTAAAAATAATGAATAACACTTTTGAAAAATTGTGACGAGGATTTCAACCGCCAAAAGCCCTCTCAGACATGGGATTGCCTACAGTGTTCATTATATAGGAAATAATAAAATCACGTGGATGCATCGTTTATATTTATCGAACTATATTTTGTATGGTTTTCTTTTTCTTTTTTTTTTTTTTTTAAAGTGTAATATCGATATTTTAATTATCATTATAATTGTTAACGTTTTCTTTGGTGATTATTTATCAGGCCATACCGTTTTCGTTATTTTGTTTTAAATATTTAAGACGTGATTTAATTCTCTAGCCTAGTGTCGAGATTATCAGGATAAAATCACATTAAACGTAATCTAAAAGCTGCATACTTTGTTTTATTTTATTTTTTAGTTTTTTAACATAATACCGTATATATTATATCTAATTTAATGTTATTATATTATCATAGCATAATGTTTCGTTGGTACTTAAAAAACTGGTAAAAATAAAAAAGTTTTACACAGTCTCGCTATAGCAACTGCAACCAACATTATATATTATACGTTATTTTTACAACTGCGTCGCTAAATAGATAACATGTTACCCATTTATTGTTTAGTTATTTATTTGATTTACCTACTTGTCTTCTTCAAATGTTATTTCGACGAACAAAAGGCATCGTATTATTTTCTTTGTACGGTATCCAGATTACTTAAAATTATCATCTATCTTTATCTTATACTCATATTTTAGTCATTATCGGTCTTGTTTTATCTAGATGAAAATCGGTTATTTTTTACAACGCCTATAAATAGTATTTGTTTTAAATAACGAGACCTTAATTTGTGATGAGATATCGCGTAGGTATTATACGCGATACGAACGATCCTAATATATTATATAATATAATGACGCGATTTTTCGATAACGAAAAAAAAAAAAAAAAAAATGATTATACAATCATAAATATTGCACGTTATTAATTTGACGAATCCGAGAAGAAAAATGTTCCACGAATTGTTCGAATTCCGTATGCGGACGTTGCAGATTACTCGAAATTATATTATTATTATTAACAAAAGGTTAACGGCATTCCGTTCGTGGGAATGCTCGGGTTTTGTTTTCCCGAAATGACCTTTTACTCGCTGGTATTATTGAGAAGATCTATTATTATGATTATTTTTGCTCTCGACTTCTTTCCCGCCGCCTTTAATATCCCATCTATAGTTGACCACTTTGATCTTAAATTTCCATTTGACTCGTGGTCTCCCGTATCATTTATATCCCATCATCATACCACTGCCAATCGTTTTTAACGACCATCTTTATTTTAAAACTACTCTGACAGTTTCTGAATCATATCTTCTCCTCGCATGTCTAAACCACCTCGATAGTTCCCTCTCGTCTTATCAACACTACTGAAAAAACGCTTATGTGACACACCGCATAAACTCGTTTATTATTCTGTTCCTTCTCGAGAGAGAGAGAGACTCCGCTGGTTCATCGAACGCTAAGATTCTCATTTTCTGTTCCATCTTTTTTGTCTGATGCCGTACATTTCATATCGTACGACGTCCCCACAGATGTATACCATTTACCTTTTGGTATTTTTTTAGATTCTGAGCGAAGCGATGAATGTGTTGGTTTTAAAACGATATACATATATTTTTATTAGAATTTTAATATCAAATTTTGACAAAAACCAAAAAATATTACGGTCTTTTAATACATTTACAACCGAACTCCGCTCGAAATCGTTTTTTGTTAGCAATAGTTAATCGTTGCATATAGATATGCATTAATTTCCACTCTATATTCTCCATTCCCATCTTTTCACCGACAATATTGGCCCACCCGTCGTGCGAAGTATGTCCGTCTTTTTATGTTTGTTTTTTTTTTTTTTGAGATTTTATCGGTGTATTGTAAAGTCGACGACGGCTAATCGGTGTCCTCTTCCCGAGTGTACGACTTAAATTGGATTACGTATTCTAAACGTATAAGAAAATAAACCGACGAATCGTAAACTAATGTAATATAAAGTCTCATTTAGAGTCATTCGCGTAAAAAACTGCATAGGGCACAGAATTCGTACAATGATAAGCACGGGAGGCGGATAGGTAGTATACCGGTAAATGCCTCGTTGTTTTTTTTTTATTTTCGACAAATTTTGAAATTTCCACCGTTACACGCCGATTACCTATTTGCAATTAGTATGTGCGCGCGTGACGTACTAATATAACCGTTAAAATCGTATTAAAATGTTTAGCTGATACCGTTCGCGACAAAACTGCTATTATATTATTATATTTTTATTGCGATGTATAAAAAAAAAAAAAAAAAATTAAAAAAACAACATTATACCTAACCGTGTTTTTATGCACTCGTTTATGATAACAAATAACCGTAAATATTCGATTATTTAATTAAAGTTTTCTCAATTAAATATAGTGCAATATAGTGTAGTGTAATGATGATAGTGTGTAGGTTTATGACCACCGCCCAAAATAATAAATATATACGACGCGCGACTGCAGTGCGGACGAGAGATATTCGGGTATTATGGGGACGGCCGTCGCGTGAAATGTAATTTTGTATATAAGTTTTCGTCTCGTAAACGTCACGGGCATCGACCCCGCGCCACGCTCTCGCTCGCACGCAGACGCCTATCGAACAATAATAATAATCATAATAATATTGAAGAGATTTTGTAGACCGTCGCCCCACTTGCTTTTAAAATGTTCACATCGACCCCGATTGAAATATTCGCGACTTTTGGGAATTTCGTGTGCTATATTTCGACGACCAGGATTCGACGAGGTTAAAACGTCGATTGTTCAAGTGGATTTCCGGTCGCGAGACTGCGACTACACCCTCCCCCCCTCACCCTTTAAAAAAGAACCGGTCGACGACCACGTGTCGAAAAATTGTACGATTCGTTACAATGTGCGCCAAACATGACCAATCTCGGACCAAACTGGAGAACAATACTTAGTTGCGTTGAACACCGGGAAAAAACTTGTTCTTCGAATTGTTTTCTGTTTGCTTTTAAACACATTTTTAATGTCGGCGCGCATAGAAAAATATTTAAATTATCGCTTGAAAATTCGCAAAACGACCAAACAGCTAATAAACTAGATAAACAAATACCGAAATAAAATAATCAACGTTAAAGACGTTCGAATGGACATTTTGCAAATCCTTCTAAACCATATCATAATAAATGCCGAACGAAACAGAAAATTCATAACGTGGCGGTAAGCTTGACATTACTCGATATGCTTTTGAGAAAAGTTCGTTCACACCGCGGACCGTTGTATAACTCTCGTTCACTATTTGCTCAAGCACCTATCTATTTCTTAACAGTGTTACGTGAAAAACCCGAAGAAAAAAATGTATAAAACTTTGGGCCAGTTTAAAATGATAACTATTTGTATACGTTTCGATTTGTTTGATTTTTTTATCGAAAAATCGGGAGAAGCGAATTCCGTCTTCCATTCCCCCTCAGATGTTTATGAATCGGATACTTTTACTTTTACTAAAAAATTACCGTGCGCATTGTATTATGTCGAAAAATATATCTTTTGAAACCTTCTAAAATCGACCGTGTTGTTTTTTTTTGCCCGTTAAAATACAAGCGCTTTTTAGTTTTCGTCTTGCACCGTGTACCTACGATACGCGTTTCGACAGTGTTAATTAATTTATCGTCGTTTTTTTTTTTTTTTTTCGTTTTATTTACTTTTACGTAGCATCGTTGTCGGATACCATGCGCCTCCTTTATTACGCCGTGGTTCTTCGGGTTAATGATGTCCAAAGTTGTTTTTTTTTTTTTTTGCACATTGTACGTTAGATAATTTCGTCCCCCTCTCTCGAAAAAAAAAAAAAAAACCGTATACAATTTTTACCAACTCATTTTATCGGTATATTTTTACCCTCCCGTTTATACACGTGTATTGTATGTACGGTACACGTGCATAAAGAGAGTAAAATTTCAATTACTGCTATGCTTATAATAATTCTGAATTAATTAATTAAATTAATAACGTTACGATGCTAATGCCGCCGAAATCCCAGTGTCTTAATTATTTTCGACGGTGGCGTCGGCGGTACACTCGAGTATTATATAACAACGCCGTATCCGAAATTCGCGAACGCAGATTGTCGGACCTCCGGCGCGCCGCTCGTGTAATTTTCGAACGTTGCGATGTAAAGTAATAAGATCGCGTAACGGACACGAAGCGCAAATGACGACGGCGATAACGGTGCCGCGCGACTTTAAAAACTTCTCCGCGGCCGTTTCGACGCGACGCACCGCCGCCGCTCGTTATTATAATATTATTATTATTATTAATTTCGTGACGGCCGCGTTATTCCGTTAAGTATTAACGCGACTAATAACGCGGGGTAATTTAATTAACGTTTCGTTTATAAATTACAATATTATACAATTTAAATAAACTGCGACGACGGTGCGTTTCGGTTAATCGACGTGACGTTTGCGCAAATTTTACAGGGTGGTTTTTTTTTTTTTTCGATTTTTTCAACGCTATCTAGCGATCAATAAACCTACGAAGTTTACGTGACAAAAAGGATTTTCGTGTTTTCTTTTTTTCATAGTATTATTTTCAAATTATTTCCCGTGTTCTTTATGACACCGTAAACACGCAACCGTCACGTGAAAAATACCGAAGTAAAATTTTAAGTTTGTCGGTAAACTACACGGTTTAATATCCTCAATAACGCCCCGGAAAATCCTACAGACTTAAACGAAACAGAATGGCGTATAAAATCCACGAATTACAATGTAAAATCTAATCTAAACTTACACGAGGAATTCACCACTGATATGGCACATAATTAATGGTCACAATTAGCCTTATATTATCGTCAACTCAAATTTCGTATTAAAATACTCGTGACTGGGTGATAAAACGTAACTGTGACGTTTAAAATAAAAAAAAAAAATACGTTATACGTGTACAAATGTATACAAATAGCGTGAAATTAACTAAAAGGGAAAATATGCCCTAAATGGTAAAAACCAACATAAACAATTCAAAATCAATGTTTCAAAATTAAATTCGTTATTACACGGTTCGAATATTTGGTAAAGAAAAAAGTACGTTTTACAAACAGCAAAACAAATAAATGAGGTAGGTATAGTTGACATTTCGACAGCATTGTAGAATCTGAACGGACGATGAATCTATTGGTTTTAAAATGATGGTAATTTTTTTTTTTTTTTCCTGTGAACAACTTTTCTCCAGAAATTTATTCCGATTTTCAAGTGTAGCACATATTCTGACTGGGGTGGCACTTTGAGCAAGTAATTTTTTGATTTTCCCGGGAATTTTTATAATAAATGGCAAAAACGGGAATATGTACGAAATGTATTATTCGTAAATCATAAATATTACGCCCTTTCAAAACATGTATAACCGAACTCCGCTCTTAATTGTCTTTCGTTAGCATTGACTTATCGTTGGTTACGACGTATAAATAAAAACAAATTTATGTACCCTGTTTTCCCAACTGTTCACCTGCAATAATGGCCACCACATCGTGCGAAATATTTCCGTTATTTTTTTTTTATTATGAAGTCTCAGGATTACAAGCGATTAAACGTTGAACCTTTTCGGAAATAATCGTTAAATTTTATCTGTTCTATAAAGGTAATTTTGAACATTATATTACTTTAATAAAAATACCAAATTGCGATATATTGTGAGGTACTCCCGTAAACGATGGCGGTCGATAGGCGTTGCACACAAACGTGTCACTACTAATAGTCATTATAAACATTTATAATGTAAGAATTTATTAGCATAATAATATAGAAACCGTATGCAAAATTAATACCTAGGTATATATTTATTTATTTATATTATTATGTTTTTTTTTTTTTGCAAGGAGGATTATCTGACTACCAGGAACATCTATCTCATAGTAGAACCTCCGACCATCTCTATCCAATTCCTGGTCCCAATTCCAAATCCTTATGCTTTCACGTTCCATCTATCAACACTATGTTCCCAAGTCATTTTTATTCTTTCCAAGGGTCTTCTTCCTATCGGATTCTGTTCCATCACTGCTTTTAAATGCGAGTTTTAACTTATCATTGCACGTGTTCTTTTTTTCATCATTTCTACAACGTTTTTTTCATTATATATTCATTATATATTATTATATTCATTATATATTATTATATATTCATTATATTGCTTCTAATTCTCTATTTTTTTCTTTGTCTTCATTCTCCTGGTAATTTATCTTTTATTAGCTTCAAAAGTCTGGAATTCGAATTGGGTAGATGAACCGAAACGAATAGAATATACCGAAAACAAAAATCTCAAGAGGAGTAAGGTCAATTCAGTTGATGTATCAAAGGACCAGTGACCGCTGAAAAAAAAAACTAATCCGATGGTTGGCATTTGACTAAACGGGATTTCCGAGTCGTATACATTTCCGGTACTTTTGAATAGTTTTGATCAGTTTGTCGGAACAGTTTTTTCGACCTTTTAGTGTATTAATATTTAGTTCATCGGTCCTGAAATTGTATTCGTATAATAAGTAAAGTACTGTTTGAACTCGATCGTTGGACATTTCGTCTGTCTATTAATGAGTTTGTTTGTTATACAATCGTGATTTCAAGTGATTTAATGTGCGATTTTCTATGAATTTTGAAACACGAACTACCGAAGTCGATATTACGGGGCATTTCTTGAATTCCGGCATTTTTTTTACACCGTGAGGTCTGCTGTTTCCAATAAGAAAACAAATATATTCATATTTCTTCGAATTATATTCGGTCCGAATAAAATACAACGAAAACTTCAAACTATTCAAAATGTCAAGAAAAAACTGGATGTATAGCGTCATTTAATAAATATGTATCACATCATTTTTGGATGATCCGTGGTTCCGTGGTGTTTTCCTTCAGCGCTCCGCTTTATTATCAATTTCAACGGACTTTCATGTTCGGGCCCGTTTATAATAATGACCACTCCGCTGGTTTTATCTTCTCGTCGAACTTTTTTATAAGTGTTTTTCTTTGTGATAATTAATATTTTAGCACTTTTTCATTTCTTAATTTTTTTGATCTGCTTATAATATTATTTTCAGAGATATTTGACTAAATTAAAACCATAATTATAAGCGGTGAAAGAAACAACAAAGGTAAACACTTCGAGAGATGGATGGACCACTGTTGTAGATGAGAAGTTAGGATAGTAGAATGGAAAACGCCAATGTATTGCCAACGAAAAACGGTTCTAAATGGATTTCATTTCAATGTGTTTTAAAAGGCCGTAATATTTATGATTTGAAAATAATACTTTCCTAAATTTTCCAATTTTTCCCGAGTTTTCTCATTTAGTAGAAATACTGCTAGAAAAATCAAAAAATTACCTCCCTAAAGTTGGCCAACCCGGTCATATTCCCATCAGAAAAAATACACTTAAAATTCGGATCAAAATTTTTGGTGGAAAAGTTGTGCACAAAAAAAAAAAAAATAAACATCATGTTATAACCAATATATTCCTCGCTCTGCTTGGAATCTAAAATTGACATTGAACCCCTAAAATATCATAATAATAATTACGGTTTGGATGTTTATGCTTTCACGTGTTTTTTGTTTTATTTTTTATCATATTGAATGAATTCTTTCGTGAATTCTGCACTATAAAACATTTAACTTTTATTTTGCATAATACTATAATGAGTATTTGCATATTCTTTGTTTTTTGTTTATATAACGTATATATTTTGGCTTTGTCTTCTGTTTTCAAACACATACTTGACGGCTTTCGGTACCGAATATAAAAACGTAAACCTCGTATGTATGTCATATTAACTGTATCTGAATCTGAGTAGAATTATCCGTTCATTTTGTATTAATATGGATTATAGGTATACAAGTTATTGCGTATGCACTGTCAAGGATCTCCGATAGAACGAGACGATAACTGCCATTCGAACCATTCGATATTTTTACGAACGGTTTATTTTCGGGTTTTGGATTTGGGTTACCGTCTAGTCTGAAACGCGTAGTTTTTTATGTTTTCTATTTTGAGACTGTACAATGTATCCCCCAATGTTTGATCGATTTTTCTAGCGCTGTTAATATTAAATTTGTTTCATAAAACAATAAATGCTCAACGGAATAACACGTTACACAATAAGGAATCATAACCATCACGGTAATGTTTCATATCTTCTGACGGACATTTATTGCGGTTTTCACGCCTACTTTCTGTACATTAAATGCTGCTATAACTGAGAAACTATTGATCGAGCGTGTAAGTCGCACGCATGTATACCGTTGTACCCGCACATTGAAACGTTTAGCGTAATATATTTTACAGATCGGCTGTTTCGAAAATGTCGAACGAATAAAAAAACCGCGCCCCCAGCCCCAAGCCCGTATTTTCGCCGAAAACAATTAGGCCGAAAACACGAATTACGCACCGCCGTCGACTGATGCGAACAGAATACGAGACGAATGTATTTTTCCTAAAAACGCAGTGTTGTACATAGCCGACGGTTACGGAGAGATGTAGCGACGGCGGCGGAGGTTCCGAGGCGATGTCGGTGATCACGATTGTTAATATTTTCGCTTTTGCTCGAATCGATATTTTTAGATTAAAAAAAAATAATCATAAATTAATTAATTAATGAAAAAACTCGAGTCTGAAAATAGACGTTCGTTTACGGCCCATAGGTTTTTTTTTTTTTTATATTAAACCGGGTTGTCCCATGTGTGATATTTACCAAAACGCAGTAAGTGCTTCAGACCGCCATCTCCCCCCCCCCTTTGGTTGTCGTTCCTAACCGCAGCAGCGGTCATTGAATAAATAAAATACAATTCAGTACGATAATTGTTTAGGTTTTCTCACTCCCACTCATCCACTGATGCGTTTTTCGGGTTTCGCCGCTGTGTAGTCGTCCCGGTAGACCGACCCGCCGTTTCGCAGTTTACCCGGACGAATTATTGCTGGTCACTGTCCGACCGACCGACGCGCGTATTTGCAGATCCATTTAATACAATTTCACTATACATATACGTCGTAAGTACGCGTTCTGTTCGGAAATATAATACAGAAATATTATAAATTAAACAAATACCCATTACCATCAAAAGGAATATTTTCATAATAATAAAAAAAAAAAAAAATTATATTAAACATTTAAGGTTTTTTTTTTTTTTTTTTAGAAAGCTTACAAAAAAGTTCCCTGGAAATGTCATTAATATTTGCCTCACACAGAGCCACCTGCCAGGAAGGTTATAGGAATACCTTTTACGACTCATCAGCCATCATAGGAAGTCCCAATTTCGGTCATCGACCGTCCAGAAGTTACGAAATTCGGGGTTAACCGAGTTCGTCCCGAAATGACCTTTTTTTTTTTTTAATGTCCAGAGTGCGTCCGGAATAAAGTATTACCCGAGTGCGTCCCAAGACAAAATACCATATTCTCGACCTAGCCCCAATGCGCGCCATTTCATTAATATATGCCTAAAAGTTGCACCGCGGGGACTCACCTGACTTACGCCCCAATAATATTTGGATATTTTATTATCTATTATTGACATGCATTTTTTTTTTTTTTTTTTAATATATAGGTAAAATGTTTAAAATGTTGTCTAAAATTACATTAAAGGCTGGTATTTAAATGCGATTATTTTCACAAATGCATTTTTTTTTTTGTCCTCTCTACAGAATTATGAAATTGTCAGTAACAACGATATTTAGTTCTCTAGCTATTTTAGTATTTTCTACCTTCTTTTGGATATTTTCCTAAAAATGTGGCAGTACGCAGCAGTCAGAAACGTTATTAGCGTTCATAACGTATTATTGTTTACTACTATTGTTTATTATCTTGAACTATATTGATTTCAGTTTCACGATAAAAATTAAAAAGAATATCAAACTATGTTTTACATGTTTCGTCTGAGAGCACAGATATATGCTGATGAGATCTACGGTGCAAAGAGAACTGATTATAAAGATTTTTAATTTATCTATAAAATAATATGATGCGCGACGTCGTTTAATTCAAAAAATCCAAAAACTACACATAATTGAAGCTTATTAAAATATGTCTGAGTGGCTGTATATCACACGTAATAATTTATAATTTTAATTATATTTTTTCCACCATACCGAAGAAAACAAAAAATAATAAAGTATCAAAAATTATGAGATTTTTTTTTAAATAATATTATCCAACCAACTGCGAAGAGAATACAATTCCATTGTACCTACGTCGTTTTTGTATTTTTCATTTTTGTTTTTTTAATATCAAATATTCCGCAATACAATGAAAACTCGTAATACCTTAGTTAAAAACTATCTAAAAGATTCATATTGTTTCACCGGATGATTCGAAAAGAGTTTTGCACGGTTATATTTATACACCTACTAAGAAGTTATGAAAGTGTTGGGGAAAACAGCTGTGATGTCACTTTAGGTATAATATAATATTAATAACTTTTTAAATATTATAAAATTCAAAATACAATGTCTGAAACGGCGGAAGAGGGTGGAAAAACCCTTACTTCACTAAACGGGTCCTCAAAGAAATTCTGTCCAATCTTAAAGTTTTGTAATAACAATAGTGGTTAATAAACGGACGAAATCTGACGTTTGAAAACCAAATAAAAATAACATAAATTTAAAATATAACAGTACAATACAGAAAATATATTTTTCAAATTTGTAAGGTCCCCGATCCGTTTGAGGAATAGATTGCCTTGAAATTGATGACCCGATCGAAATGCTCAAAATGTTACGACGGCCGATGTGTATCAAGAATCTCGATAGAAAGTAGTGATATTCTATCATTTTACGGTGTAGTCCGCTGCAGTCACGAATCGTATTAAAAAGTTTCGATCTTAAAACAGCGATTCTATTTCAAACCCGAGTTATTCAAAGGACCCACATAGTGATAGTGGCGGGTTTTGACCGTTTAGAATGTCATACCAAGCCAAAATCACGATCTTCAAATTTTATTTCTCCCAGTTGCTATTCGCGAGGAGTATAGAGGTTCTGACGTACAAAGTTTTTGTCAAAGAAATTTCGAACATAACCGGGTTTTCGAACATAATATACGAGGTTCGGGGCTCGGGGATATACGAGTAGGAGGTTGTCATTATACGTTTTGTTTTTTTATTTTTTGCAAGTCTATTATTTGACGGTAAATATTGTGTACCGTTATATATTAGTTACGTTATGCTCGGCATACTCGGATCAAAACATTATTCGTCAAAACCAACTATCTCGTCCTTTAAAACAATTATTATACCTATGACAACGTCGGCGGGAGAGGTGGTCCACGATAAAAAAAAAAAAAAAAGTCGTATTGCCCGGTGTAATATTATCGTAATAGTATCAAGCTATTTTTACAATGACTCCTCCACGAAATCCCTAAATATTCATCCTAACGGATCGTCAAAAACTGCGATCATCGGCCGCAAAATTGTTTTCTGCCTTCTTCGTTCCTTACGCTTTCATCTCACGTTCCACCCTTCCCGTCTCCTTCGAAATTTCTCGATCTTCTCAACACGCCCACATATCTCACTATAACAACCTATCTAAACATATTCCGCGGCCTATAATATAGATCATATAGATGTAGGCCTTATATCTCTTTCTCTACTTTTGACGAATCCATTTACGCTTTACTACTCACGTGTGTTCTTGCACTCCCTCTTTGTTTCTTCTTCTTATGACACAATGCCCACATCCCGTTCTAATTACTCGTATTTTTCCTGCAAAATCAGTTACCACTTTTATATTCTTCTTTAATCCTATTAAAACTGATCTCACCACATATTATTATGTTTCTTCTTCTTTTTTTTCCTTTTCTTCTTCTTATTATTTGGATTTATTATAACTGTCATAGACACTATTCTGTAACTGTCCAATTTATCTTCCCGAATCATTACTTCTAAGATTTCTAAATTTGCACTTTTTCATCTACTCATTACTTCATTGATTTTCGTTTAGGACTTAACCGTCGGTTTATATTTGATTAACTATACACTCACACGAGTCTTTGGTTTATTTCTGCAACTTCCATTTTTATTTCATTTCTTTTATTTACCAACTACGTCTATATATATAAACGTCTATATCTATATATACTGTATAGATATAATGATATCATCACAACCGTTTTCTATTAATTTCTTTTTTATCCTTCACAAATTCGTTTTCTCGAACAGCTCTCCTGTGCGTTTCTTTCCATATTATACAGTCTGTTATTGTTTTACTATTTCTGCACCTTTTACAATTCCTCGGATCTCTTTCACCGCTTAATCCCCGAGAACTTGAACTTGTCGATTCCGTATTTCGTGGATTGATCTACGTACTCTTTCCGAGAAACACATTATAAAAATAATAATAATAATAATATTCGTATTATGCTACAAAGTGTAAATATTATGTCATTATTTTCCATTTTCACTGTGATGATATAACATATTGACGATCAATTGTTTTGTTTTTGGGTTCCGTGTGCCATCCACAGGGTTCAGTGATCCATACTGCATGCTCGGTATCCAGCCGGGCACAGTGTCTCCTCAAGCCGCTGCCTGTCTTCCGCCGTCTCCGGCCAACAGCCCGTCACCGTACCAGCCACCACTGTCGCCAAGACCAGTGCACGCCAACGCTCGCACTCTGTCCGAGGGCGGCATCGAGTTGCCACCGGATGGCCGGCATGAGCATCATGACAAGCTTCGCAAACATCACAGGTATGTGCGACAACGTCCCCTCGGGTTTGATTGGGTTAACCATCGAGGGGACCATATTAATAAATTCGAGTTCTATAGATTTCTAAAGATTTCTACATAAGTCTGTAAACATATTATCGTTGTTTTTTTTTTTTTTTTTTTTTTTTCGTATAGGACGTAGGTATTAAATATTTTCTTTCATGAAAATAACAATATTATTTGAACAACGTAATTAAAATGAGGTCTGGCTTCCTAATAACAGGATAAAAAGCGTTCCGTTTAAAGTGGTTCATGATACCGAGACACGGTGCACAATTCCATTTTGAACGAGACGTGCATTAACCCTAGTAAAGGTTAATTGCTTTTAGTCTGCATACTATAACTTGGATCATGACAAAAAGTTGTTTGATACGCCCATCTCTTTCAACAAATAATACGTCTTCAATTCGCCTACATCATAGACCGTAGTTCTCCACTCCTCATTGACTACAATTTTCATTTCCGTTATTCCCAGTGCGGCACAATTCAGCGGATCAAAAGTGGAAAACTACGACATGTAAACCGGGTTTAGAGAAGATAAATTACCTAACGATATCGCGACGCGCTGTAGTAGTGACACTCATAGTACTCATCCATTTTTTTTTTTTTTATAGTTTGGATTATTACCTATTTTGGTCACCCGGTGAATATCCCCTTACCACTAAGTATACCACTTTCAATACCACTGGCTATTATTTAATAACCGGTTTATTGCCTATTGTATCCGTTAGAACTGATTGTTATTGTCAATACTTCTGTAATATTACTATTACGTAATTAGGTTTAAATTTGTTAGACGTATAATATTATAATCATAAAAAAAAAGTAAATACTATAATAATACGTGTATTAATGTATAAAACAAACTTATCTATTTATAAATGTGTTTGTTAATATTTTATGAAACATATAATAAAACGTATGAAAACGCGTACCAACGCGACCCGCGTATGTAGTGATCAGACGTGTATGATACACTCGCACAAAATCTTTTGTAGGAAAATATACTGCGTTTATTGTGTTTTTGAATCGATCGATGGATGAATAATGGTTTACATTTTTAACGATGATATAAATAAATATTTTTACGTCTCGAATTTCTCAACGCTGGCCGCGGTAATTATTTTAGTAGTATACTCCCCGCAGAGATCGGAGCACGTTTAGATTTTATTAGCCGCTAGGGGGGCATATCACTGCAGGCTACCAAATTGAAAATAATTTAGTGGCTAAATTAAAAAAAAAAAAAAAAATTAATTTAATTTATACCATATTTTTTTACCAGCGTACACAAAAAGAATATTTACAACGTTGTTTGCAAATAACTTTGCAATTTAGTGGTTAAATTTAATGCTGTTTTATATAGACACTGATTTTTATAGGTCCCATACTAAATAGTAAATAATTATAAATAAATTACAGTTTTATTTATGAATTTCTTAAATAAGTATTTCCCATCAACGGCTACCGAATATTTATCATACACGTGCCGCGTATCCATACTATTTGAACAAATAAATTTTACAGGTTTAAAAGTTCATATGAGTTATTTACCATTTTAAAGGTTTTTTTTTTTTTTTTTGATTAAATATGCGGTTAATATATGTTTAAAACATTTTAAAAATTGCGGAATTTCAAAACACGTTTAATAAAACTTCACTCAGAATCGCTATTCGTTTGCATTTATTTATGGTTCCACACAGATAAGAACTCAATACATCATATTTTTTTTTCTGGATTTTTTAAGTTGTGTATGAATTATATTATAAAGACATACATATCCGGTTCGGTTTATTTTCGCACAATCGTACGAAGTCGTAAACTATCAATATCTGTACCTATAATACGATATCGTTATACAATTTTGAAAATTAATGCAAATTTCACACACAAATACTGTCAAAATAAAAGGTGTTTGTTTTGTGTCACAAATAAGTCTGATTATATACTTGCGTATATGGAACACAGGGGCGTCTCCAGACCTTCTCATGGAGGGGGGCAAAATAATTAAATTTAATATAAATAAATGATAAGAAAAAATGACGAACAAACTCTGTACGATGGGAGGACATTTGTTAAAGATGAGAATTTAGGAAGGTAGATTTTTGAGGGAAATTTAATGTATATCTGTACCTAAGCAAATGTAAGCATTACCAACAAAAACGGTTCTAAGCGGAGCTCGGTTAATAGTATTGCTCAGAGGCGTATTCGTATCAATTCAATTGGGGGGGGGGTTGAACAATTTTTACTCTTGAATACCGCCGCTTTGGTCAACAAAATTTTAAAACTTTTATGTCTGATGCCATTTCAACTTAAATTAGCTTAGAAGAGAGCAGATATATTGTACAAATGCAGTGAAACAGTATAATTTAAAAGTTAAAATTATCTTTTTTTCACAATGTAATAATAATAATTAAAATAATCGTAACATGAATAACAAAAATAATAAGAATAATAATTAACAAAAGTTAGAAACCAAGTCCAAAATACTTTTATTATAGTAATTTATTATTTAAATATATATAAATTATATAAACTATTTTGAATCGTATTTCCATTTTTATCGCCGTTTTCAAATAGGGTATAAAAATGGTTTTCACCCCGCGTAGATTTTCGGAAAAATGTAGAAAATTGTCTCACAAAACTTTTATTCGTTTATCTTTCACTGTAAACTATTATAATTCTCCGTTGTTTTTCTTTTTATTTAATTTTATTTATTAGTTTTATTTATGTTCTCTATGTTCCGGAAATAGGCCATTAAGGGAAAAGGTGGCGAGGGAAATTTGATTAAGGAAAAATAATGGGGATCGATTTTTAGATGATAATAATAATAACAATCATCAACATCGTAAATACACGATAGACACGGTTTTAGAGTTATTGTTTATTTACGAAAAACAGATAATATATTCTCTAATATTTATGAAGAAGATAAAAATAGGAACTGAAAATAGAAAATTAAAAATTTATTTACGAAAACATCTTCCGGTTTACAGAATAATTTGTGTCATAATGACAGTAAATTGTACAAATTAGAGAAATAATACAAAATATGTATAATGTAGCATAGTATAGGTACAGTAGAACGGCACGTAATGTATGTATAGAGAAAAAAAAAAATAAAAAATATTACAGTTATAGCATATGGAAGGTGAAACAAAAGATATGAGAATACAAATCACAGTTTGTGAATTTACCAAGAAGAATTGAAGACACAAATATTATTTTTTCGTTTTACTACAATTACAGTATGACATACATAGTATAATATTATATCATGGTAAAAATGACACCAGTGATTTATAGGTATGCAATTATAATTATAATCTGTAATTAAAAAGAAGAAAACAAAATTCAATATTTTATGTTGGTCGAAGTCACGTAAAAAAATTACCATGGAAATTAATTTAGAGTTAAGTTGAAAAATCGACATTGCTAGTGTAATACTGAATTGGTAATGTCATGTAGTGCACTTCAACTAGAATAAAAATTATCACGCGATTTTATTCTGTTTATTTAAAGTTAATGTATTCTAGTACTTTAGGGCAGGCGATTAAGTTACTTAATAATTTGAATAGGAATTTTAGTACAGTTTTATTAAATACTGTTTTTAGGTTTGGTTTATTGAAAATCCAACACCTGTACATTCGAAATGTGGTATTCTTTTGACACGGCATTTGAATGAAAAACACCCAAGGAAATCATTTTAAAATTCTAATAACTGTTGCGATTGACATGAAGAGTTCCATATTAGAAAACCGTATTCCAACTGTGAACAAACCGATGAGAAATGTAATAATTTTATTACAGGCACGCTTAAATTAAGACTGTTTTTTAACTGGTATCTAAACACCAGTTTATTTCGTTTCTAATTAAAAGGTTATAGGTTTCAAAAAAAAAAAAATATATAAATAAGATTATTTGATGTACAATACGAAACGGCGTGGCGGATAATACGTTTTCCAACAGATGTGTAAAAATAATAATTATGAGATTATACAAATTCACGTTAGACAATATAGATAATCGATTACTGAAATGTTCTGAAAATCTGAAGTGATCCATCGATTCAGACCCGGTCGACAAAGCTATGGACAACGAGTTTATTGGTTGTAGGAGAAGAAACCGACAGAGAATTCTATAATTTACATTGAATAATTTATTATTATTATTTCATTAGTTACTTATGTTTTCGCTATTTCGTTTTGTTTCATTAGTTCGGTAGACATACACAATCTTCTAAAGTGGTGAACTCCCTGTCGTACCTATTTGTTTGGGTCTTCGTTAAGGTGTACAGAGTGATTGTGATATAACCGCACGATGGTTTACTTCCCGCATATGTTTCGAACACCCACATTAATAAAGTATAATATATTAGGAACACGACTGTAGAACTAAACTTCATTTTCATTATTTTCACGTTAAATAAAACGATGACATTGCGTTGGTGGTTTGAATTTTAATCAGTTTCGAACGGAGATCTAGACTTTGAACGATTTCGACTCTCTTTTTTTTTTTTTTCTGTGGTTCTAAAATGATAGATATTTGCTGACACGACTTTCTGATACAATAAAATATCACTAGTTTTATATATTATTGTTTTCACGCATATTTTGACTTAAATAACCATAATCTATGGACCTTAAATCATTATGATTTATTTATGGTGCGTACAAATAAATATGTTTGATAAAGAATTGGCTCGTTAGTCAAATATATGCGTATAATGAAACCAATGCTTTCTCCGCTTCGCTTAGAATCTAAAAGCATTATAACTAAAGTTCAATTAATCCATCAATCTCGTCTGGTTTTCTTTATCGTTTACACTATGCAAATTACTTTTTGTTTATAAACTGCAATCGAGTGAAGCCGAGTAATTGGGTCAGTAATATATTATGAAATTAAATTGAATTCTTCAAAAATATTAAGTTTTTATGATCATGTTTAACCATATTACAAACAAAACAAAAAACTAAATCGATAATAATGAAACTTTAATTTCGGGTAAACTTGTCTATTCGTCCATTTATTATAAAAAAAAATTATACTTAAAAAATAATATTGATCTCGTCTATACGAAAATTGGATCCCAAATACAACAAAAAAGATTTCTCTTGCATTTTTTTCGATTGGAGCAAAATATCCGATGGACAAGTTGTTGACGGGAAGAAAAATAAATGTTCTGATACTGGAGAAGTTCTCCTGTTGTGGTTTTTAGGTAACACATAAAACGTTATTTTTTTAATCATTTCTCCGAAAACAATTTTAATCAATGTTTGGCCACACGCGTCTAGAAATTCCGTTATATTTTTATGATTCACAAAAATTAAAAATGATCAAATTGTTTCTTAAGAATTGTTAAGATGATGATAAATTGCTATTATTAACCGTTAATAATTTGTTAACGACTACGAGAAGGGCTATTAAATTAAGACGGTTTTAAATGTGAGTTGTACGGTTTCCCAAATAAATGAATAGTCACGGAAATCGATTACGATAAACCGGATTATTCAAAAACGTGGAACATTACGGATTAACAATAATTCGACCGTCGATTGTTTTCGGTTCGGTTCGGCAATTGACCGTGTATTTCCGTCGGGCCCCGACGGGCCTTACCGAGCGTCCGGCATTCGTGCCCATACGGCATTTTCGCACGGCGCGAAAACGGACAAGTATTTTACGTGATGTACCGTAAATTCGCTTGTAAAACTGCAGTGCGCACCGCGTTTAGAAGACATATACGGCCGCACGTGCATTCGAAAACGGTTAAACCGCAATGATCTCGCGGGACCGATAACCAGAATCGCATGCGTGACGAGCGTTGCGTTCGCCGCGCACAAAGGCTGTCCGTAGTGTAAACGAATACGCATTCTAGTATTTACGCTATGCCTATTTGAAATTTGTATCACCGTCGGGATAACTCGTACGCCGCTGCGAAATATGAACGAACGCAATCGAACGAAATCTATAACATTCGTGCGGGTGTATATCACGATCGCATCATGTAACCGACGGGGAGATTCGATTTAATGTGCGTTCCCGTTTCCATCTCCGCGTCTATCGCAGTCAACCGTTCTTGTACTCCACTTGGCCGCGTAAACTCAATTAACAAACAACCGTTTCCACCCCCACCCCCCTCTGTCCGTGTCACCGCAGTTCACCAACACGTACAATACGAGAAATAAGATTTCCGTCCGACCGAAAAAAAAAAATAAAAATAAAACGCCCGCGCGACGCGAACTTTAGCGGCCGAATTCCGGAAATCCGGCGGAAAGGCGCGCGCGGGTCCGCCGATCCGGTGAACCGATCGTACACGCACAAACGCTTCCTGTTTTTTTTTTTTTTGTAAAAACCGTGCGTTTTCCGCGTCCGCGCGGTACGGAGAAAATAACGCACCCGCGACGGGCACGTCGCGCGGAGTATTCTCGGCGGGCGTATTGAAATTATTGCCGATTCCGACCGGAAACCGGTACGCGGACGACGTCCGTGTCTACGGCGTAACGATTTCGGTCGGCCGCGGTCGCCGTCGACGGTTCGGCCGAGTATTCGTTTAACGTCGGCGCGACGGCGATTTACGACGCCCGGATAAACGGCCCGATATAATAACCGCGACGCCCCGAAAACGTCGCGCGAATATGATCGAGACGGACCGTGTTTTATTTACGGGCACACGTTTTCGCGTGTTGTCTAATCGATCAACAGTCCGACAACATTACGTATTATACGTGAGTGGGCGACGAATAACGAATACGCTGCAAGGGCATTACAGCGGCCATACGTTTAAAAGTCGAGTGGTATTAGGTACATTTTTTTACACTCTGTGCAGAACGAAGAACGCGTTGTTTTTACAACGGTGTTATTTTGTTTTCCGTGCACAGCTTTTCTACCGGACATTTTTCTCGGATTTTCAACCGTAGCACTTTTTCTAAAGGTAAATTCGACCGAGGTGATACGTTAAGGTAGTAGTTTTTTTTTTTTTTTGATTTTCCCTGGAGATTCTCCGACAAATCGGAAAAACCATTCAAACCATCAAAAATTTAATAAAAACAGCAAAATAGGTATACTATTAAACAAATATTATTAAAGAAAATGTTTAATGCATATGTAATTATTTTACTATAATATGACATATATATTGTTGACAAAGCAAAATTATTAAATTCGAATTCCGCTCAGAATCGTTTTTCGTTAGCAATGGTTAACAGTTAAGTACAGATATGCATTAAATTTCCCCTCCGCCTTCCCGACTTCTCATCTAAAACAGTGGCCCCAAACACGTACAATGTTTGTCCGTCTTTTTTTTGTTAGGCGATTAATAAACATAACGTATTTTGTGTAAAATCTTTTAAAATCGCGCTTTATTATTCTGTGATGATCGTTTTTGTCTTTTTTCTTTTTTTTAATAGCAAGTATTTCGTATTTTAACAAAAAATTGTTACATTTAAATTATTCGGTGGATTTATATCGAATAATTTATAAATGACACGATATATCTAGACGTAAACACTCGTATCAATTGCGTGAGTTTTTTCCAAGTTAATACGAATATTGTCTATAATTTGAGAATAGATATTTTCGATTTATTATTTCCTTATAGACCCGCACACGTTTTCAAAATAGTTGACATTTGCGATTCGCGTAAACCGCGTAATATGTTTGATATTATTCAAATGGCCTAAAAAAAAAAAATAAACCGACTTGACGAAAACCCGTTATCTAAATCTATCTTGAGATAACATTCTATGTGCGCGTCACCTAAAGACTAAAATTGTAGTTTTACTTGAGTTTTCACTACTCTTCGCGACCACGTCGATATCGAAAGTTTTACGATCCGATAAAAAAAAGAAAACTAAATTATACTAAAACGGGGATTTATTTATTTTTCGTCAAAGCCATGGCACCGACACCGTTGAACATTCGTGAATTTTCGCCGCGATCGATATTTTATAAAACTCGGTTTATTACTCGTTTTATATTATAATTATAGTTGTATAGGACGAAGAAAATATTAGGAGCAAATAAAAAAAGAGCTGATACTGCTGATGAGTGTAAATAGGGTAGGTACATTCAATTTAAAATGGAAGCAATTTATTTATCTACCTTTTCTGCTTTTTTCTCTTTTCTTTTAGCTCCTTTTCGATAGCATGAGCTAAAATAATGACATCCACACGAACTATTTCCGTCGATATTTTTCAGACACTGAAACTATAAACGCCAACGAGTAGCGAGTAAAATAGCCGAGCTTTTAACTTTACTCGCAGATGATTTACAATCTGCTAATTGGCTAAGGAACACGATAATGAATTTTTCAACTGGCAGCTTGTAAACTCAATCAATGTAATCGAAGCTGTAGTTACCATATCCGTCCGACTTATTCCATGCATTCTTCTATAACGCCACATCTGAAAATCTTCTAGTCTTCTCTGTTCTTTGAAAATCGTCCACGTTTCGCTTTCATAGAGCAATATGTACTCCATACGTAAAGGTTATAAGTCAAAAGGTTTTTTCCTGGTGTGCATGTTGATATTTCTTGAAGTTAAAAGTCATTTTCACGTTTTTCTAACTAACTAGATTAAAAATCCAACAACATAAGTAATTTTTGATTCAAGCGAGATTTCCGATAGAATGAGAAAAAACCACACAGCATAGTAAAACCAATGCATTCCAGGTTCCGCTCAGAATCTAATATTTACATAATACCTACATAATATTCTATAGTATCGGTAAAAGCGCAAATTCAAAAATAAAAAATAATACATCATATGGATTACCGGAAAATGTTATATTTTCGTATCCGGTGTGATTTTTTTCACAAAAGGCGGGTACTGCAATTTCGTGTTTTATTCGTTATAGAAAGTAAAAAAATAAAAAAAAAATACTTCTATAAAACGCACACGGTTGCTTGTTAATGAATAATACAACTTACCGTATCGCACTAACTACACGCACTATCAATCAAAATGAAAACAGTGTAGTTACAATGAGACCTTTAAAATAACTGTGGACGTACGCACGTTTTCGTACGTCTATAATGGAAAATTCGTGTTACGTTATTAAAATTTATGCTGCGCTTCGTACATCACGGAATAGAAAAATCGTTTTTAGTTGATAATTTTCCGACCAAAGAACAATGATATTATTTAATGATAATATTGTTCTTCCATTAATTTTGTTAACCCTCGTCGAATTTATTTACCATTTTCTATTCTGTCTACGCAACCTAACCATTATTGCGATTTTAAGCCATAATTGATGCGTCGAATGCATTTTAGTTTTACCATACGATGTGTGATTTTCGGTGTATGCGCGCGTGCGCGTGTGTCGACTTGAGAACTACGAGGCTGGAAAAAAAGACCGAATAAACGGTAAACGTGATTAACGGTATTGCTAATGTCGCTGCATAATTAACGCTAAAAACGAAATATACACGGGGAAAATTCACCATTCAGAAATGGTGCCGCGCGCACATGTTCGAGCGATATTTCTGGTGGACATTCCGTACACGGTATAAAACGAAAAAAAAAAACCATACACATCTTAGTAAAATCGATACATTTTTGGCTACGCCCTGAATCTAAAAACACAGATCATAGAAAAATCAAAAAAAAAAAAAAAAGGAACATGCTTGACTACTGTAATAGAATAAATGATTACAACCGATTATTTCGTGTCTACTCGTTATGGCTATAATAATAACAGTTTATTCGAAATTCAATAGAATTGATATTATACAATTTTTAACTTTCCAGGGATTTGCATGTAAATCAAACGACACTCGTCTCGCCACTGTTCGTTTGTCGAATTGTTTGTTGAAAAAATTTCGCCGATGTAATAACGAAATAATATCATTATTCTATTATATTAGATAATTATTTTAGGTATTAAAAGTTTTACGATAAGTTTCGTCGGATTACAACGCATTCGAAAACTTGGTTTTTAATTGTTTACCTCGTAATTTTCTATATTGTATGTATAATAATAATATATTTACACCGTTGTATAAACTTCGAAACGTTCGAGTTTTGCACGTCCCGGTGTAGGTACGCTGCCGTTCGTTTTATAACGGAGTTTTTGAAAAAAAAAAAAAAAACTAATAAAAAGCTACTTAATAAAATAACGTTAAGTTTTATTATTATCTAACAGTGTTTATTATATAGGTGTATCTTATCTTTCTCGCTACGGAATATTAAATAATTTCTCACAACAGACGCGTAGACACGGCTCGGTGTCGGCGATCGAGACTAACGAGACGTGCGAGACGCACGAGTCGAGTTTCAGACTTTATACACCTGTCGGACCGCCTCGTTGCCTTCCGTAAGATAGCTTCGAAGTTTTTAAACTTCCGGTGTCTAAAAATATACGCCCACGGACTTATAGTTAGCGCAAGTAATTACATTATATGTTTAATATACATCCGCTTCTCGCGTCAGCAACTTGCATAAAACGCCGGAGTTCGTATACCATGGTTATAAATCATTTCTGGGTATCGTCTCTGTATATTATTCTATAATATCCATTGGAAATAATAGTTATACGTCAATATCGATTCAATGCTAGACATTAACGCGGTTCGGAAAGTCAACTGTTACGTTAACAGTAGGGTTTAAAACAGATAATCGTATTTATCGTTGAAAAGTCAGGAGTGGTCACCGAAATAATTAGGCAAGTGTTAACTGATAAACTTATTTTTTAACTAACGCCCGTTTTCAATTGTGAAAGAATGTGTTTTTTTTTTTGTCTCCTGCGTAAATTGAAAGACACTAAACATAACATTATCGTTTTATTTAATTGTCAGGATTTATTAGTATTTCCGTGACGTTTTCCTAGGTTGTCGACATAGTATGATAATGAAAAAGAGAGATTTCTTATAAATATATTTAATAAGAAATCCGAATATTTTTGAGTAGATCAAATACAATTTTTCCGAAAATATCGAAACGTTGGCTATTTACAACTTCTTAAATACGGAGAGTATAAGCATGTCCACTAAATAATTACATTATAAATATCTCATTAGAATTTAAAAATATTTAAATACAATTTCAAATTCGAATTTGAGAACCAATAATCCTAAAGTACTTTAAAAAATTTAAAAAAAATTTTTTTTATTCATTTCGCGTTTAAATCTATATCCGAGGGAGAATGAAAAAAAAAAAATGTTAAAAAAGTTAATTATAAAATATAGAAATAATCGATTTGCGTGTCATTATGTAGGTACACGTCAGTAACTTTAGTTATTTTTATTTTTTAGGGTACTGTATAATTACATTTTTTTTTTTTTTTTTTATACATATAATAAGTGTCATTTATAAAAATTGCATCAGTGTATAATACACCGTCATAATATAATACATAATAAAATAATATACTGTGAAGTGGTAAAAACTTTATAAAATATATTATAATAATATATTGTTCGTACATTTTCACCGTGGAAGTTAACGTGAAATATTATCCGTGTATTTTCTTGACGTGTGACCCGACGAGGAGGGGGAGGAGGAAAACAAATGTTATAACATTATATTTTCACGATATCAATTATTAACGGTGTCGTATTCCGTCGTAGGTTGGTACACGCGAAACGAGTTCGATTTAGTCGTCTTGTTAAAACGATATTATTAAAATATTATAATAATACTAACGATATCCACGTACCTAATTTGTGAAAACAGAACACAGATACTCACGTAACATTTTAATATTGTTTTAATGTTAATCTAATAATCTTCAATATGGATCCATTATTTAATTACCGTTGTTTCTATAGCTACGTTAAAATAACTTTAAACATTGAAATGTCATTTTTTGATAATAACAATTAATCTTTACCAACGTAATAATGTAATTTATTTTAAATACTTCAAATTATAAAATAATCGAATTATTAATAAAATTCAAATTATTTTCTAAACGTTTAAAAATTAATTAAAATTTAAAGTTAATTTAATGTTTAACATTGTTTTTTTTTAGATTTTTGTCCTAATAACCGTGCACGGTTTCGAGACTCCCGTTTTTCTTACAGATTTTCACTGCCTTAAAAATCGTATATCAAAGGATACGGTACTACAGCCTACATGTTTTGAAATTTTCATTTTGAATTATTAAAAACCAAAGCGATAACGGGTTTTATATTTTGGAATCATGCTTTGAGAAAAAACATATTCTCATAGAAACAGGTACCGTTATTGTAATACGGAAAAATGTAAAAAGTAATTTTTAAATGAAGAACCATAAATTGTTCGTGAAAATAACCATCGCTCAAGCAGTGCATTATCTTATGAAAACTAATTTTCGCCATTTTTCGCAACGTGGTTTTTTTATTTTTTTATATATATATCTTACACTTTGTTCTAAAAATAAGAAAATAAACTGTAACACGTAACACAGTTGCCACCCTGATATGAAGTGCCACAATATAACGGATTGGTGCCTGCATATTGGGTCTCGAACACTGATTATGACGGTGTAACAGTTTAATTAAGATGAGGATTTTACTGGGTGCGTTGAACGGAACCCGACGACGCGTCCGTTCGTTATATGATAGAATTCGTTTTCAATTCACGAAGTTCAGGTTGTTTTTAGTGTTATGCAATTACTGACTATGAGTTAATGAGGAAAGCGCGAATACAACCGGTGATAACAAAAATAGTCCTCCTCGTAAACCGTGTGCATAGGTTATACCGGCTGTTTTACTCGTAGTCCGGTAGTCTTTAACGTTCAGACGAAACACTCTGTATACTGCAATGCGATTTTTTTCAGACTGAACGAATGTGATTTACGCGGTTATAACGTAATACCGCCGGGGGCACGTCTGCTAACGGCGCCCGTATTATTCAAATGCAAAACAATAAGACGTTTCCGTTAACAAGATTATTGTGCATCCACGAGTATGTACAGGTGTTTGCGGTAGCACATTATCCGCGTGTATATTGTCTCGTCGAACACAATGAAAAATGTCCAATAATAATTTGTCCGTGTCTATAATGTGTAACGAACCACTAAGCGAACAAACGCCGGGCCCTTTTCGGTGCCTGTATGCTATACTCAGAGTGCTCGTTCAAAATGTCATGCGAACGATACGATAATACATGTTTACACTGTACACACGTGCAACACGCTCCTCTGTTGCGAAAATTCGATTTAGCCGCGCGCAGAGTTCCGGGCCAGCGGCAGCGAGCATTATTACTGGCCGGCAGGGCCTTTTTTTAAAACACATAACTATAATACTGTCGTGCCTATAGGCACAGCAATATACCGAAGATCTCGGTTGAAAACGCGAGTTAACAAGTGCGTGAAAGCATAGCCCGTGTAAATGCAGTTGAAATAATTATGCGCTTACGCGTACTAAAACGCGTAAATTTACTATGCACGTCCCCGCGTGTTAAAGTGTTATTCACCCGAATACGTAGTGAAAATACGCGTGTATACAGGATCATTCGCTAAGCGTGCTCAACCCATTTTTTTTTTTTTTTTTGGTTAAATTTTACATGTATTCAAATTCATTGATTTTTTGAATTTTTAAATGTGGTTGAAGCCGATATTTTTGAATACTTTGATTTTTCACAACATTTAAAGAGTGTCCTGTGTCGCGGGCGTCGTCTCACTTTCTGTTAGTGTATAATAATATTATATGGCATAAGGTGCGGGCATGCTGTGCAATAGTACGCAGTAGCACAACGTGTGGGCGTAAAGCGCAATAATAGACAATTTACACATCAGGTCAAGTTAAGCAAGCGATAGTCATCCGGGACCAAACCTAAACTCACCGGACGGAAACGGAACGGGTATTAAATCTGCCTCAGCCGCGGCCGAATCTCGGCTATAACAAATAGTCTTTGCAATACTCTACCAGAGTCCGCGCCGCAATGCGAACTGCCGTGGTATGAATTATATTGATAAAATAGATAAATCGTTTTGATGAATCTACGTAATACAAATACTTAGGCGCGCATCCTCTAAAGACCCCGGATGCAAGGGTCAACAAGTGGGTTATCGCCAAAGTTTTCGGAGTATGTACATATATCTGGGGTGGGGGGGGGCAGGTTACATATTATATCGGCCGCCGATAACGCCTTTTCAGACAAGTTTCGATCTATCAAATTAGAGCACCTACGCGCCAGATTAATTTCTATAATTAAATTAAAAAGTGTTTGATTATTTTTCAACTAACAAATATACTTGTAAAACTACTGTTTATAATATTTCTGACTTCGGTCATAAGCATCTGAACCCGAGAGTGAAAAGACACTCGTAACACCTGTGGTAATACAAACATTGGTTTTTCAAATAAAAATCCATATTACGAATTCCATACTTAGATCAAATTTTTGATTTCCATCAACCTGTTAACGAGATATTTAACTTTTAAGCATAGGTAAGGGGAGAGTAGTGGAGCACTGATAAAACGCCACGCACCAAGCCACCACATAAATGATACAACACTACTTTCCCCCTACCTAAACTTAAAAATCAAATATCTCGTCAATGGGTTGACGGAAATCGAAAACGATGACACCGTAATTTATTTAAAGTAACACTCCATATAGTTCTTGAATTGTTAATACCTATGCATTTTAATTTGAAAAACCTCAGTTGGTATGTTCCTAAAATGTCGTAAAAATTAAAGAATTCGAAAATATCAGCTTTAACTACACTTGAAAATTTCGAACAAATTTAACCATATTGTGAGCACGCATAGTGAATCACCCTACAAAATACTTTTACAATAGTAGTTTGGTTTTTACGTTACGCGTGTAAACTTGTGTATATTACATTTTTTACGTATAAATCGTATTATCTATTTAACCCCCTCTCCAAAAAAAAAAAAAAATTAAATCACAAGACAAATTAACATATTAACAAACGTACTACAGTATATTGTGATTTTTATATAAAATTGTGTTATACCTAATACCTATTATATGCATGTACCTATGAATGGTTGTTAAAGTTTAAAATTGATTATTATTACTCTGCGAAAATGACTTGTTTTAATTTGTGTGACAAAAAAAAAAACGATAAAATTCCCTCATACGCTGATAATGGTATTGTTGACGCGGTATTATGATACGATTACGTGCCGCAACGGGCAGTGTTGACGACGGCCCGACAAATGTTTCGCGCGGGTACTTTGACTTGATATCCGTTATCAAATTAATGGTATACGTCACGGCAATGCGACGGTTATGATGTTACACTCACGCAGACTAAGATAATGCGCACAGTGAACGGAACCGACGGTTTTTGTGGTCGAATTTCGACAACGGATTTCCGCGGTAAACCGAACACAGGTTCTAATGCGCGACGTTCGGGTGAAGAATAACCATTGTTAAGATCGGCGTAAGACGTACAGCGCCGACGCTCGAGCGTCCGCGGTGCTCGTGCGCGCTCCGAACGAAATCGCATTCGCCCAGTCGGTTCAAATAAAACTCCGCTAAAACCGTCGCGGGTCATGTATGAAACCCACCGAGATTGTTTCCGTGTCCAAACTCGATACCGCCCGTTTGCCGTGTCGCAGCCGGTCCCCGTGTTAAATTTATTGTCTTGGCCCGCGGTCCCGCCTCGTACCCGGGTGCCTACACTCGCGGAAAGCGGAACCGCTGGCCGCGTGTAGCGCACACGAGCGTAGTCAGGTGTAAAACGCTATTATGTACACGAGGGTCTCCCCCCCCCCGCAGTGTTGTACACGGATTAATTTCGAAATATCTTAATTCCGGTACAACACGACAATTACCCAGATTAAAATATGTAAATAACGGTTTTGATTATCCATTTTTTAATGGGGGTTTTTTTTTTTTTTTTTTTTTTTTTAATTTTTTTAATTTTTCCAATTAAATCTGTATTAATAATATATAATTTAAAACTCAAAGAGACGATGTTAAAGAATAATTTCTCTTTACCGTTATTTTATAATGACTGAAACAAAAAAAAAAAAAAATGTTATTAAATGTGTGCGTTTATTGAAAAGGTGGGTACCCTGCAATTTATTCGGATGGGTAATTGATGTTTACGCGTTCGTCAAAACAATACGCCGAAAAAGTCAGCGGACATTTATTTATTTTTTTTTTTTTTTTTGTCACCCCAAAAGAACAATAATTATTTTAATCACGAATGAAAATAACGTTAACGTAAAGATATTGTATAGTGACGTATTTATATTATTTATTATTTTCGCCTTCTTCTTTTTTTTTTTTCTTTTTTGTCACCCCAAAAGAACAATAATTATTTTAATCACGAATGAAAATAACGTTAACGTAAAGATTAAAACAGGTAGATACGTGAATTAATCACAGATTTCTCCGAGCTAGTGGTTTGTTTTTTTTTTATTTTTACGGAAAGAATAAATATTGTAATTTATAAAATGTATTCGTGTGGTACAAAAAAAAAAAAAGAAAAATGTATATAATTATATATATTTTCCATAATAAAAAAATATAAATGAGTAAAAGAAAAAGCGAAAAAATAAAAACTCAGTTTGTTTCACGTATACACAATAACATTGTGCATACGTATTCTTAGGTCGTAGGGTTTCAAAAATATTGTTTTTTTTTTTTTCATTTTTTAATCTTTTGATATTTTACTTAACCGATTTTCGACATGAATAATACGAAGAAAAAAAAATATATAAATATGAATTTAATTTATTTTCATCAAAGCACAAAAACTATAGCAGAGATGAATTGTAGTATTATATTATTATAATTATATATAGTACGCCGGTCTTTTATGTGCAGAACCCGAAATTGTTTTTTTCCATTCGATTATAATATTTTCTAAGACGACGTTAAATTTTAATTTAATTTTTTTTTTCTTCCTAGCGTACATGACACTGTGCGGAGACGCGAGATATGGATGAGAGCTCATCACTCGTCTCGGTTTTGTTCGACAAGCAGGGCGTGATGTTTAATTTATTATTGTTTAAAACTCGAAAACGGTGATAAATCGTGATGGCGTTTAGAAAACGACTGCGTATATGTACAATACGTATACAGTCGCTATCTATAAGTGGTGCTCGATTCGCTAAAATATATTTGATCGTTTTTTTTTTTTTAAATTTAAAACGATTCAGATATTTATCTGCAGACACATTAACGTCACATTAGGGGTACTTTATAATTTATTATTTTATATAGGTATCTCTCGGGTTATATATATATTTTTTTTTATTGCTGCGCAGATGATTAAAAAAAAAAAAAGCGCTGCAAACATAGGCATAGTTAAGAAGTAGGGCTTATTCCCTGATACGGATCATGGCGCCCCTTTTTAGATTCTCAGACACATTAAAAAGGTATAAGTATTGAGTGAGTGAGTTTTTTTAAATGTATGACGATAGTGTTTAAAATTGAACTTTAATAATATGTTTCGGGTACCTTACGTCAAATACACGACAAATATGCCAAATATACGGTAACAAAAAGCTGCCAAATTGCTCTTGTTCGATCCGTGTTTCGTAATAATTTTATGTTAATCAGATTGATTTTTTTTTTTCAGTTTTCGTTTGAGTTTCAAGAGGAAAGATAGAGGCGGCGGATCGGGTAGCAGCAGTTACGGGGGCCGGGAACACAGGGACAGTATTTCGGCTGTTCCTGCTCGTTTCATCCAAGCAACCAGCGTGCACAGAGAGACACTCAATCCAAAATGGGGTGAAAATTTCATGTTGTGAGTACACGAATTAGTTATTAAAATTAAGGAAAAAGATTTACTGAGAAAAAAAAATGTTGATCCTTAGTTAAATAAACTTTGATTACCTAATAATTTTACAATACTGTTGTTTTTTTTTTTTTTTGACATAGTGATATTGATGACGTATCAAGTGATATCTTACACTTGGATATTTGGTATGGAACATATTTATTTTATACGAATTGTTATAATTGTTATTTTTTATGCAATTATTGTTGTTATTCTATTTTTATTTGTACGCGCAGGGATCATGACGACGAGTCTTCGGTGTTGGACGCCGTCAGTAAACTTAACGAAGTGAGAGGCGTCAAGGGTCTGGGAAGATTTTTTAAACAGATCGCCCAGAGCGCCCGATCTGGTAGCCAAGACGATTTTTTGGGATGCATAAACATACCTATTCAAGTATATTATAACGCAATTGAAAACACTATAATAGGAACCATATTGTCGATAAAATATACAAATAATTCCGTTACGTTTTACAAAGGACGTGCCCTCTACTGGCTTGGACAAGTGGTTTCAATTGGAAGCCAGGTCGCAGAGATCCAACATCCAAGGAAGTATACGGCTGAAGCTTTGGCTGTCCACTCGCGATGATCACGGCCAAGCGTTGTCACAAAATCAGTTCGACAACTGGACCGACGTACGCCGTCACGAAAGATTGCTAACCATATTCAATAATTATGAAATGTCGCAAAAGAAAAATGTGAGTAACAGAATAAGTTTTTAGAAGCAAATCGATTTTTACAGTAAACGAAAGTTAGATTTTCTGTTCCCTAAATTTCTCCGTCGGTTTCCTCGAACGCATTATGTTTTTCAGCTAGTGATAGATAATATAATAAATCGTTTCTTAGATTCTGGGTGTAGTAAGGAATGTATTAGTTTGGTTATGAAACTTGCTTTCTTCGGCAAAAGATTTAAATAATTCATACCAACATCAGGTTTCTTTTAGGTGGCAAATTTGATCAAGATGGTGCATTGAGGTGGGCATTTTTTTTATGCCAAAATAATAAACGTCAGAACGGTTTTGGTTAAAGTCAATTTTGTAAATACTTTATTGTAATCTATTTAAACTATTGACATTTTTAATTATTTTCTTTTCTTAGATTTATGTGAACATAATTTATTAAATACTTGATAAATGCTCGAAAATTCGTTTTAAGGTTTCTCAAAAAAAACATAAGTAATATGTTTTTATTAAATTTTTTTATGTACCTATATTACAGTGTCTATGGAGTGGTGAATTGTGTCACGAAGCTACCAGTATACTCCATCAGCACGCCGTCCAGGGTGCAGTGTCTGAACTTCAATTGGCTGTGATACGGTGGCTTTCGTACAGTCACATGACCAACATAGACCCACAGTTCCTTTTAAAACAACTCTCACAGTTGGAAGCCGCCTGGGGCCAATCGTTAACCGGCGAAGAGGTCAGTTGTTGTATTGTATTATCAATTATATAAAACATTATCCTGCCACATTTTGGCATCGCAGTCACGAATATTTTTTATGGGTTCGTGCAAAAACAAACAACTCAATTTTTTTTAAAAACATTTCGAGAAATAAAAAACCTTTTAAAAATATTAGATTTATAATAAAACCACATAAGAGAACCATGAAAAAAAAAAAAGATTCAATTTTACTCGAATTAATTTTTACCTCGCGTTTCTCCGAGACGCAAGAGTTATTTGTAACTAAAAATCTTTAGGGATATATCAATTTTTTGACCAAAATTGTTTATATCCGGAGCTATCTGGTGCTTAACAAGGTAGTGCAGCTCCAAATTAATTAGCTAATGGTTGTAAAAATTATTTTAAATACGGGCGATCGGGACTGTCTCGTTTGAACAAATATATGGTATTTACTTACGTCATATTTGTTATTTTCAATCATAACCACCAACACCCAACTTATGATAAACGATTGAGTTGTTTCGTTCACGCGGTTGTTCCGTTTCATTACCAACGGTCAACGGTGTAATTGTTTATAGGAGGACTGGTTGGCTGACTCGTTCAACGTTTTCCTTGATTATTCCCTACAACTGATCCGGAAATACCGCAAGCTCTTTCCGCCGTATCATCACGAATCGATGAATCGACTGGAGTATATTCTCAGGTAAACGAATTGAAATCCACCTCGTCATTTGACGAAAATATGTGTATACCCATATCGGACACGTTGAACAGGTGTTTGAGCCGGCTGTCGTTGTCGAAAGCTTACGGGAAATGTTGCCCGTTCAATAAGGACATTCGTGGGGAAATCGGCAACGCGCTCAGAGTGGGTACGCACGAGTGGTACGAGGAGAACCGGAAGTGCATAGCAACCGGACAACACGATCCGGAAACTAGACTCAAGGGGTTCGTGAAGCTGGTAACCGCCGTGTTGATTGATTTACAAAAAGGCATCGAACACTACAACGTGTTATTCGAAAAGTACCGCGATTTTTCTACTGTCTTTATTCGATTTGAAATAATTTTTAACTTTTACTTTTGTTTTGTTCCCGCCAGCATAAACGGTGTGTTTTATTACGCGGCGATCTACAAACAACACGAGAAATTAGTAAGTACACCGTATATAAGCATCCAGTAAACAGTAAAACACTACACTGTATAAACGGTCCGATATTATATGATATTTTGTTTTTCTATTAAATCGACCGTCACATACAATTTTTGTAATGATTATTTATTATTCGGTTAGCAGCAACATTATGACACTATTAATGTATTTTCTCAGTTGGCAAAGGGATTTTCAAATCATTTGGAGATAATCATAGAGGTACAGAGTATATTCGAGTATAAACGGCACGATCCCGTAAACGGATGTTATATTATAATATTTAGAGTGCCTTATAATTCGCCAGTAGTATTCGCAGAGTGGCTATGATAATATTATAATTATTGTTAATATTAACGGATCGGCGCCACTACCAAACACGCAATATTGTGTTTTGCTACACTAGGGTCGAAGAACGTATAATTTGAATAGTTTCAATCATTATTACTCGTATAACATAATATTATTACCGGCAGTGGCGCCGAAATCATAAAAACGTTGTGTGGTTCGAAATATTTTTCACCGACTTAGTTTAGTCATCCGCCCGAGATAGCCAAGGGTCTAGACCCCGAAATTGTTTTGATTAGTAAAAAACCGGTAGAAAATTGAACGATAAAAAAATAAGTTATAAGAGTGGTTGTCAAAAAAAAAAATTTGACTCCTCCCCCCCCTCCAGATATGCAATATCAGTTACCGCCTTGCATCTAATAGCGCTAACATACCTCATTTCCCTAAAATATGAGTTATGATTGGTGTTCAAACGTAATTATAAAAATTAATGTTATAATATTACAATTACAATTATTATTCGAATATATCACGCACGATGTTCTATTTACAACTAAGCCCAAAAGCAAACAAAACAACACTAGAATTTTCTTTTTTTGATAAAATATATTAAAAATTGACGAAATATATATAAATTCTATTGTAATATCATACTCTAAAAATAGTTTTTTTACAGAACTGGGATTTCAAGACGGTTTGCATTGGTTTTTTTAAGTTCGTTGTGTAATACTCGATTTTTTTTTTTTTTTACTGATTCTTCTTTTCGTGTAGGTATTTTTGAATTTTTTGGAATAAAGGCCTTTTTAGAATATTTTCGGTGTATTTAATGGGGCATATTACATTCCCAGGCATATTTATCAATTATTAGAATCATATAAAATGTATAGTAAAAAAATCACTTCGTGTGTTAGGCTCTTTTAAACGTCATTCGTTTGATTTTAAAGATTTGAATTCATTTAATTTGTTTTATTGCGCTTTAGTTAAATCGATCCTAGAGTATAGATCTCCTAATTGGAGTCTCTATACTATTTCCAAAATTGAAATTGTCGAAAAGGTTCAGAACCGATTTCTAATGTTCGCAGCATATGAATTCAACTTAATTATTAACCAGTATGATTATGCGTCAATAAGATCCCTTCTAAACCTCCCCTCTCTATTCCACAGACGGGATTTAGCTGATATTTTTTATATAAACTAATCAATAATCATATCGATATCCCTTACCTATTATAACACATTCCATAAAAAATTCCAGCCTATAATAATCGAAGCACTCCCACGATCTACTTACCGTCGCACAGCAGAAATTATTTAAAGAACTCTCCAATTGTTAGAGCCATGGCTTTGTGCAATAAACTTGCACCTAATGTTGATTATTTTTTTACTCCGTTAGTCTCAATTCTTAAAATATACTTAACTAACCGTATGTGATATTATACTTTTACAATCGTTTTAGTTTATATTCTACCCTAAACTTATCAAGATTTTATGATACTGTTTCTATTTCCGTATACATGTATTATAATAACTTATCTATTTACTTGTACTATTGGATAATTTGCCCGTTTTATTCGTTTGAATAAACAATCATTGTAATTATTATTATTACACGGATTAGATAAAATTAATACATTATTCTGTACTTTAAAGTGCTTAAAACCGATGTTCTTTACTATTATGTACATGACAATGAGATACACGTCATACGCAATCAACAATTATCAATTAACTTTAAGCCCACCCATCTTCACTATTATAATATGAACTAAAGCGATCGGTTTCGCGCCACTGTAAATTATGTTTGTTATACAAGGGTTTTAACGCTTATCATTCGATGAACAATTTTTTTTTTTTTTTTTCTATACCGCTCAATATGATAGAGGATTTTTATTTTTTCTTTGTTTTTTTTTCTTTGTTTTTAGCTGATTTAGTTGGTTTTAAAAATATAATATACAACATATTATAGTTGTTTGTGAATTGATATTATTGATATATATCTGTGGTTCGGTGCAAAAAGTACCAATGACAAAACAGAAAAAACTTTTTAAAAATAAAATAGAAAATTGAAAATTGTTGAAAAAAAAATTGTTTTTTTTTTAAAATATCTAACGTTAAGTCCATATTTATTGTTTTATAGTTTTTTCTTTTTTTAACATTGGCTCTTGTTGCGCCAATCCACAAATATATTAGACAATATAATATAGTTTCATATTTTAGTTGAGAATGTATATCTACATATTATATTAATTTTGTATTTTGTGTTTTGTTTCGTTTGGTTTGTTTTTTTTTTTTTTTAAATTATTTATTAATTCAATATTTTTTTTTTTTAATCAGATTACTTTATAAAATGATTTCAGTTGTCCAACGATTTGAGCCAGGAAATAGCTCCGATCTGCAAAAAAGTGAAAGGAGCCGATTTCGGCATGGACACTCTGCTGTCGCCGACCAATTCCGAAACCGGAGAGTCACTGTTTGAACTGTACCTGTCCGTTCAGGAATTCATCAGGTTTGTTTTCGTATTTGTATAACAACATTATTTATAAGGTTACACTATTAATTACATCACTTCAATGTAGGTATCGCGAACACCTCAACGCGTCCGATTACAAAGGCTTGCCGGCCCAGTGTTATTATCATTGGTTCGAACCGGCTTTGGAAAAATGGATGGATCTGGCCAAATTAAAAATAGTTCATCGCGTGCAAAAATCATTGGAAATGAGTACGGTATGTCAGAGCGATGCGATCGTTAAACACTCGACATCCAGCAATGACATGGTCACGGCACTGTGTCACGTAAGTATAAAATAAAAATACCCGACAACTTAAATAAGTATTATTGTGTTTGATCATATCTTGTTCACGCAGATGAAAGAATTTTGGAAACATCTCGCCTGGCCGGATTTAATACAGTCGTACAATTTCGTGTTGAAGTTACTAGATGTAATACATAATAATCCGTTTCGTTTTATACCGCGACAAATTAATGAAACTGTTTTCGTTTTTGTTGCAGGCTATGTGCGAAGCTGTTATTTTTTACGCTCAGTTGGTTCATCAGAGGCTAAAAGATTCCGGTTTTTACGAAGATTCGTCGGCATTTAAAACGTCCGATGAGGTAAAAATATCTGGTCGCCGTCGACACGAAAACACACCTTATGTAATAGTGTCAAATTTACGATTTTTAGTTTTCGGTAATCCTAGAATTAGAAAACAAATGTTAACAATATGTTGAAATCTTCTTTGTGCTTTGTACTGATTGTAGGATGACCGGGAAAACAAAAACCTCTTATGTGTTATCTGCATCAAGTTGAAATTTATATTAACTAATACTCCTTCTATTTATGGACTTTTTAGTATAGGTTTCCTTTTAAAAATCAAACGTAGGTATTATAATGGGTTTACCACCAAAAATAAAGGCGAAAAAAATAGCATTAACTGTAGCGTAAAATTATAGAGCATCTTGATTCTTAAATGTTCTGGAAAACAAAATCCGAAAAAAGTTAATACTTCCCGAGATAATGAGTGGTACACTTAAATGGATCATCTGGTATATAATCACTGCCTCTGTTGAATATTTCTTGTACGTTCGGTGAAAATATAATATTGAGACGCATCGCAACCGGGTTTTTTTTTACAAAATACAACGTTCATTATTTCAAAAAATGACAAGTTGTTCCGAATGATCGTTAACAATTCATTTGTTTTTTTTTTTTTTTACATTGTTTCGTGTCTCCATAAACATCGGGCTGCTTTAGCATAGTTTTTTTCGTGTCAACGACGATTGAAGTCCCGATTTGATAACCTAAGACTAACAAAATATCTACCGAACGTTTTTACAGGTGTGTGTGGTTCTCAACGATTTGGAATATGTGTGGCGGACCGTCGCTTCGATGCCGGACGACTTGCATTTGGAAACGGTCGTGTCCGCGGTCGAGGCCACCGGTGAGGCGACCGCGGAACAATGTCGGGCTGACGTAAACTCGTTACTGGATCCCGTGTTCAACCAGTACGAAACGTACTCGATGCTCATCGTCAGTCGAATCGCGATCAGGGTGAATATAAAATTAATAATAATGTTCGCTTGGTTTATGCGCTCGAACGTTTTTACACGAGTGCACACCGACAAATTTGTACAATACGTTTTAATCTCTTCCGAAATCCAGTTGACAAATTAAATCTTACTCCGCGTATATTTCAAAGCAGTTCTGCATAAAATATTAATTACGATAATGGCTTCCGTATCAACATGTCTGTCCTTTACGTGCTCTTTTTGATTCACGGTATCTGCGTAATAATATTCTACATCCGTGTAAGAGGAGCATTAGTTTTGCTTCCCGAAAACAAATTCCATCGTAGAGGGCGGTGAGAGAAATAAAAATAAAATGTATAGCGTTGTCGAAAAGTGTCAATAACAGTTTAATACACATGGCCCGGACTTATTTCGTTTTAATCGTGTAATAACAGATGCAAGCGCCGCTGAAAAAATGCATCTTTCACTTGGCGTGGTCCCCGGACACGCTACCCACGACAGACGCCATCGTTCCGCTCCAGGAATACTTGGACAGCCATCTCATCTCGCTGAACGTTAACCTGATACCGAAAAACTTCCACAAAGTGTTGAACGGCGTTTGGGAAGTTACGATTTACGAGCTGGGTCATCAAATGGATGGGGGCAGCGGAGACACGAAAATGTCCGGTTTTTACGAACGGCTCTACGAAGCACTGGAACTGCTGGTGGAATTCTTTCACGCCGAAGGCAACGGTCTTCCATCGGAAATTCTGACCGGAGGCGAGTATATCTGTACAGTTTGAAATTCTGGAAAAAATTGTTTTTTAAAAGAATTTTTTTCAGAACTATCTAAACCCAACCCCTCTGAAAAATCGTTAGAAGTTATAGAAATACAAGGAATTATATACAATTTTACCTAACCAAACATACATGCCATACGTAAAGGGAGATAAATGATGTATCTTGTCAATAGTTTTTGTTCATTTTAAAAGCGTTTTTCCCGTACATATTTTTTTCGATTTTCTTTTTTTAATTCTCTAATTTTTTCAAAGTTCTAGGAAAATATCCGTTTTTTTCTACAACGACACGATATAATATAATATTCAATTATGTAATACCGTCATTAAATTTAAACAATTTAGTGTCTCATTTATTCAATAGTAATGAATTTACTATAACTGTTCTTGCGCTTTATCACGATGTCGCTATAACGTCGCTTCGTTTCGTCACAGACGTTTACAGGGCCGTGAAGCAGAGACTAAAGTTACACAAAACCGATACGGACACGTTGATCGAGCTTTACTACGAGGACCGGCTGATGGAACAGCAGCGGGTCAAAGAGGCCAACTACGGCGTGCTGTCCGTCCGGGCGTATTACCATCACGATTCGTTGTGCGTGGAGGTGTTGAAAGCCCGTGACGTCATACCTCTGGACCCAAACGGTAAGAGTCCGGAGTCACCTCACCTTAAATGGTTTTCCAGAGTATGATACGATTGAAACGCTGGATTAATTTTTTATTTTATTTGTTTGTTACATTCCCATATTTAATGATTTTTATCGGACGATTGAGAATGATAATTTTTCTAGTGTTCCATACAATTTTACATAATCATATTGCATTATTAGACATTCGTTAATACAAATCAAAACAATATTTATCACACACCGTGACATGGAATGGACAAGGGAAATCCAATTGTCGGATTTTGTTATAGAGAATAAGTAAGATGAATTCTATATTATTCAACTGATATAATTGATGAACGACAAAATGGAATAATGATAAAAAAATAATAGTATAAATAGATAAATCATGATTAGAGTTAGGGTTTTGTAGCTCTAAAAAAACTATAAAATATTACGAAAAATCAAAAAAAAAAACATTAAATTATTTTCAAAAACCAGCAAAAATTAATTTTAAACGTGTTAGTGTTTTTTTTTATTCTAATTATTTAATATATGACTATTATACCTCTAACAGTGTACAGTTAGTTTAATATTATAGATTGTACTTACGTACAAATATATATATATTTAAAAAAATACTTTTGGAAAAAAAAATTTACAAAATATTTGATGGTGACAATCAATTGACAGCTTGTGGACAGCTATATTAATTTAGAAAATAATGAAAAAAAAACTTTAATAACAACCCAAAAATTCAAAAAAATTATTTGAAATAAATTTAAAAAAAAAAAAATATAATAACTTACGTTCTATTTTAAGTATAAATCGAATTTACCGCCAACATAGGTTTGTTTAAGATCAATAGAAAAAAAAAAAAAAAAAAATCAAACACCTATAATAACTTTACATACAATACTCACGATCACGAGAGGAAAATGACGCAAAACACTCGCGCACATGGCATAAACAAATTTATTACCATTTCAGATCATAAAAATACTCACGTGGATGTACGCTATTCCTTAGACTTCAATAAATAATTAAAAATATATGTAGTCTATTTATCGTGACATAGAAATCGTAATGTACACTTCTGTGTATGATCGCTCGGTAACGTATCATAGAGAGGAAGCTATCGTTTTTACGCATTAGGGTGTAATTATAAGTTAATTATTTAACAACGTACATTATTATAATTGTTCGTTTTAAAAAAAAAATAAATAAAAAATTGTGAATTAAACTGAAAGAAGGATTGACTTATTCTGACAGCATCTAAGCCAACAACAATCGTTTGATCAAAAAACTACAACGTAATGGATCTTTCGATGGTCAACAATTGCATGTTAATTAGTTCTCGATCGTATTAGTTTTTTTGGGATACCGATGAGTTCTTCGTAAGTTTCCATTGTTTTAATCCGGTAATATTTTTCCTTACCTACGTTTCGGCGGGACCGGACCGGACCACACACAGACCGGGCTCATTTCTTTTGCGATGCGCTTTATGTGACCGAAAAGCATTTTTAAACTTTCGTGTTTTATCACAGGTTTTAGTGACCCTTTCGTCATCGTCGAGCTTTTGCCCAGATCCATGTTCCCGTACACTGCGGAACAGTACACTGATGTAAAAAAGAAAACGCTTAATCCGTTGTTCGACGAATGTTTCGAATTGTGAGTGAACACAAAAATACGCGAAAATCGTCGCTGAGTAACGAGTTTTTGACTTTGGGGTTTTTTTTTAATTTTTTTTTTCTGTACATTTAGCGCCGTATCAATGGACCAGTGTCGTTACGAGTCCGCCATGATCCTGTTTACCGTTATGGACCACGACGTGATAACGTCCAACGATTTCGCTGGCGAAGCGTTCCTCTCGCTCAACTCCATACCAGGTGTGCTGGAACCGTTACCGCACGACATCAACGCCATCGACAGAGTCGATCTGATACTGATGCACCAACAGAATAAAGGTAAACGTAAGAAAAAATAAAAGTGTCCCGCGGGAATAAAATTAAAAAAAAAAAAAATAAAAATATTCTTCGACCTCGATGTTATTCGCCATAGTTCGTGAAGAGATAATATTATGCGTTTTGCTACGTGTGTACAATTTTGCTTCACTAGTTTGCAATCGCGATTGACCGTGAATACTACAATAATTACGGTTCGGTATAACTGGGCCAACTCGGACATAGATGACCAAATCGTTGTTCATTCGGCTATAACTTGTTTAGTACCGATTAGATTTTGTGTCCGACCAAGTGCCTATATATAACCATCTAAATGTTTATAGACTCGTAGTTTGGGCTAGTAAACTAATAACGATTATTTGTGCAATGCAAATATTCTGAATCACCCCTAGTAAAATAAAAATAGAGTACACTGTAGTGCTGCACAAATTAGGTAATAACCAATAATTAATGTTGAAAAATTACTTCACTTTTAACCCTTGTCACGTGAAAAAAGTCTGGTGAAAATGCATAAAGTTTGTTTCTACAGAAAATGGAAAAATATTTTTAGTATAATTTTTCAATTTTTCGGGTTTTGAGCGGTTTTCACGAAAACAAAATTAATTATACGGCGAATGGATACGGGCCAACCTTTTTAAATAATTATCACACGATATACAAATTCAATTAATTTAATTTTTACCAAAATATAAACAAACATGCGACGGCCGTGCGAAACTTTTTAACGCTAATTGTGTTGTTTGAGCGAAAAAATAACGTATGTATTAACCTAACTGCTGTATTAATATTTAAACGCCAAAACAAAAGTTATATGGCTTGACGTGGTCAAAAAAAAATGTTTGACGGTCCGCGGTAATCTGCACTCTGCACAATGTCCGAGTATAAGGATAAAAATAATATTTCATTTGTACGCACGCATCAACGTATAAAAGGGTCGAAAAAAAAAATTCGACGGCACGCGGCAGCCTGTCGTCGTCGGGAAAAAAAATAATTTATCATGCACAATCACTCGCAACGTCTTTTATGTCGTTTTTTTTTTTTTTTTTTTTTTTTTTTAAAGCGTTCGAATTCAATGCCTATTGGTACGTTGTATGTATTCATGTACGATTATTTTACACACGCTCGTGCTGAATATTCTCCAGGGTTATTGCTGAAAAATAATTTTTTTTTTCTCCCGTACTTTATATCCACTGAAATACGCGACGACATCAGCTGCAGTCTAAATCTACGCAATACGTGAGAAAATCGACGAAAATCACTTTTACGATGATAATAATTTATAATCTTCGAAACGAGGCGACAAACGCGTATAGGTATATACGTGAACACCGTATTTAATTCACTGGAATCGCAAGTGCGTACACTACCGCAGAAAAATAATAATATTTCATATTATAAATGTGATATAATATATTATGTTTACAATGATCCATTTATCACGAACCAGCGGTTTACCCGGTTGATTTTACGGGGGTTGAAAGTGACGGGAGAATGTAGTACGAGAAACGAGCACATACGAGGTAGCATAGACGTGGCTTCGACAGTAGGCAAAACGAAAGAAACCAATAGACTGATGCGGTTTGGGCGTGTGTCATGAGGACAGAGCAATCGGGTACAGTAAGAATGGTAATGCAAATGAATGTAGAAAGGAATAAGAGGGAAACGGGAGACTGAACAGACGGTGATCGGATGCGATTGAAAATATGACGACGGTGGGTGTATGCAAGGACGATTAAGCGGCAGTTTAGGACGAGGGTGGCCGCTTTCAAATGATTGGGATGTAGGCAAAGGAGACGATTTTATGGGGGTTCAAAAGGTTTTTCAAAGCTTCAAAAATTTGTATTAATTTTTCGAGATAACTCTTTACTACGAATCCACTGCCCGATACCCACTTAATGAGAAAGGGGAGAACATACAAATGTGACGTTTTAAACCAGAGGTTCCCGAAATAGTTTTTCCCGTATACCACGAAACGATTTTTTTTTTTTTGGTTTTTTGTAGACCCCAAGAGTTACATTTTTTCAAAGACACCAATTTCAAATGTATTTTTGATAGTTGGCACAGAACCACTCACTCGGATAGGTTTTCGTGTAGTTTTACAATTTTTAATAGGCATTTTAAGTAGACAATATTATTACATTTCATTCGTACCTTTGTCAATTAAATTGTAATTATTTATTTAATTGGTCTACATTGATTATATAATATAGATTATTTATTCAGATTTCGTAGACCCCTATTTGCATCTCAAACATTCACGATTTTTGGTTGACCGACATGGACTCCTTGCAAATAAGATTCGACCCCTGGGAATCAATATAGACTACTTTGGAAACCTCTATTATACACGAATAAGCATAATAATAAAATTCTCCCTCTACGGCTTGTTTGAAAACATATTTAAATTCTTTGATCTCTCGTCTGTTTTGTTGAAAAATTATGTTCGTATTTTTTTTTTATTTAGTTAAATAAAATATGATTTTACTATTTATAAAAATGTTTGAATAAACTCGTGTTTAAAGAGTGGTACAAGAAAATTAAATAAACAAAAAAGTTTCCACGAAAAATATAGAAAAGAGGTATAAGAAATCCAATCACTTTTCAAAGCATAAATCTGACTACTCGAAATACGTATATTTCAATCCAGTCCGTTGATCTAAATTAATGAAAAAACGAATCATTTTCAAGCGTTTTAAGTGAATTTGATTTCTGTTTTTTTTTTTTTTTTTTTTTTTTTTTTTTTAATCATAATAAAATTATGCGTTAAGGTTTTATTATACAGTAGAAACACCTCATCCTTTTTAAACAAAGGCTCGAAAAAAGAATATTCCTATAAAAACGTCGACATGTATAATACTATAATATCGGATTTACTTTTTATGAGATGTAACAGTTTTTAAATTTTAGTCCAGAATAGTAGAGAAGAGTTATCGATTTATCATAAGAATATGAATATCAAGATTTTCTACTAAAAAAAAAAAAAAAAAACAGATATCAAATTCATTTATAATCCCCGAGAAAATTACCTGGTATATACTAAAATACGAAATACGGTAATACGAAATTAATACATATTATATATATACATATACACGTGTATATAAGTATAATACCCACTACATTTTGTGTACCTATAGACTATACACAATACTGGGCTTTTACTTTTATGTAATTTTTCAATATTAAAAACTTTTAATCTTTGTAAGATATTAAAACGCAAACAAATCGAGTAAATACGAGTTTTTTTTTTTTTTTTAATAATTTCTAAGTTTTTTAATATTATACAAAATAAGTACCTACTAACATTCGTAATCGAACGTTTTTCAAAGCAAAAAAAAAATTTGGGAAGATATGCTGAAAAATTAAAAAATGCATACATATACGCAATGTTAATCATTTTAACCGAAAAACGATGCTAAGCGAAGTTCGATTAAGCATATTTTGGTGAAATTGAATGAAAACTGTACTTAGTTATACGTTAATCGGAAATAAATAAGTGAAATTTCATTATTTTTACGATTCTCATGAAAATTTAATCTTAAAGTCTCTATTTTGACTGGACCAAAAATATCCATATATAAACTAAAAAAACTCGTTAATTTCAAATCGCTGAAAATGATTTTTAAAATCTTAAATTTCTATAAATATCTAATATAACTGTTCAGGAAAAATTGCAGGTCTCTACGATTATTTCTAATCGAATCACAACAAAATTAAAATAAAAATAACAAAAATATACTCTCGTCTTATCTCTGTTTTTCCCATTGTTTAATCATCTATAGTGTAAATCATAAAAATTACTTCCTCGATGCACCAACTAGAAACGATTTTCTACCAGAAACAATCTAATCGAACAGAAATGTTTTATACGGAGAGAATTTTTTTTAAAAAAACGCACATCATAATAAAACCATTTCGTTCCCTCCTACGTTCAGAATCTAAATCTGTTTCGTGAAGAATTTTCCAACATTATTTCGTAGAGGGTACAAAATCAATATCAGCTTCGTGAGTGTACAAAACTGTGACGGTCCACTTTATAAAAGTAATGATTTCGTTAAATAGATAATACGTTGTCGTTAAAATAACATTTTCAGGAAACAAGTGGTTTTTAACTGCTAACGCTATCGTTTCATATGAACGTTATGAGAGAAACGAGATTCTCAGATAACGATTCAGAACGTTTACGTTTGAACTGTCGAACCCACGGGGGAAATTGATTTTATTTCCGAAATTACAGGCCAAAAGGAAACGTCCCGGTCACGATCATTGATTGTGGTTCATGTGGCTACAGTTTCAAAACGGTTCCTATTATAATGGACCTGATAAACACTCACCGAATTACAACATTCTGTATTAGGAACGTAACGAACAAATACCCACAATATATTGGCTTTTATCGTTGATTTTTGCACGAATTTACTTTATTATATTATACTTATGTACCCTATGCGTTCCCAATTGCACAGTGGTTTACTTACTATCCGTATCCCGTACGAGAGGTAAAGTCGCTATGCACAAACACCCGAAATAAGTTGTTTGTCGATTTTTTTTTTTTTTTTTTACCGTTTTACCGTTGTACCCAACCTAACTTTATCTACCGGTTTACAATAATATTATGATTTTGTACAGGTCATCCGATATTGCACACACTGGAAGCCAGGCATGAGGACAAGGTGGCACTGGACTTTGTAAAAAAGCAGAGGGTCCGCACCTCCAACTCTTGAAGCCTGCAATGCCACAGCATGACGGCACTTACAGGGTGTTGCGTCACTGGACTCGACGAACCGACCGAGCCTTGACCGTGTCGACGACCACGCCAGCTTTCCTCGTCACTGAATACTATCAGAAAAAAATAAAATAAATACATTACATTATATACATTATAATTCATAACTATATTATTTTTTAATCGCTAATACGCAAAAAAAAAAAAAATAAAAATAAAAATATTGTTTATACGACCGGCACGACCCGGGCGGGGGAAAAAACACTCCAAATAATTAACGAATTTACGTCAATTTCGGTTACTAGACTTAAAATATAATATACCAATACGGCGTATTGACATAATTATTATAAATATTTACTTATTATCAATACTTATTAGTGTAATTACTGTTGTACATTCTGACTTTATTCTTGTACAAATAATATAACAGCGACGCCACTCTGTATAGTCATTTAGAATCTTTTCGAATACCGTAAACCGTGTCTAAAACGGAAATTTCAACGATTCAAAATTGAATTTCACGCGTGCCTGTATTTAAAAATTTGTAAAATTCACTTGACACTCGCATACTTATAACACATTCAAAAATGGGAAAGATGAATGTACCGTTTTCTCTTGCACGACATTGGTTTTTGAAGTTGCGTCCAAAAATTTGATGCGTTTTATCGCTCTCCATTTAAAAAAAAAAAAAAAATAATAAAATAATTTGAATAATATACCTTTTGTAGTTCTGTTTTTTTTTATTTTTATTATTAAATATACATTTTTTTTTTTTTTTTTTTAGTACCTATATTTTAAGTCTTTGGCACAGCGTAGTCATAAAACATGATTAGACGATTATTTTGCTATTAATTGTGCGGCCAACTTAAAAATGCGTGTACAATATTGCAGTTTTTCATTTATCGTTATGCTGTAGTTGGCTCGAAACCCACATCGTGTAAGAGAGAACCATCTATCCCACTTGCCCATTCCATTACAACGGCGGCGAATGCAAGTGGCTTATCTATTCTCATAACTATTAATTATGCTTAAGAGTTCCATTTTAGACACGTTTTATTATAAGTATTTTATTCCGACGTGCAACGTAATATTAACAACAGCAACCATTCAATCGGATAAAAAATGTTTCGGACTTCTGGGAAATATCTGCAGATAACTCAGCCGATTACGTGTATTTCAAAACCAAGCCACGTGTGAATTTATCTGCGCTAACGGTTATAATAGACACATAATAACATTGTATCGTATCGGAATAAAATATTGGTTTCAAACGGTGTACTATTTACGTAATAAAATACATTTTAGTTGATGTTTCGGGATGGTGACCGGTCAAAATATCTCACTGGGAATGTATATTTATGAAAAATTGTCTCTTGTACAATGATTAAAAATGTCTGCAAAATAAAAAAATATATTCTTTACGAAAATATAGGTAGACACGTATGTCTTTAAAATAAATATGTCTAGTGACTAGTATTAATATTGAAATAGTTTATTTATTTTTCATTTAACCTAAAAAAAATAGGATTTTTTTTGTAAAGATTCGAAAAACGTTTAAACACAGAACAGCAATCTAAAAATAATAATGATGTGCACAAGTTTCAACCCTCGGTTGTTTGTATTTTATTTTCCGAAATTCAATATTTACAAATACATAGAAAAAGTCGCAGATTAACAGTACTTAGGTCATATAATTACACGAGAAGGAAGAGTATACCATACAATAAACATTAGAATACGAAATCGTCATCTGGGACGTGGTATACCAAAACTTCGGAACACAGTAGAGGGATTTGAGTCGTGTAGGGAAACAAAACTCAAGGGAGACACGGTTAATTAAACCAAGAAACAATTTGACTGATAAATTCGCAGAAAGCTTCTTTAATGCGCCATAAAAGACATAGTGTGAATCCTAGGTCACGACAAAGTGGTTGACTTTGGTTTAATTGAAACGTTGTCGATATGGTATGCGAAGGAGTTGAACGATCGGAGGTGGGCATACGATATCGCCGAGCATTTTCGGCAGGACTGTCTTCTGTTTACTTAATAATGGGCAGTTTTTTTTTTTTTTTTTCCGAAGAATAGCATCGCGTCATTAAGAAATATTATGAAAAACAGATGGCGCAAATCTAACAAAAAATGCAAATAACTAAGAGGAATATGCAAATTTAATACATATATATATATGTTTTAATTTTTATTCTGCTATCTTTTTAATAAATGTATATTTAAAATTAAATAAATACAAATCCGATAATATTAACAGTACTAGAAATACGTTTTATTTATTGTTAAGGTTTTTAAGGAGATATTTTGACAGGGAACTTGTTTCGACTTATGATCATAGTACTATATTATATTAGGTATATTATTATATGATGGTAACAATATTATTGACAATCTATATTATATTAGAGGTTTATATTTTTTCTTATTTTTCTTATTCGCGTCGAGCAGCCGCGCCGCATAAACGATTTCTAACGCTGTCCATAAATATTTATTATTATAACATTAATTTTATTACGTACGCTTAGCCTTTCGATCGCCATAATACTAGACGAGAATAATAATTTGATATCATTATTGTTTTTTCGATTTTATTTTTCTCTTGTTGTCAGAACAAAACATTTCACCAGACATATTACGCCGGGTTGCAAAAACGATCCATAAAAACAACGCTATAACCTATGATATCGTATCGATAAGCCATTGGATAAACAACTTTATCACATCCAGTATGGTCAGCGGCGTTTCATAAATTTTTACTAGACACAAACCCTAAACATAAACTAATATTTACCGCGGTTATGGTCCCGTCAAGGCTTTACAATTTACAATGATAATTCAGTTGTATGACGATTATAAAAAGAAATTGTTTCATCACGCGCTCCGTGTCTGTTGTCAATGTCCATGTTATAAAATTATAGTTGAGTAAAAAAAGACGCGAAAAGGAGGACAAATGTAGGTATCGGAGTCGCTTTTAAAATTAGTTGATCCGATATTATTGACGGCGCTAATGTATTTAAATACATTAGTACATTATTATAATATAATATATCAATTATTTTATTGATAATAGTGAACCGTCAAGAAAATTGTGAAAAACAGCGAAATATATTATGTTAACAGTTCAATAAAGTCATGGTACTATTTTCAATATTGATTATCGGACGAAAACGGGGCCTTCGTATTATCGATACGCCAAGACAGTGGTGACCAACCATGCGGGCCGGATGTGGCCCGCGGTCCATTTATTAATCGGCTCGCTAATGTGTTAAATCGAAATTGAAAAAAAAAATATAACTTAAAATTTCGAAAATTAACACTCATTAAAAAAAAAAAAAAAAAAAAAAAAAACAGTATGTTTGTACACATATTGTCTTTTTCTCGTTCGTAACAATCGGCGCATAACAAATAATTGAATATATCGCTGTACCTTATATATTGTATCGTACGTGCAATAAAACGCAATATCCTATTGACCCGGAAGTGAAAATGTAATTCTTAGCCCGCCCGGAAATTGTAATTTTTTTTTTTTTTTTTTATT